TAGGGAAAACAAAAGCAAAAATAAATTATTAGGACTACACCAAATAAAATGCTTTTGCATGGCAAAGGAAACCATAAACAACACAAAAGGGCAACCTATTGAATGAGAGAAGATGTTTGCAAATGATATATCTGATAAAGGGTTATATAAAGAACTTATATAACTTTACACCCAAAACCCAAACAATCCCATTAAAAAATGGACAGAGGACCTAAATAGACATTTTTCTAAAGAAGATATACCAATGGCCGAGAGACCCATGAAAAGATGCTCATCTCTAATTACCAGGGAAATTCAAATCAAAACCACAATGAGATATCAAAGGAACTCTGTGCACTGTTGGTGGGAATGTAAATTGGTATAGCTGTTATGGAAAACATTACGGAGGTTCCTCAAAAAACTAAATATTGAAATACTATTTGATCTGGAAATTCTACTACTGGGTATTTGCCCATGGAAAATGAAAACACTAATTCGAAAAGATATATGCACCTCTATGTTTATTGCAGCATTAATTATAACAGCCAAGGTTGGAGGCAACCAAAGTATTCACCAATAGATAAGTGGATAAAGAAGAGGTGGCATATATATATATATCATATATATAATATTTGTATATTATTACCCCATATATATATATATGGAGTATTACTCAGCCATAAGAAAAGGATGAGATCTTGCCCTTTGTGACAACACGGATGGACATAGAAGACGTTATGCTAAGTGAGATAAGTGAGACAGGGAAAGACAAATACCGTATGATTTCATTCATGTGGAATCTATGTCTTTTCTAGAATTTCATGTAAATGGAATCATAAGGTAGGTAGTCCTTTGTCTCTGGCTTCTTAAATGTAATGCCATGTTTTTGAGACTCACTCATGGTGAGATAATAGAAAATATTTATTGGTCTCTGTCCCTGGTTCCTGGCATAGGAGCACCTAAACCCCTTGTAATTTCCAAAGTGATAAGTACACAAGGAGCATCTTTTGTTTTATTGAGGCAACTCTTGGTGGGCTTCTGTATGGGGGCTGGTCACCAGAAATTCCTGATAAGAAGCTTGGAATTTTCAGGTTTCATCTGGCCCCCCACTTCTCCAAAGAAGGGAGAGAGACTGGAAACGGAGTTAATAATTGATCATGCTTACATGAGAAAGCCTCCATGAAATCCCAATAGTTGGGGGTTTAGAGAGCTCCCAGGTTGGTGAACTCATCCACACCAGGAGAGTAGTATACCCCAACTCCACAAGGACAGAAACTCCAACGCTCTGGGCCCTTACAGACCTTGCTCTATGCATCTCTTCACCTGACAGTTCATCTGTATCCTTTATGTTATCTTTTTAAAAACTGGTAAACACATGTAAATACTTGAGTTTTGTGAGCTGCTCTAGCAAATTATTCAAACCCAAGGAGGCGTTCAGTGAGAAGCATAAGTGATAATCTAGGTTTCCACAGGCATCTGAAGTTGAAGGGAAGGAGTTTTGGGGGATTGAGGGATTGAGTCCTTAGTCTGTAGTAGCTGACATTCTCTCCAGGTTGTGTTAGAATTGAGTTCAATTGTGGGACACTCAGCTGGTGTCACATTGAATTGCTTGTTGTGGAGAAAAAAACCTCCACACCTTTGGTGACCAGAGGTGTCAGAAGTGAAGTGCTCTGTGTGAAAGTAAAGAAGACACACTGGAAAGAAACACAGTAAGGGGAAGCTGGCTGTTTCCCTGCACAAAAAGGAAAAAACTATGTTTTTTCATTTTATCCATGTGGCATTATTCAGTATTTCGTTCCTTCTTATTGCCGAGTAGTGATCCATTGTACAAATATGTCACAACTTGTTTATCCACTCATCAGTTGGAGATTTATGTTATTTTCTGCTTAGGGCTAATGTGAGTCAAGATGCTATAAACATTTGTGTATATGCTTTCATTTCTCTTGGGTAAATACCTAGAGAGTAATTGCTGGGTCATATGGTATGTGCATGTTTAACTTTATAAGAAACTGCCAAACCGAAAAAAAAAAAAAGAAAGAAAGAAACTGCCAAACTGTTTTCTTAAATAGCTGTATTATTTTGTATTACTACCAGTGGTATATGAGAGTTCCAGTTCCTTGCCAAAGATTAGTATTGTCTTTTAAATATTAGCCATTTTAGTGAGTACATGATGAGTGGTATTTCATTTTGATTTTAATTGCATTTTCCTGATGACTAAGGATGTTAGGCATCTTCCTTGTGCTTATTTTTGGTTTCCTGTATCTTCTTTGGTGAAGTGCAATTTTTCTTTTTTTGCACATTGAAAAAATTGAGTTGTAAGAGTGCTTACATGTTCTGGTGAAAGTCCTTTATTAAATATGCTTTGCAAATATTTTCTCCTGCTCGGTAGTTTGCTTTTTAATTTTCTAAAGTGACTTTTGAAGAGCAAAAGGTTATAATTTTGATGAAATCCAGTGTACTGTTTTATAGTTCGTGCTATCTCCTCTTTTAAGAAAGCTTTTTGCCTAACAAAGTCACTAAGATTTTTCTTCTATGTTTTCTTCTAGAGGTTCTATAGTTTGGGTTCTTACATTTAGGTCTACATTCCACTTTGAGGTTTATTTTGTTTGTACGAGGGATGAGTTAAGGGTCATGGTTAACATTTTCTATGTGGACATCCAGTTGTCTCTGTACTTGTATTAGTTGGAAAGATTATCCTTCTCCTCCACTGAGTTGTCTTGGAAACTCTGTGGAAAATCACCGCCCAAGTGACCATAGAGGCCCGAGTATATTTCTGGCATCTCTACTATATTCCATTGATTTCTTTTTTTTTTACAGCAATGCCAGCTACACTGTCTTGATTACTGTGGCTTTATAATACATCTTGAAATCAGGTAGTGTTAGTTCTCCAACTTTGTTCTGTTTCAAAATTGTTTTGCCTCTTTAGATCCTTTGCATTTCCATTTAAATTTTAGACTCTTTCAATTTCTATAGAAAAGTCTCCTGGGATTTTGATTGGGATGGGATTGAATAGTTCAACTTGGAGAGAATGGACATCTTAACAACACAGGGTCTTCTTATCCATAAGCATCTCTTCTCTCTCATTTAGGGTTTCTTTAATTTCACTCAGCAATATTTTGTACTTGTCCGCAGAGTGTTTTTGCCAGAACCTCCTAGCTTCTGAATCCAACGGTTCCTTTCAGTCCCAATCTTACTAGACCTCTTCAGTGCCCAACATTGGACCATTGCCTCTTTCTTGCCTCCCCAGACTTTCTGTCCTGACCCTGCCTTTGTCTTCCTTCTATTCTTTGGATAGTCCTATCCTATTCTCCCACAGGTGCTCTCCCTGTTTCACAGGAAGCTGATCAGCTATACTCCAGGTGGCTGCAGTTAAATGGTCAGCTGTGTTGGCGAAGATCTGTTCTGAAAGGAAGTCTTCTCTTGGATCTTTTAGAGAATGGTCTGCCTTCCCTCCAACAATTGTGGGATGATGATATTTTAAAAAGTGTCTTTTAAAAAGATATCATTCTTGGAGTGGGTGAGTCCGGAGATGGGGGGAAATTGCCATGCTAGAAAACCTAGCAGTTTTGCAGGATTTTCTATCCACCATCTCAGCCTATTGAGCTCTCCATGGTTTTCTTTGAATCACTATTTTTAACGATGCCCATTTAAAAAAAAATACTGAAATTTACATAACATAAAATTAATCCTTTTAAAGTGAACAGCTCTGTGGTCTCTCTCCATTCCCCCCCCCCATAGCCCCTGGCAACCACCAATCTGTGTCATTTCTCTGTGGATTTATCTATTATGGATATTTCATATGGAATCATACCATATGTGTGACCTTTTCTGGCTGTCTTTCACCTAACATAATGGTTTGGAGGTTCTTGAGTCACTTTTTTTTTTACGTTCTATTTTGTTAAACTGTTCTCTGTCACTTAATGGGAATCCGTGGTTACCCAGCCTGTCTGATGAAACTGTAGTAGATAATCGACAATATTAACAGTAATATGCAAACAGCAATGTTGTCTTAGGGATGGTGATCGGTGCTGTTTGGCTCTTAGTTCTCCCAGAATTGGCCTCGAGTGCAGGCAAAGTTACACAACGTTACACTTGACATTTCATCGAGAAAAAAACAACAGAACATCCCAAACTAACTTCCTTATTAGCAAGATGCTACCATACGATGCGTTTAGGAAACTAGCAGAGAAAGACAGAACTGACCGTTGAGAGCCAGCTCTGGAGGCTCTCAGACCTGTGCATGAGATACAAAAATTATATCTTTCTGTCTCTGTCTCCAAGCTTAAAACCCGGCTCAAACAGTTACCTAACGTGGCACCTTTTGTGGGTCCGTCAGCAATACTAGTGACCTAAAGTGGCATCTTCTGTGTGCCACCTTAGGGACGATCAGAACAAACCTTCCTGCATTCCGGTCAGCGCAAACATTAACCTGCAGGGGGCCTGGAACACGAATCCGGAGGGAAGTCATTGCGTGGGCGTAAACAGGATGGACCGCCAAAGGAGGAGTCAGTGTTGTCAGCAGTCCTACAGTCCCTCTTCCTAGCTGTCATATGGCCATGAAGTCATTTTGGGGAAAGAGAACTACACCTGCTCTCGGTACAGCAGTCGGTGGGTGCTTACAGCCTCCTCAGCGAACATGCTCTGGTTTAACAAGCGCAGCCAAATGACACTTTTCTAGTCGGCCTTCCTCCACGCACTGTGAGCGTCCAAAGACTAGTCCTATCTGCCACACAGCAGGCACTTGGCAGGTCCACTCCCCCCAGGGCGCAAGCTCAGCACGGAAACAGCTGACCAAGTTGGCCAGCCTGGGGACTCAGCTGAGCAGCCCTAACTGAAAGTGGCAGACGGACAACCCGCCCCCGCAACCGCAGCCCAGGCTCCGCCCCTCGGCGCCCATTGGCTCATTCAATTCACGCCGCGCCTTCTACAGCCCTGCCGGCTGCGTGTTGTGTGTGCCGGGGCCTCGGCTCGCGCGGTGCGGGCCTGCGGGAGCCGAGGCGCATCCCCGTCGGGTAGCAGCCATGAGCACCCCAGCCGTGCCCCAGGACCTGCAGCTGCCCCCGAGCCAGAGGGCTCAGCCCGCGTTCAGAGGTGAGGGCGCGGTGGCGGGAGCGGGGCACGGGGGCGACCGTGGGGAGGGGGTGGTTCGGACTCAGCAGCCGGGGCCTCGAGTCCGCCGACCAGCTTCGGCCATGACCAGTTGTGTGAGAACCGTGGGCAGATCGCTCGGCCTCTCACAGCCGCAATCTCCGCATTTGCGAAATGGACAACCAGAGCGGTGCCTGGTCCGTGGTGTTAGTGTGCGGGGCGGAGTGCCTCACGGGCGGTCGTTACTGGCCGGGCGTGACCCACTGGTGGCGGAGACGGGCCTGCCGTGGAGGAGTCCGTTTGGCGAGCGAGGGTGCGCGGCACGCCTGCCCGCCCCCCGGGTTGGGGACTGGGGACCTGCCGGGGGGGGCGGGGCCGCGCCCGGGTGGAGTGCCGACTGCGCTTGCGCAGGGCGCTCCCGCCTTCTGAGTGGAGAGCAAGTTTGTTTTTTTTTTTAATTTTATTTTATTATGTTATGTTAGTCACCATACAATACATCATTAGTTTTTGATGTAGTGATCCACGATTCATTGTTTTCGTATAACACCCAGTGCTCCATGCCATACATGCCCTCCTTAATACCCATCACCAGGCTAACCCATCCCCCCACCTCCCTCCCCTCTAGAACCCTCAGTTTGTTTCTCAGAGTCCATAGTCTCTCATGGTTCATCTCTCCCTCCGATTTCCCTCTCTTAATTTTTCCCTTCCTTCTCCTAATGTCCTCCATTCTATTCCTTATGTTCCACAAATAAGTGAAACCATATTATAATTGACTTTCTCTGCTGGACTTACTTCACTTAGCATAATCTCCTCCAGTCCCATCCATGTTGATGTAAAAGTTGGGTATTCATCCTTTCTGATGGCTGAGTAATATTCCATTGTATATATGGACCACATCTTCTTTATCCACTCATCTGTTGAAGGGCATCTCAGCTTTTTCCACAGTTTGGCTATTGTGGACATTGCTGCTACGAACATTGGGGTGCATATGGCCCTTCTTTTCACTACATCTATGTCTTTGGGGTAAATACCTAGTAGTGCAATTGCTGGCTCATAAGGTAGCTCTATTTTTAATATTTTGAGGCATCTCCACGCTGTTTTCCAAAGTGGCTGTACCAACTTGCATTCCCACCAACAGTGTAAGAGGGTTCCCCTTTCTCCACAACCTCTCCAACATTTGTTGTTTCTTGCCCTGTCAATTGTTGCCATTCTAACTGGTGTAACGTGGTATCTCAATGTGGTTTTGATTCAAATTTCCCTGATGGCTAATGATGATGAACATTTTTTCATGTGTCTGTTAGCCATTTGTATGTCTTCTTCCTAGAAGTGTCTGTTCATGTCTTCTGCCCATTTTTTGACTTGACTATTTGTTTTTTGGGAGAGCAAGTTTTTGGGAGAGTTGGGGTTGCCTCGTCTGATGCTTCAAATTTAACACAATCGACTTTATGTAAATCCAGGGTTGGTTGGGTCTTCAGAAATAATATTGTTAGTTCTTTGTCCTGTGCATGGGAACACAGAGGAAAGAAACTCCTTCCCAGCCCAGCTTTGGTAAATTAGAACTTGGAGTCTAGTGTCTCGACTCTGCTACTTAGTTTCTTTAAAGCTTGGCTTTCAGTAACCCTATGTTGAAAATGACGTTCTCCAGATTTTTCACTTTCAAACAAGAGAGAATGTAATTCTTGTGCAGTGGTTGTGGGGACCTTTTATGGTAACAATCTCTTAAAAATGGGATTATTTTTCAAAGGCAATACTGAACTGGGAAGTTTTCTGTTGTATATAAGATGTGATCTCTAGTAGAACATTTTTCAAAGTAAGATGTTCATTTAGTGAATATTTATTTGCTGTTATTGTTGTAACAAATGTTGATTTGTTGCTTTTTTGTTGTTTAGAACAAAGAAGACAAAAACTCAAGGAACATATGTTAAAAAGAAAAACTATTTTTGCATACAAACAGGAAAATCACATACCCAGGTGAGGTCAAATTTTGTCGTTTCAGATCTGTAAAATTATATCAGAGCTGTCTAATAAAAATGTAATGGGAGCCACAATTATACTGTAATTTAAAATTTTCGGGGTGTCTGGGTGGCTCAGTGGGTTAAGCATCCCATTCTTGATTTTGGCTCAGGTCAGATCTCAGGGTCCTGGGATTGATCCCCTCTTCTGGCTCCCCTCTCAACGGGGAGTCTGCTTGTCTCCCTCTACCTGTGCCCTTCCCCCAGCTGGCTCTTTCTCTCTCTTAAATAAATAAATCTTAAAAAAAATTTTTCTAGTAGCCACATTTGAGAAGTCTTTATATATATATATATATTTTTATTATGTCCAATCATTAGTTTTTGATGTAATTATTAATATTTTTTAAAAAATATTTATTTGAGAGAGAGCATGAGCAGGGGATGGGCAGAGGGAGAGGGACAAGCAGACTCTCTGCCGAGCTCGGAGCCTGTGGTGGGGCTCAATCCCAGGACCCTGAGATAATGACCTGAGCTTAACCAACTGAGCCACCCAAGTGCCCCTCTGAAAAGTCTTTTTAAAAGATGAATTGTAATAACATTTAATTGAATATATACCATGTTATAATTTCAACATGTAATTCTTAAAAGTTATTGAGATATTTTACATCCTTTTTAGGTACTGAGTTTTCAAAATCTTGGTATGTATTTCACACTTTCACACATCAATTTGGACTAGGCACATTTCAAGTGCTCAGTAGCCATACCTTCTTGGATAGCACAGTATTTCTTCCTGTGTAAATTAATTCACACTCTAAGATGAAACAATTAATTTTAAAGCAAAGTGTTTGTATATATCAAAATATTGACTTATGGTTTATGCAGTGCTACAAAGGTCAGTCTTGATTTAGTAAGGTTTTTACTGTGTGTGGTGGGGGGGGGCGTAAATGGTTATTCTTCAGGAGGTGGCTCTCCCCAAATGTTTAGAGATCATTTGTTTTAGTCTCAACCCTCCATAGGAATATCTTGGTGTTATTTTGTTAAAATTTAAAAAATAGTACATGGTTGTGGCTGAAACAAAGCCCCATGAAAGTATATAAAGCAGATCAAATGCCCCCTCTAGAGATAACTGTTAGTAACATCCTTTAGGCTCTTTCTGGCCTTCTAAGAGCATTGGCTGGAGTGATAAGGACTGGAGTCCATAAGTCTGCCACTACAACTGTGTAACTTCAGGGGAGTTACATGGCTTCTCTGAGTCCATTTACTTATATTAAAATAGGATAGTAACGTGTGTTTCTTGGGGATCAGATAAGATAGTGAATGCATTGTGCTATGCCTGGTATATAGAGAGAGCCCAATAAGTGGTAGATATTGTTTCACGATTTCTCAGTGGCTTTACACACAGAGCACTGGTTCTTGAGTTACTCTGTTCTTCTGGTTTCTTTAGTTTCTCCAAACAGTTATTGCTATATTTTGGTTTTGTAAATTCTTCATACCCTTCCTCATGGTTGAAAGTGGTCAGATGGTGCTTATATTTAGGAGGTACAGATGACAGGACTTGGTGATGGATTAGGTATGGATGGGACGTGAAAGAAAGAATGGCCTTTAAGATGACCCTGAATATTCCAGATTAAGAGCTACCACTCAATCCAATACCTGACTCTTATACTATATCCTGCTGTGGAGGGTGAAATATTAGTAAAGACATTATTAGGTCAGTTTTCAACTAGAATATAAACAGATGAAAGGATATATTAAGTTGAATTTATAGATTTGATAACCACTATGGTTATGTAAGAGAAAGTCACTATTTTTAGGAAATAAACACTGAAGCATTAAGGGTTTAAAGGTAATAAAGTATGTTTCTTAACTTGAAAGATTCAGGTAGAAAAAATTGCACATACTCCACACAGACACATGTTCAGAAACAGTGCAAATAATAACACAAATGGAATAAAAGGTTAACACTATGCAGATCTGGGTAAACAGTATATGAATATTCTTTGAACTATTTATAATTTTACAACTTTATGTAAGTTTGGCATTATTTCCAAATTTTAAAAATTCTTTTTAACCTTACATTAATAGGTTACTTTAAATGCTTTAAATTTTCATTTACAAATCCTTCATTTCTTCATTTAAAACAGAAATACGATCCTAGATTTTTGATTTGAATAATTGAGTGGCTAGTGATGCCATATATCAAGATGGGGAAGACTGAGGGAGGAATGGGGGAATCTGGAGCTTTGATCTGGCCATGCTAAGTTTGAGGTACCAACAGGACATCCAAGTGGAAATGCCAAATAGTTACGTGTCTGAAGGGCTGGATTGAGATTGGGACCAGAGATTTAAACTTGGAAATTATCAGTTTGTAGATGATATTTATTTAAAACTTTGAGGTGGGATAAGATTACTAGAGAGTGAGTAAAGAGAATATTCAAGTAAGATCATGACTCTCAACTACTATTTAAATAAGGAACTCAACTGGGCTGTGCGGTTTATAGTACTCTTAAACACAATGGGAAGATTCTTCTGGCTTTACCAAGAAATCTTACAAGTACTATATTTATTCCTTTTAGAAAACAAATGTCAACTTAAATATTGTTACTTGAGCAACAAATTGTTAAATAGACGATCAATCAGATTTGCAGCTTTTCAAAATTAAATCATTCTATTTTACAATCTCTAATGTGGGTATTTTAAGAATCCTATGTTTAGATAACTCTGGTGAGGGCAGTTTTATCATAACAAGACAGAATGGGACAGAACATACTTCAATATAACTCTCCATACTGGACAGGTGAATAAGGTGGATTCTCCTTATCCTGAAATTTTTTTAGTTAGCAGTTTAAAAGGCCAGCACTATCAAGACCAAGTACTAGGATTCTGTTAGCACAGACAGAAAAGGAGTCCCTGAGAAGTATAAAACAAAAAAATGCAGAAGAAAAATTTTAAATTTATTTTTTTAAAAGATTTTATTTATTTATTTGAGAAAGAGAGCGAGCGCACAAGCTGGAGGGGGAGGGAGGCAGAGGGAGAAGCAGACTCCCCGCTGAGCAGGGAGCCCGATGTTGGGCTCAATCCCGGGACCCTGGGATCATGACCTGAGCCGAAGGCAGATGCTTAGTGACTGAGCCACCCAGGCGCCCCCAAAAATTTAGGAAGAAGAGAGACAGACTTAATAGAAGTAGACCACCGAGGTAGGAGGAAAAGGAGAAGAGCTGGTGATTGGTAGCAAAGTGAAGAAAGTATTGAAAGAAAGAAGAGTGGCCGCCTGTGTCAAGTGCTGCTTAAAGGTTCAGTAAGGTGAAAATGGAATTGACCCATGAGTTGTAGAAACATGGAAGCAGATGACATTGGGAGTCTGCAGTAGAGTGCCGAGGACACGCTCCCAATAGATGTGGGCTGGGGAGAGAATGGAATGTGACAACATGGGGACAGTGTGTATAGATACATGCTTTTGAGGAGTTTTGCTATAAAGCAAAGAGAAATGAGGCCGGAACTGAAAGGGAATGTGGAGTTTAAGGCTTTTAAGATGAGATATAATAGATAGTGTTTATATGCTGATGGGAGTGATGTAGTAGAGGGGCAAGTTAATGATTGAGAAGAATGAGCAAATCATCACAGGAACAAAGATCCTGAGTAGGCAAGCAGGAGAACACAAATATTGAGTTTGACCTTGGGTCGGCATGGTGTCAGTTCATCCGTAGACAGGAGGGAAAGCAGAATATGTGGGTACAGAGGCAGATAGGCTGGCAGTCTTCGGTGGAGGAAAGAAGGGCTAATTCTTGTTAAGACTGCGTCTGATTTTCTCAGTGAGATAACATCAGAGTATACTGTAAGTCCAGAAGTAATAGGGTGTCTGATTAGTTAAGGTACCACACTGGGGAGTACCTGACAGGTGGACCCTGAGCATCATCTCCCACCCCACAGCAGGCTACAGAGCAGTGAATAACAAAAGGAGTATTTGCCATCGGGTAGTAAATGCAGGAGCTTAAACTGGGAAGACATTGCTCTGTTCAGTGACACATATTGACTCTTCTCTGCCATCATCCAAAATGTGTAATACAAGGTGTCAGAGTTCTGCCCCTTGTCCAAACAGACTGAGCAAACAGATGTGAAAAGCAATGTAACCCAGATTGTCATGGAGATAAGTTTTGTTCATGCTAAAATACACACTTTTTACCTTTTAACATCTCTGAACTGGGGATCTTAGAATCAATGGCAGGTCTAATTGAGCATGTTTTTTCTTTTCTTAATGGAATGCACATTGTTATAATGACTTGTTAAGAGAATCTCATGGCCTGTACAAACCAGTCTATATTTGTTCAAAGGAGTGTAGGTCAAATTCTTGAGAAAGCATTTGTTTTGGGTATATATTCTAAATGCATTGTCATCTAAAAATTAAAGTCCACATTTGTAATAAATTGGGCTGTCAGTGGGTATGGAAAATTTTGGATTTCTTTTGGGAGAGCTATTTTTTTCTTTTATTCTTTTTAATCAAAGTACAGTTGACATATAATATTATATTAGTTTTAGGTATACATCATAGTGATTTGACATTTGTACACATTAAATGCTTACCATCGCAAGTGTAGTCACTTTCTGTCACCATACCAAGTTACTCTAATATTAGTGACTATATTCTCTATGCTGTACTTTTCATCCCCATGACTGACTTATTTTATAACTAGAAGTTTGTGCCTCTTAACTCCACCTATTTCATCCACCCCCCCATTGCCTTCCTCTCAGGCAACCTGCAATTCTCTGTATTTGAGTCTCTATTTTTTTATTTGTTGTTTTTTTGTTTTGTTTAGTTTAGTTTTGTTTTTTTTAGATTTCACATAGAAGTGAAATCATATGTTTGTCTTTCCCCAACTGTCTTATTTCACTTGGCAGAATACCCTCAAGGTCCATCCATGCTGTCACAAATGGCAAGATTTCATTCTTTTTTATGGCTGAGTAATACTCCGTTGTGTGTGTGTGTGTGTGTGTGTGTGTGTGTGTGTGTGTGTGTATATATATATATATATACACCACATCTTCATTCATTTATCAGTGGATACTTAGGTTACTTCTATATCTTGGCTATTGTAAATAATGCTGCAGTAAACATAGGGGTGGATATATCTTTTTGAATTAGTGTTTTCGTTTTCTTCAGGTAAATACCCAGGAGTGAAATTACTGGATCATCTGGTATTCCTATTTTTAATTTTTTGAGGAACCTCCATACTGTTTTCCACTGGCTGTACCAATTTATATTTTCAGTGTACAGGGGCTCCCTTTTCTCTGTATCGTTGCCAACATTTGTTATTTTTTGTTTCTTAAATACTAGCCATTCTGGGGGTGCCTGGGTGGCTCAGTCGGTTAATCATCCAACTCTTGATTTCAGCTCAGGTCATGATCTCAGGGTCGTGAGATCAAGCCCTACTTCCGTCTCCGTGCTCAGCATGGAGTCTGCTTGAGATCCTCTCCCCGTGCTCATGCATGCGCATGCTCTCTCTCTCTCTCAAAATTAAAAAAAAAAAAAAATAGCCATTCTGACTGTTGTGAGGTGATATCTTATTGTGGTTTTGATTTGCGTTTCCCTGATGATTAGTGATGTTGAGCATCTTTTCATGGGTTTGTTGACCATGTATGTCTTTGGAAAAATGTCTGTACAGATCCTCTGCCCACTTTTTAATTGGGTTTTCTTCATGTTGGATTGTAGGAGTTCTTTATAAATTTTGGAAATTAACCCCTTATCAGATATATCCTTTGTAAATAACTTCTCTCACTTAGTAGATTGCCTCCCTCCCCACCCCCCCCACCCCCTTGAGAGAGAGAGTGTGTGAGTGGAGGTGTGGGGGTGGGGAGGACAGAGGGAGAGAGAGAATCTTATGCAGGCTCCACACCCAACGCAGGGCTCAAGGCGGGGCTTCATCTCACGACCCCAAAATCATGGCCTGAGCCAAAATCAAGAGTTGGATGCTTAACCGACTGAGCCACCCAGGTGCCCCACCTTTTAATTTGTTGACGGTTTCCTTTGCTGTGCAAAGGCTTTTTAATTTGATGTACTCCTCATTATTTTTACTTTTGTTTCCCTTGCCTGAGGAGACACATCCAGCAAAATATGGCTAAGGCTGATGTCCAGGAGTTTACTGCCTCTGTTTCCTTTTAAGAGTTTTATGGTTTCAGGTCTTATATTTAGGTCTTTAATGCATTTTGAGTTTATTTTTGTGTATGGTGTAAGAAATTAGTCCAGTTTCATTCTTTTGCATGTGGCTGTCCAGTTTTCCCCAAACTATTTATTTGAGGAGGGGCTGTATTTAAATTTTTTTTCAATGTAAGTCTTACTAAGTACTTAAAACTAACCAAAGAAAATGTTGCTTAATAAAGGTTTTGAGGACTTGTTTGAGTGACTAGGAAGAATGGCTTGGAATGAGATTATCAAGTGTTTACAAATTTTGTGTAGGGAGGGTGTTAACACTTTTAAGAAAATACCTTTAAATTCCTCAGCTATCTTGTTTACACTATTAAGTCACTCTGTAATAAAGAAAAAGGATGAATAAATCTCAGTTCCATTCTTGCCTCAATTTAAAATTACAGTCAGATGATTGTTAATATTCTCTCATTCCCCCTCCAAAGAGAAAATTTCCTTAGTACATGGTTAAACTTTTTTTCATTTTTTATTTTTTAAAGTAGTAGAGACCAGAAAGCGATGAACTCTGAGGGCCAAGTCCACGAAGAGACAAAAGTTCTGAAATTTAAAACAAAAATGGTAAGATATGCACATAGCCCTCCTAAACTGTCCCTCCCCCCCTTTTCCCTTCCTAAACTCTTAAAGTTTGTTCTGAAATGCTGATTTGTCTTAAATCATTCTTTTAGGCTGGTAAAGAAAATGTCAGTAGACCTCCTGGGAACAAAAATCATATAACAATGGGAAAAAATTGTATTCCTTTAAGACCTTCTAATGAATTAACCAGTTCAACAATAGCAGTTGACACACATAATTTTGAGGATAATAATCAAATGGGACAGTCTGTACCCATTAAAGATGACCCTCAAAGTCAACACATGACATTAAGCCAAGTGTTTCATCTTAAAAACAACAATCAAAAGAAACAAATATCCATAGAAAAACCAAAGCAAGATGCTAACATGTCCAAGAAGCTTGTGCTTGGGTCTTACCGTGGCCAAATTGTTCAGTCTAAGATTAATTCATTTAGAAAGCCCCTACCAGTCAGAGATGAGAGTTCTGCAACAACGAAGAAGCCTTCAGCTGCTGTCCCTAAAGACCCAGAGCCTCCACCCACGGACACTCGAAGTGCAACAGTGAGAAGTGATAGAGCCCCAAACGTGGTGACCACCACTAAACTTGGGAGCATTGCATCTCAGGACAGACAGCTGGTGCGGCCTCCTATCAGAAGTCACTTCGACAGTGCTCAGGACGCTGTGAAACGGGGCATCAGGCGAGCCACTGCCAATGTTACAATCCGGAAAGGGCCTCGGGAGAAAGAATTACTGCAATCAAACACGGTTTCATTTAGTGCCAAAACCAGTTCTCAGGATGTAGAGAGAAAGAAGACACTGTCAAGAAGCCTGACTTCTGAAACTGTAGCCAGGCCTGCTTCGTCTTCTAACACCAAACTGATACAGAAATCAAAAAGCATTGACCCTCGCAGACACACTATAGCAAAAGCAACTCTTGATAGATCAGCTCAGCCCAAAGAAACCACAGAAGAGAGAAAGTAAGTAGATGTCATTTTTTTGGCTTAGTTTTCAATAGAGTACCACTTGTGAATTTGGCTTATAATCTCCTTGAATATATTAGAATTTGTGTGGGTGTGGAATCTCCTCTGTCGTAAGCAGACCAGCTGAAGCAAATTTATGTGGTGGAACAGTGTGACCTAAGTTACTGTTCTTGAGTCTGTTTCATTAGGTTGTTGTAATGTAATCTGCGTTACAAAGCTTAATACAACTGGGAAATATTTTATAACCTCTCCATTTAAAAACACATTCTTGGGGTGTTTGAGCATGAAACGAACATTGATATGTTCAGTATTTCTTTCTGTTCAAACTTGTGAACTTACGTGTGGCCTACATGTGGAACTACTTAAAGACCTGAGTTATTTTTTAACTTCTCTGTTTGACAGAATTCTCTCATCAGTATCACAGTAATGCTTATGTCCTGCTTCTAACTCTAGAGCTCGTCTGAGTGAGTGGAAAGCTGATAAGAGAAAAGTGCTGAAAAGGCCTCCTAGCTCAGTGGTTGTCCAGCCTGAGCCTGAAGGGCAAAACGAAAACTCAGTTGGGTCCTTTTGGACGACCATGGTAGAAGAAGATGAACAAAGATTATTTACTGAAAAAGTAAACAAGACATTTTCGGAATGCCTAAACCTGATTAAAGAGGTACATTCCTTATATTTGTGTAATAGTTTATAGTTTGCAAATTATCTTATAAAAGTTCTCTTACTAAATTACCTTGTCACTCTTTTGACCACGTAACGTGTTAGTGGTGTTATGTAGACTTAATGTTAATTGTGAGATTCTCTTTAGCCTTTAATGGACCACATTTTCATTGAGGACATATACATATATCAAAGGGATAATTAGGTTTTTTAACTTGATTTTTTTGTTTTTTTTTTTTACTTATAAATATTGTATTCCTCTAAGATGTTAATATAGAATGGGCTGGGGGTGGATATTTTTTACACTCCTTCAGGATATTTACATATTATTTTTTCTACTCATTACATATTTTACCAAAGACTAGCAACATAAATTAGTGAGTCATTATCACAGATTAAATTCAAGTTAACTAAAATATTTGCAAACAAAATTCCATTAATCGAAACCAACATCATCATGGTCTTAAACTTACTGTAGAGTTTCACTATTTGGACCAAAATCCTACAGAGTATAATAACTCCAGAATGTTTCCTTTATTTCCTGGCTATTTTTTTTTTAATTCTTTTTTTTTAATATTTTATTTATTTATTCATGAGAGACAGAGGGAGAGAGAGAGAAGCAGAGGGAGAAGCAGGCTCCCAAGGAGCAGGGAGCCTGATGCGGGACTCAATCCCAGGACCCTGGGATCATGACCTGAGCCGAAGGCAGACGCTTAACCATCTGAGCCACTCAGGCACCCTGGCTATTTTTAATTTTGATTTGGTCACCCATGGTGTCTAAGATCCATAGCAAGAATGAATATATAGAGTATGATTTCAAACCTTACTCTGGTCTTCATGAGTGTCTTTAAGCTTTTTGAAGACCAGTGAAAATTAGGATTGGAGTTTCTCTATTATATTCTTATTTCTGCTCAGCTGGGGTTTGTCATTGATACTGTGGAAGTTCTCTTCCCTACCCTCTAACTATATATAGCTCTTACTTAAATCAACCATTACAGATTCATTTTAACCTTAATATCAAGACCTGACAAAGACCGTTTTTAAACACCTGCAAGCTATTTCCCCTCATAAACATTTGGTAGTTGCAAAAATTCTAAATCAAGTATTAAATGGAATCTCACAATATATAAAGGATAATCATCAAGACCAAGTAAAGTGTTAGTTATTTTTTTAAAAAAGATTTTATTTGAGTGAGAGAGAGAGCATGAGCGGGGGCAGGGGGGAAGGAGAGGGAGGGGAGAAGCAGACTCTACGCTGAGCAGAGAACCTGACATGGGACTCGATCCCAGGACCCTGGGATCATGACCCAAGTCGAAGGCAGGCGCTTAACCGACTGAGCCACCCAGGCACCCCAGTGTTAGTCATTTTTGACTATTATTTTTCTCAACTAGTGTATTGTTTTCATGCTTTGTACTCATGACTAATAGGCTTCTTGCTAGCCATTCAGAATAAGTTTGGGGTGAGGAAGAGAACACTGGATATTTTTATGAATAATTTTCTATCAACTTTTTCTCTCGTTATCATTAGTCTTGATTATAGTACAATTACTTAACTGTTCATAGTTTAGAGGCTAAAGGATATCACTCACTTTACTTCTTGCTATTTTAGGGGTGCCCAAAAGAAGAAATATTGGTCATACTGAATGACCTGATTAAAAATATTCCAGATGCCAAAAAACTTGTTAAATATTGGATATGCCTTGCACGTATTGAACCGCTCACAAGTCCTATTGAAAATATTATCACAATCTATGAGAAAGCTATTTTGGCAGGGGCTCAGGTAAGATTAAAACTTACTGATCCTTATTAGTACACTGTAAAGGATTCAGTTATTTTGGAGTATATCACACATAACTTGATAAAATTGTGGTTACATATGTAGTAGTAATGAATATTTAAAGGCCACAATGATCACATATTATAAAAGCTGTTTCTCAGCCTTCTAAAACTTGCTTATGAACTAGTGATAATCAGACCTTAGAAGATGGATATACACTGTAATGTACATTTAATGAAACTGGCTGTGAGAAATATTTTAGCACAACATGTCATTTCGCACATTTCCTAATTAAGAAATCTGGGAAATTGAATTTTTAATATTAAAATTTATGTAATGAATATAAAGCCAAGTGGAATTAAACTAACTTTTAAAATGTTAGTAGGTTCTGTGGCTTTGTGAAAGAAGTCTTTCACTTGAAGAATACTTCTTAAATGTTCTCACATTTTTATGCCATATGTTTGGTCCTGCCCACACATAGAAAATGGCAGTAAACTAGTTTCTCTGACATATTAGCGCCATAGTGGTTTGATACCACACCTCTCCCCTCTTCCTAGTCTATTGCTGCAAGAGGCTCTGGGTATAGAATAAATTGTATTCTAGGTTTTTTGGTTTGGCTGGGTTTTTTGTTTTTATGGGCAAATGTTTCTAAAATGCATTTCCTTTTGACCAAGTTTCTCAAAAATGCATTTTGGAGATTATTTACAGAGAGAGTTTTTAAAAATTCCTTTCTTTAGCCTTTCTTTAAGAAAGGTCTACTCACTTTAGTCTCTGCAAAGCCAACAGATGCTATTTGATCTTGCACTTGAATTCTAAATCAAATATTCAGCAGATATTCTCTCAAAGACTATTATGTATAAAACATTTTGCTGAAGAGTAATTGTATTTGACAGAATCCCACCTGGAAGAGGGTGTGAGGTTCCTACTACATGAACCAGAAGGGACATTACTTAAGGTGGCTTCAGGCAGAATAGCTAGGATGCACAACCGGAGCCAAGGACTCACATAGAAAGCAGGTTGTAAAGAGAGAGAGATGTGACTCTGGAGCAGAAAGTGGAAAACAAGGATTAATAATTTTAAAGAAAATTGAAAGCAGGATGAGTGAGTAGTTCAGGAATATGTTCTAGAACTAAGAATATGAGCCAGAACTTCCCTTATATATAATATCTTGAATATGTTGCATTAGCAATCATAGTAGTACAAAGGAACATAGTAAGTGCTTACATGTTCTGGCATATAATGGACAGTCAGTAAAACTGTTGAATTTGAATGAGTGAAATGTTAGGCTGGTCAACCTTGAGCTGTTCAAAGATGCATTTAATAGCATGTGAAAAAAATACATAAATACATAACCATGGACTTGAATGTAGGAGAAAAGGAGTAAACTTTATATAAAATTTACTTTAAATTTATATTATCAGCTCTTTAGTAGATATTAATGTTAACTTGCTTCTTGTCCATTAATTTTGTTTATATCAGACAAGCAGTTAAGAGTTACCAGAGGCTTAAGAAAAATTGTGGAGAAAAATTTTAATCTGATAATTCTACCCCTTCTCTTCATTTTTATTCTATAAGTCGGAAAGAGAGTCATTTTCAAAAGTTCAAGTGTCAAAATAAGTATTCTGAGAAAAGAAACATGATCTAAGAACTACTGCCTTGTTTTAAAGTTTGAAGTATAGTCACTGTTTTAAATATTTTTGACTTGAACAACCTAGTTAATGTCTGAGAATATAAAACTTGTATTTTCTTCACTAAAAAAATTAAGCCTATTGAAGAGATGCGACATGCAATTGCAGATATTCTAACAATGAAGAGTCAAGAAAAAGTGAAATATGGTAAGTTTTTAATTTTCGTCAAGTGAATTGTGATTTTATTAAATTTCCTTGAATTATTTTTCTTTTATCTTTTTAAACTTTTTAAATTTGTAGGATGTTTTTCTCCTCTTACGTCTGTGGGCATAACCCCTGAGATTCAGTGGCCTTATGTAGTGTAAGAATTTTTAATTAGGATCTCTGGTTCAAAACCCAAATTTATCATTGAGTGTTTGTGAAAGTTAGCTTACCTCTCTAGGCCTTAATTCCCTGTGTTAAAAATGAGGCGGTTTGATTAGATGATCTCTAAAATTTTATCTCTTAAATTCTATCATCTGTTCTATGCTCTAGAGAAGCTCATTCAAGAATTCTCTTTGCTAGGAATAGTAGATGGAGGGAAGAGATTCATTAGCTGTCAGGTATATGAAATGTAAACATCTTCTAGATTCAGATATATCCTATAACTGAAACATCTCTTGGTACAAATCTCTAATAATTGCCTAGTAGTCAAATCTAGAGGTCTTTTCACCTTGCTGGATTTATCAAGGTGTCTCAAGTATTTCCCACCAAGCATGCTTTATTTTGAACTCATCTTCCCTCATTGCTTCCGCAAACCACCATCTCTTCCTCCCAAAAAAGAAAAGGGAAAAAAGAAACTCCCCTGTCATTGAAGATGCCAAAGCAAGAAATGTTGTAAGAGATGCCCTCAGTACACCTGCACACTCATTCAGATGTGCACATGCGTTCATTTGTTAAGCCCTAACTTAGAAATAACTTGTAAATCAGGCCCTTCCTTTTCACTGATGCCTACCTCTCTGCCACCTTGCTTAGAGACATTCGCAGCCTCGTTTGTCTTCTTATCATCACAGATCATTCTTTTTCATTCTTGCCATTCTAAACCATCCTTCGTAGTGATCAAATCTGATTGTATCTCTGTTTCTCCAGTGAAGGTTGGTTTTTTGGTTTTTTTTTACCAAACTTCTTGCATGTATAGTTCATTATAATCCAGCCCTTCCTACCTATCATCACCTCCTCCCCATGTTCCCACCTTGCTCCTCACCCTATATCCTAAGCACGCTGGCCCGTTAGTTTTGTCTTAATAGGTCATTTCCTTTTATGCTTCATAACTAAGATTGTCTTCCTTGGTCTTGTCAAGTATTCGTTTCTCAAGACCCAGCCTAAATGTCATTTATGAAGATTTCCCTAGCCCTCTCCCTGTCCCTCAAGCAAAAGTAGTTTTCCCATTTTTATGGGTTCCCATAACCCTTTGTTCTTACCTCAACTATATAGAATTTTTCTCATTTTAATTATTTTCAAGCACGTCTCTTCCGTGGAATGTGAACTTAAAGGACAGGGATGGTTTCATTGTTATATCTGTGATCTATAATCCCAACCCATAGATGATAGTGAATATTTGTTAATAGTTGTCAGCGGTATTGGCTTAGGAAAAGTAATAGTTAGGAGATGGCAGTTTGGTTCTTTTATTTTGAAAATCTGACCAACTATGAATTACTTTAATGTCTTCTGATTTTGCTCTTTAACTTTGACCAAAAGCTTAATCTATAAATGTATTTTTTGTTTTTGATGTATAGGAGAAAATATTGAGGCTTGTGCAACTAAGGAATACATCCAAGAAGTCGACAGTGAAGATATAGGTGTTAATCTAGAGTCAGGAAGACCAGAAATGGAAAAGAAACCTAGAAATGTGGTATTTCAAGATGGTGAAAAAGAGGAAGATGACAAAACAAAAGATCCAACCAATGATGTTAAAACCCCCAGTACAGAAACCAGGGGCAGTTGCTTAATTAAATATAATGTGTCTACTACACCATACCTACAAAGGTAAACTTTCAAAATGTAATGTGCTGTGATTTGTTTTTATGTTTAGGAATAATAAATATGGTATTTAAAAATCTTTAGCTTCCAGTTAGAAAGGTTTCAAACAAATCAGTATCATTGAGACACTTCACCTTTTGTGTGTGTGTGGGTGAGAGAGAGAGCACGTACAAGTTGGGGAGAGGGGGCTGGGGGGGGGAAGAGAGATCTTAAGCAGGCTCCACACTCAGCGTGGAGCTCTGTCGCAGGGCTTGATCTGACAACCCTGGTATCATGACCTGAGCCGAAATCAAGAGTTGGACACTTAACCGACTAAGCCACCCAGGTACCCCTGGACACTTCACCTTTTAAATACTGTATTTGGAGGCGCCTGGGTGGCTCAGTCGGTTAAGCACCTGCCTTGGGCTCAGGTCATGATCCCAGGCACTCGGATCAAGCCCCTTGTCAGGCTCCCTGCTCGGCAGGAAGCCTGCTTCTCCCTCTCCTTCCCACTCATGCTCTCTCTCACTACCTCTGACGCTACCTCCATCTCTCTCAAATAAATAAAATCTTAAAAGAAAATTAGTGTATTTGCTTTGCTCTTACCCTAAGTATTGCCATTTTGTAAAAGAAAACTTTGACAACATTTTACTTTAATGTCTGTCTGTTATTGATAATAGTAGGTTTTGGAATTGAGCAATTAGCCAATTGTACAGATATTCAAGAATCTACTGTGTACAAACTGTGACAACAAATAGAGAAAAGAATAAGTTCCTAACCACAAGGAGCTTTCAGTACCTGTTTTTCTATAAGACAGGTAATCACATGGTTGTAACTTACAAGTTAGAGGATGATAAATGGCATAAAAGAACAAAGTAAAAACGTTAATGTTTTTTAACTCTGGGAATAATTTTGTGTCTTTTTAGTGTAAAAAAGATCCAGTTTGACAACACAGATACTACATTTAAAGAGCTAAAGTTTCTAACACCAGTTAGACGTTCTCGACGTATTCAAGAGAAGACTTCTAAATTGCCAGATATGTTAAAAGACCATTATCCATGCGTGTCATCACTGGAGCAGTTAACAGAGTTAGGAGGTGAAACCGATGCTTTTGTATGCCGTCCGAATGCTGCACTATGCCCCATGTACTCAGAGGCTGGAACAGCACAGGACAAATAAAGTGATGATAAGGAATGGGGCTTCTGTTGTTCCTGGGGGCTTTTGTTTGCTTGTTGTAGCTTGGTATGTCTCTTAGGAGTTGGCCAAGTACCTAAGTATTCATGGCAGTGAGCTCTTCTACTGATGTTCACGTTATAGCAGGAATGCCTTCTGTGCAGCAGAACGCTAATCCTACCTTGTCAAGCTCAGCAGAGGGAGTTCCTAAGAAAGGTGAATGTTGTCAAGTAGTTTACTATGTTCCTTGAATATAAACAGGTTTGATCATCATGTTGGCTTGTTCACTTTTAATAGTCTTAAATTGTTAGTCATTAAATATAAGTAATGCGGCAGACAGAATACTGACTTTTTTTGCCTTTTCTTAATTTTGGATCAGTAGGAAAGTCAATAATTGTAATGTGACTTTTTTGAAAGGTGAAGACATGGAAGATTTAGCTTGCTTTTCCACCCAATTCTTGTTACCCGGGCTGCTGTGGTCTCTTGTGCTTTGGCTCTTCACTATCACTTTCCATCAATGCTAGTGAGTCTGTGGTCTCTGTTGGCTTCTTTTTTATTGTAGCTGAGGTCACCACAAACAATAATTAGCTAAATGCCCCATTTCTAAGAGGAAATACTTTGTAGTAAAAAAGAAAAGGTGCCAAATGCAGTGGGTATTTGAAACTTTAAATCTGAGTTTCTTTCTTTAGTTCCTTTTGTAACTTGGCTATCTAAAATGTTAAAACTTTAACTTTCCTCATTTCATTTGATATAGTTGTAGACTATTAGAATGGAATTAGAGAAGGAATATACAATGTCATTCTAATTTAGGTAGTATTTCTAGAATAACTAATATAAAATATAACTAATATAAAATATAATAAAAACTTTACTGTTAAGTCATGCCCCTTGAAACATGATAGTTATATACAGTAAACAGTTTCTTCTCCCCACACATTAAATATCACCCCTAAAATTGTTTTTTAAGTCTCTGAACTAATACCTAAATACATCCTCTACCAATTCTACAGTTTCAAAGATTCGATAGTTTTAAAATTGTGTGTAATATAAGTGTGCTTGAAAATCACAGTCTTATGTTCACTCATTCCATTTGTATAATAGCACCTATCTTTGTTCTGTTGTCTTATGCTCTAGAGAGGAGTTTTATTCTTTTATAAACTGTGTTCCTAATATTTATAAATAAATATATCTGTATAATGATGTTTCAGTGACATTTATTTCAACAAATATGAAATGCTGGTTACAGTGAAATTTGAACCTTGCTTTTGAAATACATTATGGTTGGATTTAACTTGGGGTTTTTAATACTTAAATATGTGCTTAATGGTATATTTCCTTTTGAAAAATTTATAAATTTATCGAAAGGTTTACCTTAATTTTTACCTTAATTTTTTTTATACTTTGTATGAATGGTGCAAAATGTGCCATTTTGAAATGAACTTCAAGTTGGCCTATACTCTCAGCTTTATAATAAGCATACCATGTGGTTCATTTGGCCATATAGAGTAGCTTGGAATGTCTCAGTGAGAGGGAACTTGAGATAAACCATTCTGTTTGGAAAAGTTTCATAGAGTGCTTTGTTCCCCCCCCACCTCCCTCAGCTGTGGGAAAAATCTGTCTCCTTAAATAATCCTAGTGCTAACTTTTACAGACATGGGTCTCACTCCCTTTCAGGTGCTTAAGAACAGTTACCACGTGTCTGACCTAGGTTTGTTGCAAGCTAAATATCTCCAAGCATATAATATATGGTACATGAGCTTTGAAGTCCAGCAGATCTGCATTCAAAATCTCAGCTCTTACCTTCCCTTAAAAGTTTTGTGACTGTGGAGAAGTTAGTTGAACCTCATCTTTCCCAGGGGTAAAGTGGAGATGATCCCCTCTGTTATTTTTGTGTCATGATTTCTGGCTGTCCCCCTGGTTGATTGGCCAGAATGGGCACCTGACCCAATCTGGACTGTCAGAGTCCTTTCCATAGGTATTTGGGAATCAACTGAGTCTTTTCTATGTAGTTAGACCTGAAATAAGTAAACACAAGGTACTGAGTGACCATATGAAGGTTGCAGAGTAAAGGTCACCAGTAAACCGAATGATGAAGTGACTACCCAGGCAAAAGCAAGGAGACTCCTGCCTGATGTTTTCTATAGCTCCTCACTGTGTATCCAGATATGTTCTTGTTCAATCCACATATAGGGAAAGCACAATTTTTCGACTCCAACCACACCACCCTTTTTAAATGTTACTAATAATTATAGTAACCTCCCCAATTTTTTTTTCTGTGTATTTAACATATACATAGACTTATACACATATAAACACGTGTGTGTATGTGTGGATTTTGTAGGTTTTGTTTTGCTTTGTTGGTCTTAAATGGCACCATACTTCATGTATGGTTCTACAACTTGTCTTTTTTCTAGTTTACTAAGCTAATGAACTTTTCATTGACCTAGATCAATGTCACATTAAGACTACATGGGAACTTTTTAACTTGGTCTAGCTTTTCACACTGTTTACCACTGCAAGCAACATCTAACACAACAGGATAGTGGTTAAGAATCAGACTTGAGTCATACCACCTGGGTTCTAATACCAGTTCTACCACTTACTAGCTGTGAGACCTGAGGCAAATAGCCTCTTGTGCCTCAGAGATAATTGTAGCTTTGGGGTTGTTTTGGAGATTAAAATGAGTTGATAGCTAACACTTATCCAGTCCTACTCTAAGCACTTCACATGTATTGACTGACTTAAAACAGTGCCTAGTACCTTGTATATGTTATCTATGGTAATATTTAATTTCCAATCACTGCCCAGTTCAGAAGCTCCCCTGACTGGGATCCACACCTTGGCAACTGCTGGAGAGAAAAGGGGTCAGATCTGTTCTCACTATTTCTTCCTCTATACTCACTGGTCTTGTGCTTGCTGATCCTTAATAGGCTGAATTGTGTCACCCCAAAAAAGATGTTGGAGTCCTAAGCCCCAGTACTTCAGAATGTGACCTTATTTGGAAATAAGGTCATTGCAGGTGCAATTAATTAAGGTGAAGTCAGACTGATCTAGGGTTGGTTCCTAATCCAATATAATGGGGAAGACGATGTGAAGAGACAGGGAGGAGATAGCATTCTACGAGCCCAAGAGAGAGGCCCAGAACAGCTCTCTCTCAGTCCTTAGCAAGAACCCTGCTGACACCCTTATTTTGAACTTCTAGCCTCTAGAACCATGAGAGGATATGTTTCTGTTGTTAAAGCCACTCAGTTTGTGATACTTCGTTAGGGCAGCCCTAGCAAACTAATACACTCGTGGAACAAGATAAGTCCTTTTGGTGACTATGGACATTGGGCGGGGGAAAAAAAAGAGTTGGGTGTTTTTATGACTTTTGCTGCAATGCTGTCGTGAACATAAAGCGGTTGGAGTCTGTGCCTGTGCCTAATCAGCAGGAGCGTTATTTCATGGAAACTTAAGCTTGTAGCAGCATTCTGGGCATAGGCATGTATAGTTTTGTTTTTGTTTCTTTAACTGAAACCAAGCAGAGCAGATGTTGCAAATGTTGACCATTCAGAAAGAAGATGATACTCCAGAGACCCTGCTCTTATCACTACACGTACAGAATAATCACCTATTAACTCTACCATTTTATGGCGGACACGTTCAGTTGTTCCAAAATATATTCTAATATATCCATTTTGACTTTCACAATACTCCTAGGAGGTAGGTGCCAAGCCTTGCTGTATGAGTTTCCTAGATTTGCTGCTGTAACAAATCACCACAAACTCAGTGGCTGAAAACAACACAAATGTACTCTCTTCTGCAAGTCAGAAGTCTGGATTAGATCTCACTGGACTAAAATCAAGATATAAGCAGGATTGTGTTTCTTCTGGAAGTTCAAGAGGGCAATTTGTTTCTTGGCCTTTACCAGTTTTGTTTGTTTTTTAAGGTTTTATTTATTTGAGAGAGCAAGAGAGCGAGCAGGTAGGAGGGGCAGAGAGAGAGGTAGAAGCAGACTCCCTGGTGAGCAGTGAGCCTGATGCAGGGCTCAGGCGCAGGGCTGATCCCAGGACCCTGGATATCATGACCTGAGCCAAAGGCAGACGCTTAACCGACTGAGCCTCCCAGGCGCCCCCTTTTCCAGCTTCTTAATGCCTCCTGCATTCCTGGGCTGGTGGCCTTATCCTCCATCTTCAAATCTCTCTCTGACCACCACTCTGCCCCTCTCTTCCGCTTGGAGGTGTCCTGGTGATCACACTGGGCCCACCTGGAAAATCCAATCACCTCTGTATTTTATTTTGTTTTATTTTTTTTAAAGATTTTATTTATTTATTCATTTGAGAGAGCGAGAATGAGAAAGAGAGAGAGAGCACATGAGAGGGGGGAGGGTCAGAGGGAGAAGCAGACTCCCTGCTGAGCAAGGAGCCCGATGTGGGACTCGATCCCGCGACTCCAGGATCATGACCTGAGCTGAAGGCAGTCGCTTAACCAACTGAGCCACCCACGCGCCCCACACCTCCGTATTTTAGAGTTAGCTGGTTGGCAACCTTAATTCCACCTTCAGTCTTAACTGCCCTTTGCCATGGAACCTAACACCCACAATTTCCAGGGAGAAGGATGTGGACATCTCTGTGGGGGCCACTCACTGTTCCGCCTTCCACACTTGCCCAAGATCCCACACCTAGTAAGGGGAGTGCTGAGCCCGAGAAACTCATCGCTTGAACTGGAGGCAAAACTCATGTTGCTGGGAGACACTTTCCCTCAAAAATATTGGCATTATTCTAGGGCGCCATGGAGCAACAGTTTTAAAACGCGCCCTTAGTAGGCCCGGCTACTCCGATAACAGCGCCTCCCGCCCAACCCGAGAACCTTCATTCACCGGCAACCCGAGAAACGACCTGCCTGCCCGCCCGGCGGAAACGCGCTAGTCCGGGGACGCCAGGGTCGGCTCTGGTCGCCGCGGAAGCCGGTAAGTGGTCCCGCCGCCTGACAGGGAGCTTCTGGAAGAAGGAACGCGGGCGGCAGTGGAGGCCTGGGGCTCGGGGAGCGGGCGGCGCCCCCGCGCGGTGGGGGCGAGTGGGAGACCCGCTCTCGGCGCTCTCGGATCCCCGCCCCAGCTCCGCCCCGGGCCTGGGCCGCTCGCTCGCAGGTCCCCCCCGGCCGCCTCTGTCCTCCGGGCGCCCGCCGCGGCGCGGGGTTCAGCGCTGGTGGCGGCCTGGAGGCGGCGCGGCGTCTCGGGCAGGAAGGATTTGCGCGCCGCTGGCCTCCCGCGTGGTGCGGTCCCCGCGTGCATGCCTTCTCAGCTTGCGCGCCAAGGTTTCTCCCCCGTGAGCCCACTTCTGGCCATTTCCAAATCGTTTTACTCGTATTTGACTGGGAGGAGCATACAAAGCAACACTCAGTATATACAGGTCTTTTACTGATCTCACGGCTGTCATATTGAGTAACGGACAGACGTGGGCAGAAAAGACCAAATAAATACTGGTTTTCAGCTAAGAAAAGTCAGTGGTGGTTCTTGCTTATCGGTTACTGTCCATGACATAGAATAAAGACCCTGAAGAATAAAGAATAGAAATATGGGAAAACTTGGCCTCCTTGTTTTTTTTGTTTTTTTAAGATTTTATTTATTTGAGAGAGAGAGAGAGAGAGAGAGCAGGAGCAGGGGGAGCACAGGGAGAGGGAGAAGCAGGCTCCCGCTGAGCAGGGAGCCCGATGCGGGGCTCGGTCCCAGGACCCTGGGGTCATGACCTGAGCTGAGGGCGGACGCTTAACCGACTGAGCCACCCGGGCGCCCTTGGCCTCCTTGTTAAATCAGGTATTACCAAGGGCCAGTTAGAATAGTGGCAACTAACTTTTTTCTTTCAGATCCCTAAATACACTGAAAGACCTGACAGTTCTTGAAAAGAATTGTTTTTGAACACAATGCCTCTAATTTGGTTAATATGGAGAAATTAATTCTAAAGTTGCAGGTGGTTCTATGACACACATGAATACAAACGACATTTTACAGGTTGCTGTAGTGTATGTTTTAGTTTGTGATTTTGCTTTACCTGCCGGGCTCTCTGTGCCTCATAATTCTTTGTTGTGTGATTAGAAAAAAAACAACAACAAAAAAACACTACAAGTAGGCTTTCTGAAAATTAAGTTAATTCAGTCCATTGGTTTTTTTTTTTTTTTTAATGCATCATGTTCCTAAGGTTTTAATAATAATAATGGCTACCATTTATCCAGGGCCTCCTCTGTACCAGGCAAAGTGTTAGGAACTTTATATTCAGTCTCCTTTACCTATGAACCAATCCAGCTAGCTGCTTCATCTGGGAAATACAGAAAGGGAGACTGAAGTTCAAAGACTCTGCTTATCTCTTCTTAATCCCAGGCACCTCCAGCTCAACATGTCCTAAAAGGAACAAATGTCTCCCTTCACCATGCCATTCACTACCCCTGCCACACTCCCACTGTCAGAAAAATGAAACACACACACACACACTCACAACAATTGTGCTTTTCCCTTTTCTCAGGGAATGGTATCATTCACCCAGTTTACACTGGAAAACTGGGAGGTCTACCTTGTCCCATTCTCCCTGCTTGTCCCCCGTAAATCTGTCACCAAAAATCTTGCCAATTCTTTCCACATATTTTCTTCTTGTTTTCTTCGTCCCCACTGCCACCACCCCATTCCACTCCATCGTCATTTTCCTGCCTTTTCTGTTGTTGGAGTCCCACTCCAGCCCTCCTGTTCTCTCCTGTGGGCAGTCCATTCGCTCTGCAGCCAGAGTGAGTGATTTTTTCCTAATATGCTCTCTTGGTTAAAATCCTTCAGAGACAGCACATTAATTACCCCAAGGATAAAATCCAGCAACCTGAGCTTGGCTTACAATGGCCTTCAGATAAGGCCCTGTCTGCCTCACCAGCCTGTGACAGACCTCTTTTAATTCCTTGAACTGAACACAATCTCTTTTGCTCCTAAATAGGCCAGTCCCTCTGCCTACATCACTCTCCCCCTTCCCCCCCGTTGCCTAGCCAACTTCCATTCATCCTTCAGGCTTCAGTTAAATATCATTTCCCTGACTCCTCTGGATATTTCTGCCATATGCCAGCATAACTTTTTCTGTAAGACTCATCACCCGGGGCTCCTGGGTGGCTCAGTTGGTTAAGCGACTGCCTTCGGCTCAGGTCATGATCGTGGAGTCCCTGGATCGAGTCCCGCATCGGGCTCCCTGCTTGGCAGGGAGTCTGCTTCTCCCTCGGACCCTCCCCCCTCTCATGCTCTCTCTCTCTGTCTCATTCTCTCTCTCAAATAAATAAATAAAATCTTTAAAAAAAAAAGGAGAGACTCATCACCCTACATTTGTTGAGGTCTGAGGTCCCATCTGCTTTGGGGCAGGCATGCTAGCAGGAACGATGAGAGGTCAGAGTGCACTTCTATAAAACTGCCTCTAGCGTTGATGTATACAAACCACCCTTGACCCTTGAACAACGCAGCTTTGAACTGCACGGGGCCACTTATATGCAGCTATTTTGATAAATGCAGTACAGTCTGTAAATGTATTTTGTATTCAGGATTATAAAACTTGGCATGGGTGCTCAGGGTCTACCTGTTCAGCCCATAAAGGAATAAACTGCTGTTGTCCTATCATGGTGATTTGGAGCTACTTTGAATTCATTCTGCCTTTTGAAAATATATTTACTTGTCAACATTTCTGTTTTTGAATACAGTTTGGGAGAGGTCGTGGTGCCCCAGCATGGATGGCTACGTGGTCCTGAGAGTGATCGGGGAGGGCTCCTTCGGCCGAGCCCTTTTGATTCAGCAAGAAAGCAGTGATCAACTGTTTGCCATGAAGGAAATAAGGCTTCCAAAGGTCACTGCTGAAGCCATTAGCTCAAGCTGAAAATGGACATGTAATTTGCCCAGGAAAATGAGTTCTTGAGATTTAACGTGGAGTTGTTCTTTCATGCAAAAGATGTAATGGGTTTATTCATTAGCTTTACAAGGTCTTGATGTATTTTATATGGATTTTAGGTAATTTTTGTGATTAACACAAAGGGAGAAAAGTAGTCTAGGTGGCGATTGCTGTTTATTTTATCTCAATGAATATTCTCCAATTTTGCCTACCTAAGAGGGTAAGAAGCTTTGCCAGAAGCAGCTCAGGTGCCATATTAATGAAAATAGAGCATAAAAAAATACAATGAAGAGCAAAAACCTAACATGTAACCTTTGGTATCAGGGAAGCTATTTTGTGGATCAGTTTCGGGTTTTATCTCTCTGGAAGGTAGGAAGGTGCTGCCTTATCCTTGTTTATCATAGTTGTCACAGGAAAGAATCTGTGCCATGGAGGCTGCTTAAGAGTGTCTTGATCAGTTTTTTAAAAATACATTTTAATAAAATTCTCAGAATTCTAAGTATTTCCCCCACGGTGTTCTTGACCTCTTTTAGTGATTCTCGAGTGGGCTTCAAAGTCATCTGGAGGTTAAAACACAGATTGCTCGGCCCCACCCCTGAGTTTCTGGTTGAGTAGGTCCAAATGGGCCTGTGAATTTGCATTTTTTTAAAGATTTGCTTATTTTGGAGAAAGAGAGCACAAGCAGGAAAGACAGAGAGAGACAGGGAGAGAGAGAATCTCAAGCAGCCTCCCCGCTGAGCACAGAGGCCAACAGGGGACTCCATCTCAAGACGCTGATATCATGACCTTAGCTGAAATCAGGAGTTGGAGGCTTAACCTACTGAGCCACCGAGGCACCCCCTTTTTAAATATCTTTTTTTAATTCCTTTTTTTTTTTTTTTTTCCAACGGCAGTTTCGTAATTGAAAGATAAGTCATTCGGGATTTTGTGCTCGGAGAGTAAGTTAGGGGATAAGCAGTTTTGGAAACCAGCTTCTTCCATCCTTACTGCACTTAACAAACCAGTCTCTTTTTCATCTGGGCCAGCGGGCTGGAAACGTGATGCAGACAGTAAGACATGAGAGCCTTAGTTTTTCTCTAAGGATATACTATGGTTAATGGCATGCTGGCTCTCCACATCAGTTATGATTAGGCTGATGTGAAAACCGGTTTACATTCTATACTTGTAAGGGTATAAGGGGTCAGCTTTAGCATGCAAAATATAGCCATAATTGAAAAATCACCACGTTTTCTCCTAGAGTTTGATAAACATAAGTTGGGTCACAGTGCGTTGCTATAAAACTGCCTTTGGCATCGACGTATACAAACCACACTTGATCCTTGAACAACGCAGATGTGAGCTGCATGGGGCCACTTATATGCAGATTTTTTTGGTAAATGCAGTACAGTCCTGTAAATGTATTTTCTCCTCCTTGTGATTTTCCTGTAACATTTTCTTTTCTCTAGCTTACTTTATTGTGAGAATACAGTATATAATACATGTAACATCCAACATATGTGTTAATTGACTCTGCATGTTATTCCAAGGCTATTAGTAGTTAATGTTTTGGGGGAGTCAAAAGTCAAGTGGATTTTCGACTGCACGTGGCGGGGGATCACTGTCCCCGACTCCCATGTGGTTCCAGGGTCAACTGTATACTGTATTGCTATAAAGCTCTCAAAGCTATCCATTTTAAAATGAAGTGGTTCCATTTATGCTATTTAAAATCTTCTTCTAGACTCTCTCTGGTACACAGAATTCTAGGAAGGAGGCTGTTCTGTTAGCCAAAATGAAACACCCCAATATTGTTGCCTTTCGAGAATCATTTGAAGGTAAATATGAGTTCCCCCAAATAAATGCATTGTGGAATTTGATTTATGGCCACCAGGCTTTCCTCAAGAGTCTTCTGTTTGTTTTAGCTGAGGGACACCTGTATATTGTGATGGAATATTGTGACGGAGGGGACCTAATGCAAAAGATAAAGAATCAGAAAGGAAAGTTGTTTCCTGAAGATATGGTAAGAGACGGGCTTCCATGGTTTCTCTCAGGGTTTAGAAGCAAAGCGTGTATAAGTTCCAATAAAAGCACTGTACGTGTGCTTGCCTGATACGCTTGTTAGAAACAGTTCACTTCTGTGTCAGTGCTACTGCTTTGTGTGCAGGAGGTGGCTGCCTGAGGTATTTTCAGCAAGTTCAATAGATATGTTTATAAAATATCAAGGAATAAAACTTCTGTGTTTAGAAGAGTTTCAGAATTGTATTACTCCTATTTTGTCCTATATATTTCAAATTTTAAAATTTTGTTGTACTGACATTGTAGAAGACAGATAGATTTATGTTGCATGACTAGATCATCAGAAGAATGAAGCCCAAACTCCTGTGTCATGGGAATACCTATTCTCACACTTTTTCCTTTTACAATTTAGCACTTTCCTTTAAGTCTGGTACTTCCTGCCTTTTTAAAGGAAAACTGTGTATTAAATATTACTGGAATGACTTGACTAAGGAAAATATTTAAATAAACACCCTGGGACTTAGTTTGATTTAGGGTATAACGTGTTATAAAAGCATTCGGTATAAATATTTTTATTTAGAAGTTGTGTTGTTAAAAATATGGATGCCAGAGAAGGAGATCAACCTTGGCTTCAAATGAATGAATCTCCATAGCAAAAAAAAAAAAAAAAATCAGTTTGACATTTAATTATAGGTTCCTAGGTACTTAGAAATTCTGAGTACTATTGACTAGGGATTTATAAGAAGAAAATGCTGACTCACAGGATGGTTGACAATATAATGAAATCTTTCAATGTTAATAAATTAACATTCTGAAAAGGCAAATGAAAATCTGACGTAATGATTACAAAAAGTTGTAACATACTCATTCCTTAGTGGTGAACTACCTTTATATATATATTTAAGAAATACTTTTATTTGGTTGAATTCAAGAGAACCATAGTGGGAGTTTTATTGAACTAAATTGCTATTTAGATCATACACAAGATGATGGAACATGGGATTCAGTTTTTCCGAATTCCTCCAGGCAACATGGAATCTTAGTTGAAGTATATAATTTTTAGGGGCTCTGTATTTACATTATGGAAAATCCAGGTCAACTAATGCCTGGAGACGATTCTTTGGGATTTGGGGTTAACACGAACCAGTTACTACATTCCTGCAGTTACTGCATGCTTTTTCCTTACAGATACTTAATTGGTTTACACAAATGTGCCTTGGAGTAAATCACATTCACAAGAAACGTGTGTTACACAGAGATATCAAGTCCAAGGTAAGTAGAATACCTTTTGGGGCCTAAAAGCGAAAACAGAAACAAAAACTATTCCACTCAGTCTTTTTTCTGTGTTCTTCTCTTTCCTTTTGGGACATTTTCATTTAGCCTGGAAGCATTTGTCAACCTAATATTTATACAAGCCAAGTACGGTACTACCTGAGAAAGATCATTAAATCTCTTTACTAGTGTATGTTAATAGGTTTTAAGCTCTCTTAGCGAGTGCTAAGACCAGACCGTACGTTCTCAGATGGTAAATCATCGAGACCTGGACTTGCCCCATGGAGTCCCCCTGACACGTTCCCAGGCCCTCCATCAGGCTCTGCCTGATATGGTCTTTTTTTCTTTTTTTTTAAGATTTTATTTATTATTTTAGAGAGAGAGAGAGAGTAAGAGCACACATGAGCAGGGGGAAGGGTAGAGGAAGAAGCAGACTCCCTGCTGAGCAGGGAGCCCCGTGCGGGACTCTATTCCAGGACCCTGGGATCATGACCTGAGCTGAAGGCAGACACTTAACCGACTGAGTCACCCAGGTGCCCATCTGCCGATCAAATCTTAAGCTCACTTGTTTGATTTCTAAGCAGTGATCCTGAATTCCCAAGCAGGGGAACGTGTAGCTGTCAAGAACGTATCTTATCCTTTTGTGTTCCGCTCCGGGACTCAGCTGTCAGCATCTCTACCCTTAATCTCCATCATCAGCAGTCTTTGAAAGACAGCTTCTCCGGAGATCTCTGCCTTGTGGGTGAATGATGCAAGACATAATCTCAGCCCTTCTTTTTTAATGCAGAACATCTTCCTTACCCAAAATGGAAAAGTAAAACTGGGAGATTTTGGATCTGCCCGTCTTCTGTCCAGGTATGTATATCTATTCTGTAGTAGTGACAGCAATCAAAATATCCATTATTCAGGAATGCGCTGTAATTGTGCTTTGCCTTTTTGTGGTTTTAGTCCTATGGCGTTTGCTTGTACATATGTGGGAACACCTTATTACGTGCCGCCAGAAATTTGGGAGAACATGCCTTACAACAATAAAAGGTAAGTAATGTTTTCACTTGGTACAAGAAGTCCCAAGCATAACCGCTTGGTGACAGGCATTGTAGCCAACAAATGAAGTCTGGTTTTTGAATAATATATTTGAAAGCAGTATAGACTCTAAATGCCCAGGCTTCTAGATGAAAGTCACAGTTTTCCAGTTGTTTTAATCAGAGATGAAAGGAGCTAAATGTAAATGCCAAAGGAAAGGCTAGTCATTTCTAGGGAACAGTATGAATGACATGACTGCTTCTCACACTCTGCTGCTCTCGCCTGTAAAAGTCCCGCAGTGCAGGCTGTAGCCCTACCAGTTATGTCAGAGTGTCTGGGGCTGGGAAGCAGGTAATGGTAATTTTCCAGCATCACCAAATGATTCCAGTGTGCAGCAAAATTTGGGAACCACTGGATTATGTAAATGAGTTAATATTGGCAGGACTTGATAATAAGTACTTGACTGATAGGTTCATTAATTAAAAGAAGATGGTATTAAGACCCTGTGATTTAAAACATAATATTTTTCTGACTATAAGTAATAACGTACGCCTTGATGGAGTGGGTGAGCAGGGGGAGTATTGGAAATACAGAGATATACAAGAAAGGATATGGTAGTCACCTACTTTTTCACTGCTGTTAATGACATTTTGGTGTTTTTTTCCATCCATTCACTTTCCTCCCTAAACCTAGTTTATGTATTCTATATATAACTTGGCATCCTGCTTTTTTTAAAATTTTATATTGTATCATATTCATATCACCACATATTTAAACTCTTCACAAATGTTGGTCTAATGATATATTTCCAATTTTCATTATCATAAACGGTGTTGTGATTAACAGACCTGTTGTACATAAATAGGTCATTATTTTATAACACATTCTTGGCATGAATTCCTAGAAATAGAAACACCTACAGGCTCTTGTTACCTTCTGTCCAGCTGATTCCTGGAAAGAATATGATAATCCATACTGAATAGTTTCTTTAAAGAGTAAAATTGAGTGCATTGGGGATAGAGTAGCTATAAAGGAACTTACTGGGCCAATTGGGGAAATTTGAACTTGGACTAATGTTCGATGATATTATTGAATTAAGGTTAAATTTCTTGGATGTGACAGTGGTATTGTGTTTATGAGGGAGAGTATCCTTGCTCTGAGGAGATACATGCTGACATGTTTGGGGGTGAAGTCTTTGGTGTCTGCAGTCATTTTTTCAGGAGGTTCAGATATCTATGGAAGAGGGCAACAGCTCACAAACGTGGCAAATTTAACAGTGGGGGAGTCTAAGAGCATGTGGACATGTACTTTTCTGTACGTTTGAAATTTTAAAAAATCGAAAGTTAGGGGAAACCATTGATTAAAGCCATTAGTTAAAATGCAAAGAATATGACGTAGAAAAAGTCTGGGGCATGACAACTAGGTCGTGAGAATGATGGAGGAAACAGAAATGCTTAGTATGAAGAAGGGTGGGCGTATGGGGCAAGCTATAGGACTCCTTTCTGAGTTTTGAAGAACTGTTTTGTGGAAGAATGAGTGGTCTTATTCTCTTTGTTTGGGAATGTAGAGCTAACACAGGGAGTGATGAGGGTTCCCAGAAGACACATTTTGGCTTATGAGAAAGAAGACCACTCTCCCTAGAGCCATCCAAGAGGGGCACAGGCTGTGCCCAAGGTAAAGAGCTATTTATCAGGAGGTGTGATAAAAAGGCCTGGGGTTGCTCCCAGATAGTTGGGGTGAAGGTACACTGAATGACTCCTAAAGCCCTTCTTCCAACTACCCCAGTCTGAGTCCACGAATACTCCCTCCTGTACCAAATGCTGCTGAAATGATACCTGAACCACCCTGATTTGGAGGGTAGGGGCTTGGGAGCAGAGAGTTTTACTGTGAACATTACTGTAGTAAGTACCTAAGTATTAGACCACACTTATCATGTATTTTATTTTAATAGCTAGGAATTACTGGTGATTTTTATTCTTATTAAAGTTAATTTTTCGTTTTTCTTTTCTTTTATATTTCATATAATCACTCATAACCCATTTGTCATTACGTTGCTTCTTTATGCTTCCAGTGACATCTGGTCCTTGGGATGCATTCTGTATGAGCTCTGTACCCTTAAGCATCCAGTAAGTATGGCGTGTAAAATGGAGAAGGCAGCCTCTTGTCATATCTGGCTAAGCCCTTAGTAATGTGCCAGATTCCACTTGGCCGTGTGCTTCCCTCGGACGCTGTAGGAGCGCTGACAGCATTGACTCCATCTTTGGCCTGCCATCTTCTTCTTCCCTCTGGTGCACAGGTGGTACCACTTTGGATAACTAACTCGTGACCTCACCACCATGCCCCTCGCTGCAGAGAAGCTGGGGGTTAAGGTCCAGATAGTTGTGGAGAAGGGGCGGAGTATAGGGCAGAGAATAGGCCTGCATTCCCCTGCCCGTCTTGTGCCCTGCCCATTGCCCCTGTCGGTAATTACCCTGCATAAAACTCTCCGTAAACGGTATGGAGTGGCTTGCTTTGTTTTTCAGTATTAAAGTACCTTCTTGGTCTGGAGGATCCATTACTGACCCTCCTCCACCTTCTAACAGATGAATTCATACCTGTTTCCATCCCCATCCCTCCCCTCCAGCCCCTGGTAACCTCTAATCCATTTTCTGTCTCCGAGAATGTGTGTATTCTAGATATTTCATATAAGCGGATTTACACAGTACTTTTCCCTTTGTGTCTGGCTTATCTCATGTAGCATAATGTTTTCAGGGTTTATCCATGTTGTAGCACGTGTCACAATTTCATTCCTTTCTATGATTGAATAATATTCCATTATGTGTTTATACCTGGTTTTGTTTATCCATTCATCTGTTGTTGGACATTTGGGTTATTTTCTCCTTTTGGCTATTGTGAAAAAAAATTTTTTTATATTTATTTTTTTCAAGATATTTTAAGAATTAGTTTAACAAAAAAGAGGTTAAATAATTTGGCCGGCTTATTTAGCGGTTATTAAGTACACAGAACGAACAATCATAGCCCTCGTCCCTGTTAAGTCTTAGCTTTTCATAGAAATAAATTCTGTCCTTTGAGTACAGATTGAAACTTAGCTCTAACCAAGCATTTTTTCATTTTTTTTAAATTTTAATTGAAATATGGTTGACATAGAGTATTATGTTAGTTTCAGGTACACAACATAGTGATTCAACACTTACATACATTACAAAATGCTCACGATAACCATAGTTACCGTCTGCCACCATACGAAGTTATTACGATATTATTGGCTATGTCCGCTGTGCTGTACTTTTCATCCCTGCGACTTATTTATTTCATACCTGGAAGTCTGTCCCTCTTAATCCCCTCCACCTGTTTCACCCATCCCCACCCACCCCCGGCAAGCATCTTTACAGATGGGCCTGAGAAATATGAGAGTGAATGATGGAGAAAAAGCCTTCACCACCACTAGGTGAAAGGCACTGAGGCTGAAACCACGTGCTGTCTTCCTCGAATGTATGTGATTTATAACACCAGCTGCATCCTTAGAACAACTTGGGAGACTACAAAATGGCGATGCCTGGGCCCATACCACACTAATTGAATTGAAACCCATGAGGGTGTCCTGGACAGTAGTGTTTTATAGAACAGGTGATTCTAGGGGCACCTGTGTGGCTCAGTTGGTTGAGCATCTGACTCCTGGTTTCAGCTCAGGTCATGATCTCAGGGTCTTGAGATTGAGCCCTGCATGGGGCTCGCGGCTCAGCTCGGAGTCTGCTTGAGATTCTCTCTCTCCCTCTGCCTCTCCCTGCCCACACCTGCTCTGTCTCTCTCTCTCTCAAATAAATAAATAAATCTTTAAAACAGGTGATTCTAATGTGCGGCCCAAGTGGAGAACCACTGTTTTATACAAATAAGATTATTTTTAAAACTCCAGTATCTTACTTATGATTATATTCTTTATTCCCCTGATTCTTTTTTTTGTGTGAACTTTCATATACATGTTCTTATTTTTTCTAGCAAGAATAAGAATTAAGTGCCCTGACATTTGGCACACAATCTGTTCTCTCATCTGCTTTGAGGCAAAAGTAGTTCTCAAACCTTTAGGAAATGCAGAAACCTGGTATAATGTTTCAAAAGCCACAGACAAAGCAGATTCAGTCTCATTTTTCACTACCTGAATTTTTCCCTTGTTATATGTTGACTTTTTTCCCTTTTTCACATCTTCACTTACATATTTTATTAATAGGGTGCATTTCCAAGGCAGAATGCCAAAATGCTCTTACATAAGTATCACCAAGGCTAACACCTAATGTTAATTTCAGTGTTTATTCTACAGTGAAGATTTTTTTACATGTTATTCTGGCATGTCATTTTGATTCCCATTCTATTGCTTGTCAAATTTTAATAGCTACTCTGATGACATGAAAGGTGAAAGGGATCTGGTAGTAGACGTTTAAAGCTGGAATAGTCTGGAGTGCATATCACAAGGGGACAGGACTAGGGGCTTCTGGGGAGGAATGAAGCGAAGGGATGTTACACTTACTGTAAGCCTGTTAGTACCATTGACGTCTTAAAAAGCTACACGTATGCATTACCTTGATTTTTAAAATATGTTAAAAATGTGTATCTGCACACACACTGTGAGTTTTAAAGTATCCAAAGCTGGAATCGATGCTAACCCTTTCTCTAGATGGGGAAGTTTTGCACTGTTTATGTTTACCTTCCTTCTGAACCCACCGTAAGATTTTGAATAGTACCTTAAGGCTCCCTCTGGGAAGAAAAATGACCAGGCAGCAGATACTTTTATAAAATTAAATTAATTCATAAAAATTCCGTTGAGCTGATAATTTCTTCCACTCTTGCCTTGTCTCTGCTCTTACAGTTCAGTTTTACTTTTTAGTTTCAGGCAAACAGCTGGAAAAGTCTTATTCTCAAAATATGTCAGGGGTCGCTGTGCCCACTGCCGTCTCAGTACTCTTGTGAACTCCAGCATCTGATCAAGCAGATGTTTAAAAGGAATCCCTCACATCGCCCTTCCGCTACAACACTCCTCTCTAGAGGCTCTTTGGCTCGGCTTGTCCGCAAGTGCTTACCCCCAGAGGTATGTTAGATCGACTGGGAGTGGTTTTCAAGTAGGGTCAAATGGTTCGTTATCTTTTAAACACAACATGTAGTACATGCTTGTAAAAATTCAAATAATGCAGAAGAGTATACAAAAGATAAAAGCTTCCTGTCCTTCCTCTCCCTTCCATAATGCTGTTCCCTGAGAATACTCACAGGGAGAGTTTGTGTAACCATTCTTATCTTTCTCTAGACATGTAGAAATGTCTATTTGCGTGTCTAAATTATGGGTATTTTCTAAATGGCATTTTTATTTTTCAACTGTAAATATGATTGTGGGGAAGAAATGTTGATAATTAAATGACATTATGGCAGTGGCTAAAGAAAAGTGTACCTTACCTCACATCTTTAAATTCTCTACTTGAAATTTTCAGATCATCACAGAATATGGCGAGCAGGTATTAGAAGAAACCAAAAACTCTAAGCATAGTACACCGAGGAAAAAAGGTAAGAATTTTAGAAAGCTTACTTTTTGTTCAATTTTCTTTTAAAATGTAGTTTAACAAAAAAGAAAAATATAATTTTCAAGTTACTAGAGACAATTTCAGAGATCTCCTGATATTAAAATTTTCTTATTGCTGTTGCAGATGTAATTCTGTACTGATTTTTATACTTTTAATTTTCCAGGGATCAAAGAGCCTAGTTTGGAGATTTTAATGATGTAAAGATTGTTCTCTCTTTCATTATTAGTACCATGTTCCCTTTGGTCAGGTAGGGAAGGCTTCTGTGGCCTGGCCTAGGAATCTAACCATGAAAATACGATGTTAATCTTGTAGGAAATTATCCCCAAGTGTCCAAAGAACCATCTGGTAAACAAAATTTTTAAAAAGCAGAGCCTTGGGACACCTCGGTGGTTCAGTCAGTTAAGCATCTGCCTTCGGCTCGGGTCGTGATCCCAGGTCCCTGGGATCGAGCCCCGCATCGGGCTCCCTGCTCAGCGGGAGTCTGCTTCTCCCTCTGCTGCTCTCCCTGCTCGTGTGCTCTCTCTGTCTGACAAATAAATAAACTCTTTTTTAAATCCATCAATCAATAAATGCCTTTTCAAGAGTTGAAACTGTCCACATAATAGCTGCACAAAATTTCCATATATATTTAGTTGATCCTGAATAAATTTCAAATGTAATTTATTGTCTCTTTGAAAGTTGTCATCTCTTAATTTTTTCAAAGCTATTTTTGTTCCTTTCTTTTCTTTCTTTTCTTTCTTTCTTTTCTTTCTTTCTTTCTTTCTTTCTTTCTTTCTTTCTTTCTTTCTTTTTTTTTAGTAAACTCTATGCCCAACATGGGGCTCGAACTTACGACTCTGAGAGTAAGACTTGTCATAGGCTTTACCGACTGAGCCAGCCAGGCGCCCCTATTTTTGTTCCTTTTTATTTGTCATCAGTGACTCAGACCTTCCATCTGATGATATCCACCGAAGATGGTAGATTCGACCAGAATAAGAGAGAAGACAGATAGAAATAGATCATCAACTGTAGGGACATGTTGTAAACCTTCATTGTTTGGTGCCCACTATCTCAGAGTTACATACTCCACAAGAAACACTCAAAAACCCTACCATTTTCTGACAGTTCAATTTTAAATGTTATTTTTGTAGGATTGTATATCCTTTTAGTAATGCAAACCCCTTGGTCTTGTAATTCAGGCTTTTCTCCCTTCCTTAAGGGGTAGCCAATTACCTTTGTTTCCACAGTTTGCTTTAGTGTTAACTTTACGTTAGGTACTATTTTGTAGCTTTTGTCCTCATCCCAGGGTAGTGGGAAATTAGTTTTAAAATGCTAGGCAACAACAACAATAAAAGCCAGTCTAAGAAAAGTTTCAAAATAGTTTGGCTAAGTGTAGTCTTACCATTCCTAAAAAAGAGGAATAAACCAGTGGAGAAAGGCCAGCATGCAGACCGTGTGTCTGGTGGCATCTCCACCAGAACAGCGAACGCTCCCTGCGGGTGGGGGCTGCGTCTCATTCGCTCTCTGTTGTACCCTCAGCACCTGACATCACAGATGCTCGATAGCAAGTTTTTACAATGTTGAATGAATGAGGAACATGGACGGCCGGGCTCTACTGGGGCAAATCAGCCACTCTTCCCGAAGGGATCTGGCGCCCAAGTTCTCGCTGACTGCCGCCACCAGTGCCTCGTGAGGGAACAAGCAGCTCCCTTCTTAATGAGGGATCCCTGTTCCACGGGCTGTCATAGCTGTCAGGAAAAGCGCCACAGCTAGCCTGAGCTGGAGGTGACAGTGACCTCCCAGGGATGCGGAGCATCTCACCTTTCAGATGTTAACATCAGGAATAAAACAGCAGAAACAGCCTCTGTTTAAATTACTGGGTAGGATAGGGGCGCCTGGGTGGCTCAGTCGTTAAGTGCGTCTGCCTTCGGCTCAGGTCACAATCCCAGGGTCCTGGGATCGAGCCCCGCATCGGGCTCCCTGCTCCGCGGGAAGCCTGCGTCTCCCTCTCCCGCTCCCCCTGCTTGTGTTCCCTCTCTCGCTGTGTCTCTCTCTGTCAAATAAATAAATAAAATCTTAAAAAAATAATAAATAAAAAAATAAATTACCGGGTGGGTAAAGCTTGATATCACTATTCAGGCTAAGGCTTTGGCTCTTGGACTTCAAAAACTTTTGTCTTTTGGGCTTTCTGCACATCACATGAGGAACTTAGTCACATGAACCTCTGCATGCCTTCTCTTCCTACCTTCTCTTTTCTTTTTAAGCAGACCCCAGCAGAAGCAAGATAGCTTTGGAAAATGAAGCAACCACGATGGTAAGAGCTTGGAAATTACGTTTATGAAACCCCTGTCTCTTGGGTTCTCGTCTCTTGGGTTCCATGGGCCTGGACCCTCCCGGCCAGCAGTTTCTCGGCCTTTGGCACGAGAAGTAACTGGTGGCTGTCGCCCGCGCTGTCAGCTGAGCTGCTGGAGATCCCCGAGCATTTGGTTCATGTGCCTTGTTTTTCTGTTTTTAATTACTGATGACCAGTGGTTTCAATGTAGATGTGAGAGAGCGGTGTTCTGCTTTCAGTCATGAACATCTTGCTTTAGCTTGGCTTTTGGTTTGTTTGTCATTGTGGTAAACCATATATAACACAGAATTTCCCATCCTAGCCATTTTTAAGCATACAATTCAGCAGCATTAGTCACATTCACAGTGTTGGGTAACCATCCCCGCTCTCTCTTTCTAGTACTTTCTCTTCACCCTGTTACAGAAACTGCCCATTATATAGTAACTCCCCATTCCTCCCTGACGTGCACTGCCACCCCAAGCTCCTGGTGACCTCCATCCTACCTTCTGTCTCTATAAATGTGCCTATTCCAGATATTTCACAGGAGTGGAATCATGCAATAGTTGTCCTTTTGTGTCTTTTTGCTTAGCATAGGGTTTTATTTTGTTTTTTTGTTTTGTTTTGATTTTGCTTAACATAGTAATTTTAAGGTTCATCCATGGTATAGCCTGTATCAGAATATTTTCCTTTTAATGGCTAAAGGATATTTAGATCTGTATTTTGCTCTTGACATTTTTCTGTTCGGAACTTTTAGTGCCTCCCCATTATCTCTGACAAACCAAGTTGACATTTTTCAGCCTGGCATTCAAGGTCCTGTTTGTCTTGTTTTGCCCTGGGTGGCTGTGAGCTCTTTAATATGAAAGCTGCAGTAAAGGCCTGAAGAGAACAGCGGATCTACTTCTGAGTGTTGCCAAACTCAACCCAGTAAATTGTGCCCTACTCACGATTTGTTTTGCTTTCTTCATCCACCTTTTAATTCCAAAAAGAAAAAATGTACTAACAACAAATCATTCTATTTATGGAATGTACTAGTAATTAAACTTGTCAAATTTTTTGGAATGGAGATTTGGTGGTAAATAAATAACAGCATCCCACCATTATGTTGCCACAAATGGACTAGATCCTGCCCCTGTACTTTTTTTTTTATTCGTGTGAGAATATCTATTTTTTCCCCAGCTTTATTGAGGCATAATTTATATGCAGTAAAATTGACCCATTAGTGTAGAGTCTGATGAATTTTGGAAATTTTATAGTGTCATATAACCACCACCACAATCAAGATCTAGAAATCCCAGCCTCCTAAAAAGTTTCCTCAGGGCCCTTTGCAGACAATCCTGACCCCTGTCCTAGGCAACCACCCCTGTCGTTTTGATACCCCCTACAGTGGACACATCCAGGTGTTCTCGTGGATGAAAAGAGAGTGAAATGTAAGCAGAACGAAGAGAGAGCCAGAAAATTGGTCAGATAAGGGAAGAGCTGAGGTAGGAAGAAGGTCCTGGGCAAGCCGGCGAGGTATGACGGTGTGAGGGCAGACCCGGGTGGCACCGAGCCAGGAGCACTCTTTGAGGCTGTAGTCCGTACAGCAGTGACCGTCGGCCGGGATGCAACATCAAAATGCCCTCAGGGCTTTTAAAAACTGCTCATCACCACTACCCACCGCAATTCTGACTTCTTTGTCTATGGGGGGGGCCCTTCGCCTGGTGGGGAGTGAAGTCTGAGAACCACTGTATAGAAATAAGCACAAAGTTCCAGTTACAGCCTACTGTTTATTTATTCATTCCACAAATCATTGAGAACCTATATGCTGGAAGCTGTCTAGGCATAGGAAATGTATTCCTTCTCAAAATATATGTAGATTTAATGGCGTCTAGACAGTGTGTTACTATATTTCATGAAATCAGGAGCTTAGATAATTTGGAAAAATACCAAATTAAGTGGGAACATTTTAAAGATTTTATTTACTTATTTTTAGAGGGAGGGTGTGGGAGAGGGAGAGGGAGACTCTCAAGCAGACTCCCTGCCAATTGTGGAGGCCTACACGGGGCTCGATCTCACAACCCTGAGATCATGGCCTGAGCCGAAATCAAGAGATCAAGATGTTCAACCGACTGAGCCACTCAAGTGAAGTGGGAACATTTTGACCATATGTAGCAACTTTATAAAATATCTCATTTTGAGGGGTGCCTGGGTGGCTCAGTCGTTAAGCGTCTGCCTTCGGCTCAGGTCATGGTCCCAGGGTCCTGGGATCGAGCCCCACGTCAGGCTCCCTACTCAGCGGGGAGCCTGCTTCTCCCTTTCCCAGTCCCCCTGCTTGTGTTCCCTCTCTCTCGCTGTGTCTCTCTCTGTCAAATAAATAAATAAATCTTTAAAAAAAAAATCTCATTTTGATATTCCAGCATGAAAAGCCCAATACAGCAAACCATACTGAAATTTTTCATTACTCATTGCTTCTATAAAGACCTCTCAAATACCTCTTGTTATTTTATATATCCTCTTCATATTTGCATTGATCGATATTAGTGATTAGTAATATAGGGGCACCTGGGTGGCTCAGTCGGTTAAGCGTCAGACTCTTGTTTTCCGCTCAGGGCACCATCTCCGGATTGTGAGTTGAGCCTCGCGTCGTAGTCTGCGCTCAGCATGGAGCCTGCTTGGGATTCTCTTGCTCCCTCTCCCTCTGCCCCTTGCTCTCACTCTCTCTTTAAAAAAAAAAAATCAGGATTAGAAATATATATGACTTTAATATATATGTATGTATATGGTTTTTAACCTACATATAAATATGTATGACATATAACGTACAGTGATGTATGGGGTTCTATGGTTATTAATGTTGTTTAAATTCATTAGTCTTTATTTAAAACTAAGGTAGCTGACTTTGCCTACTTTACCTTGTTTGTAGCATTTTAAGCATTTTTAATCTGTATTTTTAATCCCTTTTAAAGCCAAGGGAAGAAGAAGCTAGAAAGTACAGCCACACTAATTTAGAAAACATTAATAAAAATTCAGTTGAAAGTGCACTGGGGACAGTAAACAAAGAGAAAGGTAAGTTATTCAAATTCTAATTGTTGTATAAGTGAGGAATTGGGGAATATGGAAGGAATATTAATTTTCATCTTACTAGGTCATAGGTGTCATAAACAAGTGGACAGGCAGATTTTTGTTTGTTTATCCAGTGATTTATTTAATGGTATAGGAATACTTTATTACTCATAAAAAAAAGAGAATAGTGTTTATTAATAAGAGCCTTTAGAAAAAAACAGTATTTCTTGCACTCTCTGTCATAGAAACCATGTGCAGAAATATACAACCTCTTGGGGCTTCATTCTTGTTCATTGTATAATATATATATGTGTTTTTAAAAATTCACTTTAATGATTAGCTTTACCTTTTCATTTGGAGGTTTTTTTTTTTTTTTCATTCCCTTTACCGCTTAGACTTGAAAAACATTGTGAGTGGATTTGAGTTTGGAAGAGAAAAAAAGATTTCTTTCTATGTAGTTGTTCAAGTATATGTGTTCATATAGATGGTAAATAATATGCTTAGCAATACTTTTTTACATTTTAAAATCAGATAATAAATCAGTCCATCTGAGGAAACTCAGTTCACCAAGTCCTGTCAGGCGACAGTGGGAGAAAAATGTCCCCAACACAGCTCTCACGGCTTTGGAAAATGCAGCCATACTCTCCTCCAGTTTAGCAGCCGGGGATGAGAGAGGTTAGTAGTCAGTTGAATGCTGTTACTATTCAACATTTTCTTTAGGTGATTTCTTTTTTTTTTTTTTTTTAAGAGAGAGAGCAAGTATTGGTGGGGGCAGAGGGAGCAGAAGAGAGAGAGATTCTGAAGCTGGTTCAACTCCCAGTGCGGAGCCCGATGTGGGGGTTGATCCCACAACCCTGAGATCATGACCTGAGCTTAAATCAAGGGTCAGAGACTTAACCACCTGAGCCACCCAGGTGCCCACTACAGAGCATTTTCTCATGGTTGTTTAATGGGCTAGAGATTGTTCTTGTTGTTTTTAATGTCACTCTGTAAAAGATATTTGGTGTCATGTATCAGAGCAGTGCTCATGTAGGTGAGTGAAATAGATTTTAGTAGAGAGGAAAATACAATTAACTTCGCTGAAAATACAGTCTGGAAGATATATGCTGAAAATCTTTTTTACGTGGCCCTGTCACCTTTTCACAACTAGGTGGTTCTGTAATAAAGTACAGTGAAAATAACACCCGTAAGCAGTGGCTGAAGGAGACTCCAGAAACTCTGATGAACATCCTTAAGAATGCAGATCTCAGCTTGGCGTTTCAAACATATACAATATATAGACCAGGTGACTCAAGTCTATTACCTACCTGTGGAAACCCTTTGATTTTTTTATTTTTATTTCAATTTATTTATTTATTTATTAAAGATATTATTTATTTACTTGAGAGGGAGAGAGTTCATGAGCAGGGGGAGGGGCAGAGGGAGAGGGAGAAGCCCACTTCCCGCGGAGCAGGGAGCCCAGGGGCTCAATCCCAGGACCCCGGAATCATGACCTGAGCCGAAGGCAGATGCTTAACCTACTGAGCCACCCAGGCGCCTCCCCTTTGATTTCTTTAAAAAGTGTGGTAAGACATACATAAACTAAATTTGCCATTTAAACCATTTTTAGGTGTGCAGTTCAGGGGCATTAAGTATATTTCCTTTGTGCAGCCATCACTACCATCCATCTCCAGAACTTTTCCCACCTTCCGAATCTGAAAGCATGTACCCATTTAAAAAAAATTCCCTATTTACCCTTCCCAGAGACTTTGATTTTAAAGTTATAAAATGATTCATAACATTGTACATTTTAGGTTTTCTTGAATCTTTTTTAGCCAGTATTGAGCTCTAATTAAAATTTCCCATGGAGCTTCATTACTTTTAATTGCTTATTTGTTTGCTTGTTTTAATAACTGTGGGACTACTTTGGAGAGTAGCCTATTTTTAACCATGCAAGTACACCACTGCCTTACTCACTCTACAGTTCAGACTCCATAATGGTAAACTTTGAGGAATTTCAAGATTTCTTTTGCTCTATGCTTGAATCCTGCTATATTGAATAGACCTCAAGAAAGAGGAGTAATTGGGATTTGATTTTTTTATCATTTCTACAGACATTTTCACTAAAATTGCACAAAATTACCTTTTATAATACTGTCTTTAGGAATCGAGGCCAAAGGACTGCATTAAGGGTGTGTACATGTGTGTATAATTTTGATAATTCAATTATTAAGCCATCTTGCTAAGTTAAGATCTAAGATAAATTATGCCAAGTAGAGCATGTAATGCTGTGGCAAGTCTTGACCGTATTTATTTTAACAGATTTAGTTGTCTTTGTTTATTTGGTCAGTATTTATTGAGTGCCAAACATGCCAGGTTAAGATTTAAAAAAAAAAAAAAAGAAGAAAACACAGCTCCCTCCCTGGGGGAGTTTGGTGGGAGACCAGCACTCAAGGAGAGAGGTTTAGAGTGGTGTAGATGAATTTTTAGAGGTGTGTTCTGATAGAGCTGTGCGCAGATTGTCATAGGTGCCCCAGCAGAGGTGGGTGCATAGAAGGATGGTGTTAAGGAAGGTTAACAGTTGTGAATTTTGTTGTAGCAACTGTAGGTCCTGGATTTTGTTTCTGGTCCCTGTTCACTGTTTAAAACCTATGTCATAGCTCTATTATGAAAGGGTTTTATAAAGATTTAGCCCACATTTTTGTGTTAGGTTATTGTTGTGTGAGCAAAAATCTGAAAGCAGTTGCCATCTAGAAAATTTTTTGAAAGCACGCATGTGGTCTCCATTCCCTAATTTTATTCCCCATCATGGGAGAAAGTTGGGGGTGGGGAGCTCAAAAGAAAAACAACTGGAAGACGACAATCCAAAGATAACTTTAATATAGGTTCTTATATTTGAAGGTTTTAATTATGATTTTCTAAATTTTTCTTTTGAAGAAAGTACTGTTTTTAAATTTAATACCCATACTGATGCTTCACAGGCCTGTTTCATGCCAGAAATCATGCTCTGTAATGGGGAAGGCACTACAAAAGAAATATACCATTGTCCTCAGTGAGCCAGCAAGCTTTTGGAGGATTTTAGTCCGACATTCACTAATTACGCCACTACTGTTAAAATTGGCATAATTTTCCTCTGAAGGTTCAGAAGGGTTCTTGAAGGGCCCCCTGTCTGAAGAAACAGAAGCGTCAGACAGTGTGGATGGAGGTCATGATTCTGTCATTTTGGACCCAGAGAGACTGGAACCTAGACTGGATGCAGAGGACACGTATGTTGGGATATACCTACATGGCTCTGGCCATTGTGTGTGAAAATCATACCTTAATTTCAGGTTTAGCAGGAGCTGGTTATATTACTCGACATCACAAATGAATATTCTTATCTTGATCTTTTGTCTGGGATGAGTAATGCGTTATGGTATTATCATAGAATTCCTGAGTTCAACCGTTCACCTTGGACTTATTATTTTTTAATATATTGGATTTTATTGGCAAATGTTATAGAAACATGAAAGAAGTGTTCCTTTGGAAGAGCTAACAGTGTTTTTCCTCTGGTCAGTTGCCTTATGGAGCTCATTTTTCAAAAATGTAAATATTGTGACGGTAGTGTTCTGCTTTGAGCCACCAAAAAATACTTACCGTGCCCCTGCTATGGAGGCTTAATATCAAAATTGTGTCTTCACAGGGACTTTGAGGAGGATGACGACAGGCCTGACTGGGTGTCAGAACTGAAGCAGCGAGCTGGCTGGCAAGAAGTGTTGGATGGGTAATGCCCAAGGAGGTGCTCCTTCGTCACATCGGGTAGATGTTTAAAGTGAGGAATTAATGTTTGGATAATATCAGCTCATGGGATCCGCAGTTTTCTTTGGGCACAGAATGAAGAGGGGGAAACTGTGAATATTTAAAATTGTTCCTGATTAGTACCACAAGGCTTAAAAAATCTGTAACTCTCATGAGTTTTTGAACTGAAAGGAGAAGGCGTGGAAGAATGGCTCTGAGCTTCAGGCTTTGCATTTGGAACAGAAATCGGGTGCTACTGCTTACAGTTTGTGTGATTGTGGGCAATTAAGCTCTTTGAGCCCCAGTTTCCACGACTCTAAAATGAGGGTGATAATGCCTTCCTCATAGGGGTGCTGACCACAGACCATGGCAGCAGCCCATCATGTTATTTCTGCACTGTTGTGATTGGTGCTTAATTGCTGTGTAACTCTTTTTACATTTATGAAAGGTTTGAAGATCTAAATAAATTTAATTGGAAAATAATGGTGTGCAGTTTTCCAATAAGGCCTGTTTCTGGGTAGTGATCATGATCTTGGCCAATGACCCGCCATCCTTAAATACCGCCCCTCACAGGATGCACAGAAGCACCCAGGTCAGAGGATCAGCTGTGGGAAGGGGGGGCGGTGGGGCAGTACAGATCTTGTCAGAAGTTGGCAGTCTTGTGCAGGAGAAAGAAATAGGCCAAAGGTGGAAAGTATTGGAAAGTAGAGAGTGCTGTGGGACTAATGGGCTAATGGGATGCCAACTTGTGTGGGTCACCCTGACATGCATGTGCTGGGTCCTGTCGTTCCATCCTGGGGTGCGGTCGTGAGGCGACATATTATACTCCAGAAGAAAGAGGCTCCTCTCTGGAGATCTCACGGAGGTAAGTGTGCAAACAGCAGAAGCCTGAGCAGGTATGAGGAATGGTGCTCCAGTGAAGAACCAGGGAAAGTAGCTGAATCTATAGCAGGATGATTAATAGGGATCTCCTGAAATATGGAATACATACATCTTGTAGATTTAAACCATTTTTTTTAATCTTCAGGTACAAAAACTATGGTATAGACCTTCACCCCACCCACTTTGTCTACCTTTAGACATCTCGTCATCCTTCGTCTTCTCTGCTCTCTCACAGTCTCTCCATCTGTCGTTTTTCAGGACCTTGACATTTTTGAGGAATACCAGTTAGGCATTTTGTAGCATGTCCCTCAGTTTTTCGTCTGGTAGTTTCCTCGTGATGAGACTGAGCTCAAGGGTTTGGGGAAGAATACCATGGAGGTGAGGTGCCCTTCCCATCACCTCTCATCAGAGAGTATGCGATTTCGACATGATTTATTACTGCTGTTGTTAACCTTGGTCACGTGGTTAAGGCAGTGTCTGCCAGGTTCTCCACTGTAAAGTTACCAATTTTCCAATCTTCTCTTGGGCCCTGGGAAACAGATTTCCCAACTGGAGTGCAGAGTTTATGTACTGTTCGTAGTGCCTCTACGCGAGTCACTGGGTCCAGCTCATCCTCAGCTCTACTTCCTGAAGGGGGCTATAATCCATTGCGAAGTCATTTGTTTTATTCCTTCAATTGATCTAGATTTGGCCACTGGGAGTTTTCCAGGCTGCCTCTGTGTTCCTTTGACATGCCCTCATTCTTTTCTGTTTTGAGACTTTCCTTACTTTCTGGTACTACAAGAAGATTGTCCAGGCGCATCTTCCCCAGCCTTCTCTGTCGCAGCTCCAGAGTCAGTCATTTCTCCAGGGAGCCTTGGTTCCTTTCATTGGCTTAGAAACCAGGATCTGGGGGTTGGGTGTGCTTGTTGCTACTGGGCCGTCACTGCTTTTAGGCCCTCTTAGCAGACAGAGCGAGGAGATCCATATATGTTTGCTATCCTGTGCACATAACGTACAGCTATTGTCACTTCTGTGTCTCTCCGTCTGTAGGTGATTAAACCGAGGATGAGTTCAAACTGATGTCTTGGACTCTGATCTAGTACCACAGGGTTCATTCTAGCCTTCCCCTCCTTGCTTTTCTGTAGCTTCTCTTTCTGACAATGAAAAACCTGGCTTCAGCCATCCACTATTCACTTAATTGCTCAACACCAGAATACAGATGTAAAGCAGTTTCCAAATTAATCAACCCATATTCCCGTGAGAAACAAATTTCTCAACTGGAGTACAGAGTTCATGTACTGTTCCTAGTGCTTCTAGCCTTAGAATTCCAGTTGAAACACCATTTCCCAGAGTTACTTAGGTTAGCTCCGCCCCCCCTTTTTTACCACTCTCTTGAAGACTTTTCAAGAGTTAAGGTAGGCGGGGATAGCTTTAAGGATAGTTCCAGATACCCAGCTTCCATAAATACCGTATTCTGTACCTCTTAATCATCTCAAATTTTAGTATTGTCCCAGGGAATGCTGGGGCATTCCCGCAAACACAGGGAACTTGGAATTATGTATATAGTTATTGAGAGACTGAATGAGTCTTGATTGGATGACAGATCCTTTCACAAGTCAGTTGGCTTGCAGGTTTTGCTCTTAATAACACTTCAGGATATTTAATGGATGATTAGGAGCCAGTTTTAGTGATATTCTTGACTTAAAACAAGGCAAGGACTGAGGGATACTTTTAACAAAACTTCCAATTCCTATTTATTTAACTGAATGAGGTTTCCCAGTACTTAAAGCTTGAAAGAAAGAGAGAAAGAAAGAGAAAGAGAAAAAAAAGGAGAAAAAGAAAAGCAAGAGAATCATTGTTGAACCTTGTCTGTTCCAGCAAAAAGTGAGCATTCATCTAGTGGATACTAAGGGGAGGGGAAAAAAGCCCACTGACATCTTTAAGTGATGAAATTTCCAATACAGTTTTGCTTTTTATGTTTAATGATTATTTATCAATGTGATTAATTTTATTTTTTACCAATTCTGTACCTACTAGTAATGTTAATAATTCAATCAAGAATGAAAGCCTATGATCAGGAAATATAAATTAATTTCCATTTATATGATAGGGTCATCAATAAAACTTTGAAGCAGAAAAACATTACCTATAGCGATAGGAAGGAGTTCAAGGAGAGAAAAGAATGATGTAAACTTTGTGATTCTTAAAAGAAGAGCTTATTTAAAAAGAGAATGATGGTTTCAAATTGCCGTGGTTTTTAGATTCCTTTGGATATGTTTTACTTGTGTCAGTATTTATAATTGCTGAAAATTACATCCTTTTCAACTACTTAGACCTGTAATGAAACGTTTTAGACAGCAGCTTGATGTGCAGTCGCGAATGGTGAACGGGAGGGGCGGGAGGGGAGCCTGTTTGCAGGCCACTGGGCGGCGGCCAGTTTTGTAAGGCCGCCAAGTGTAGACCAAACAGCGTCTGTCCATCTCCTGATAGTATTTGAGACCTTGCACGAAAAACTCTCCCCGTCTCAATTTAGCTCGTTTGGAAAACTGGGTGACCATCTTGCTGGGTTATTGCAAAGAAATGTATGCAAAGCCTCTCGTACGCCGTGTGCGAGAACGAAGAGCGGTGTGCTTGTGGAGTGATGGGCACAGGAGTCCCGACCTAAGACCAGCAGAAGGTGGCGCGGCCGGGTCTCCAAACTCCCTGGCCTTGGACCACTCTTCGAGGTGGATTGTGCAGACCAGTCCTCTCGCAGCTAGCGCCCCGCGCCCCGCCCGCTTCCCCCCCGCCCCGCCCGGCTCCGCCCCTGCCGCCCGGAAGCACCGCGGTCCCGGGAACCCAGATTCCCCCGGGGACGCTTCCCGCCCCGCGGAGCAGGCTCAACAGGTATGCTGCGGGCGGGCCGCCCGGGATCCTTACCCCGAGCTGCCCCCGGGGCTCCGGGAGCCGCGGGGAAAGGGACGGAAGCCCCGGCCTGTAGACAGAGGCTGCAGGGGAACTGCCCGAAGTCCCGCGCGGCGTCGGTCTCCGTGGCGACGCGCGGCAAGCCGAGCTCCCGCCAGCGCGCAAGCTTGCCGCCCAGCCGGCGGCCGCTCCCCGCAGCGCCCCTACGGGAGAAGGCTAGTCCCGAGAGCTGGGGGCTTCCACCCGCTGGTGCCGCCGGGGCGGGAGGGTCGCCGTCCCTCAGTTCCCGGGCTGGAGTCCTCGAGTTCCAGTTGCGCAGCCTCCTCCCTCAAAACCCCGTCCTCGGGTGTCCCCGGCCTCCTCTGGCAGCGGAGCTGCTTCCCAGCCCCATGCCACCCAGTTGTCCCCTTTCCTACCCTGACGCAAATGATCGAAAACCTGACCTGCCTGCTCGCGCAAGTTTTTTAAAAGTGGGCTCAACAAGTCATATTCAACCTTAAAAAAAAAAAAAAAAAAAAAGTGGGCATGATGCCCTAATTGTGGTATAAAGAGGAAATGCAAGGAAACGGTTTATGATAGTTTGCATTTCAGTCTGCAAATGCTTGGTACGACCACAGTCGAAGAAGTAGTGAAGTTGCCTAGTGCCCGCGCCTGGGCAGGGAGGCACCTGACCTTGACGGCCGCGCCCACTGTTAGTCTCGGCTACCCACCCAGAGCAGCTCAGCCAGCGGGGGCGTGATTTTCCAAACCGGTGCACGATTCTTGGTAATGTTCCAAACACAACAAAGTACAATCCAGCCTTGACTTACACGCAGTTGCGTTCCTCGAAAATTCGATGTTCAGTAAAACTGTGCAAAAAATATTCTGTATTCACGTGTAAAATGGAGTTTGGTTCTAGCAGCAGATTGTTATAAATGGACTTTTCCACGCACATGAATGCGTGTGAGGACTTGCTAAGGTTGTAGGGCCGCGGGATCGTCCTTTATCTTCAGGACGGCCCCTCGGATCGCAGGACATTAGTATCCCAGGCCCCCACCACTTCTAAATGCCACAGTGCTTCGCCATCTCTGCGGGGGAACAGAAAAACCTCCACAAATTCCCAAAATGTCCCCTAGGGGGCAGCACGTCCCCGTTGAGAAGGGCTGAACTGTAAAACTGCACCCGCATTAAGGACATTTCCAGCGTTACCGAGGAGCCAAGACCCGGGTGTTGTATCTTAGATTCTCAGAACAATCTTGCAAAACCAGGGATTGTTATTTCCATTTTAGAAATTAGGAAAGTGAGGTTTTGAGGGATAAGTGACTTCCCCAGGATCACAACACTACAGTGTATCAAAGCTGAGTCTGAGCTCAGATTCCACCAAGAAGCACCGTTTCACTTTGGTTGTCCCCTGTGGCCCCAAGGAAAGTTATTTGACTCTGTCTTGGTGAGGTTGGGAGCAAGGTTTTAGGAGTTCCTTTACATTGTAGTGATCAATTGTGTGACTTTGTTCACGTTTATGAAAAGTGTGTGATAAAATTTCAGTGCTCTGATTTCAGGAACCACCGCGCATTGACACCATGGACAATTACGATGTGATCAAGGCCATTGGGGAAGGTGCCTTCGGGAAAGCATTCTTGGCTAAAGGGAAATCAGATAGCAAGCACTGTGTTATAAAAGAGATCGATTTTGCGAAGGTAAAGTGAAGAAGTTCACATTCCTGTTCATTTTCAGTCATATATTCAGCTGGCTTTTAATTCAGTATGAAAAAGAAACTCATTTTTTGGCTTGTCTGTTTTTATGATATGAGCCTCAGTTGACTAGGGGCGCCTGGGTGGCTCAGTGGTTAAGCGTCTGCCTTCGGCTCAGGTCATGATCCCGGGGTCCTGGGATCGAGTCCCACACCGGGCTCCCTGCTCAGCGGGAAGCCTGCTTCTCCCTCTCCCTCTGCGCCTCCCCCTGGCCTGTGCTCTGTCCCTATCTTGCTCACTCTCTCTCTCTCAAATAAATAATATCTTAAAAAAAAAAAAGCCTCAGTTGACCTTGGTTTGCTCACACTCCTAAGTCTGTTGTCCAAAGAGCAACCAATATTTTACTAGAAAAAAGAAAAGGAAAGGAAAGGACAAAAAGAAGGAAGAAAAGAATAATAAGATTATATCACTGGTTCCTGTGGCAGTCTTCAGGGTGGCCTGCAAGGCCTGTGAGGTTTCCCCTCCTCCATTGCTCAACTTTTCTATTTTGCCATGGGCTGGTGCTCTTCTTCTGACTGCATTTCCTTCATCAGGTCCCCTCCACAAAGAGGCCTTCCCCAAATCATCCCTGTCCCACCTTCAATCACTCCTTATTACACTGCCCTGGCTTCTTTTCTGAATAGCATTTATAATGATCTGGAATTACTCTGCTCACTTTTTTCTTCATGTGCTTATTGTCTGTCTTCTTCAGCATGAAAGACAGTGCTTGGCACATGATAGGCGCTCCAAACATTTACTGAATGCATCAAATGAATGGAGGAAAACAAAGTCCTTTTGCTAGTCCAACGATTTTGGAGAGTGATTAAGTATATTTCATTGAAAAGGAATCATTTCTGAATTCTTCTCGGTCAAGTGTTTGTGTCACCCCCTCTGGTGATAATATATTGGGACAACCATCTCCATCGCATGCTAGAATTAATTTTAAGGCAAGTCTTGTTGGTTGTCCTCTGGAGGATTTATAAATGAGAGTAGCAGAAAATGTGCCATACAAAACGTGTGCAAATGGGGCACCTGGCTGGCTCAGTCGCTTAGTTGGTAGAGCATGTGACTGTTGATCTCAGGATTATAAGTTTGAGCCCCACACTGAGTGTAGAGATTACTTAAAAATAAAAATCTTGAAAAAAAATCTCTTTAGTTAAAAAAAAACAAAAACACCCCAAAATGTGTGCAAAAATGGACTTGACAAGTTGCACGGTGTGAGTGTACTTAATGCCCCCGAACTGTACATTTAAAGACGGTTAAAATGGCATATATTTTATGTTCTATATATTGTACCACAATTTTTTAAAGTTGCAGAGGAAAACAGAAGGACTGCCCAAACTTACATTAAAGCTCAGGTGTAGACGGTTAGCTTCAGGGAGAATGCTTTATTTACCAGTATAGGTCCCTCTTCATGGCTCCATGGCATACTTCTGCGAGTATCTTATTCTAGCGGCCTGTCAGAGTTTCCTTCCACGACAGTATTCTGCTCGCTCTCCTTTATTCCAAGGAAATACCTAGAGATGTACAGTCAGAAAGCAACTTAAATGTCCAACAGTAGGGGATTGGTTACTTAATTTATAAAAAATGAAGCGGCTCTTGGAAATCATGTTGCAGGTGAAGTAGTGACATGAGAAATGTCATGGCTTCTGCTAATTGAGAAAACAGTACGTGTAGAATGAGGCACTCTTTGTAAAAATATGCATTCTCTCTCTAGGGGTATATAGATACCCATGCATATATATTCACATACGTACAGGGAAGATGTACTAGATTGTTCTGATGTAGGTGGAATGTGGGATTGTGAATCATTTTTGCCCTGTACTTTTATATTCTTTCACTCTTCAGATTAGTTTTCACACTCTCTCTGGTTTGTTTTCCCAAATTCCATTTCCAACTTCCCCTCCACATACGCGTCCTTTGCAGCCCAGCAGCCTCTGTGCTTGCCTGTGGGGCTCTTTCTTTCAAGAAGGTCTTTGCCTGCCTGGCTCTAAGCATCAAGATCCCACTTGCTTCTGGCTGAGCTCCCGGAGACCTTCCAGGACCTTCCCACTCGAAGCACTCTCTCTCTCTGTAAACTCGATAGCTTTTCATCCGTCCTGCTGCTATGGTACTGATTGCCTTCTACCTTGATGTGCTTTGGCTGGGTTTTTTTGTGTGTATGTGCCTTCTCTCCCTTATTAAACTGTGTGTTCTATGCACGCAGAATGCATACCTTATTCGTCTTGGTATTCCACACAGCACCTAATAATGCTTTGCACCAATAGGTATTCAATACATTTTTATTGGATAAATAATTCAAAGGCTAGATACTTTCAGGCCTTCTAGCTCTGTTGTTAAGCTGGTACATACTTAGGAATTATAACACCGTATTAATTCTAAGGAAAGAAGAAACTATTTGGGAGGTGAATCTTCTATAAGAATATATATTAATTCATTTCATAGCATCTCTCCCATTCTTAGTATAGATAATAAAAAGGCAACCATATTTTTCTAATACAGCACTGATTTTTTTCATCCTTTTTCTCATGAACCACCCTGGCCTCCAGGCCATCACTAAGGAGAATGTCATGTTAGGCCTTGTTCATCTTGCTTTCCCGTATCTCTTTATGTTATTAAATTTGCCTAGCAACGCTTGTGTCCCAGTATTAATATGCATTGCTTCTTTCTTCCTTTCTACCCTAACGTAGTTTTTCATTACTTATCTAGAGAAATCTACATTTCCTCACATCTCCAATGCCTCTCCATGCCATAAACTCTAAACACCAGAACTTGAATGGCTTATTTTCTTACAGGTACCAAAAAGCTACTATTTTCTCTCTCATCATCCTGCTATTATCAAGCATATTCTTTTGATTCTTTTCTTTTTTTTTTTTTAAGTAAGCTCTACCCCCAAATATGGGGCTTGAACTCCCAACCCTGAGATTAAGAGTTGAGTGCTCTAGCGATGCAGCCAGCCAGCCAGCCAGTCACCCCTATTCTTTTGATTCTTGCCTCCAAAAATATGTTGTGTATTTTCTTGATTATAAAATAAAAGTGTTCATTGTAGGAATTTTTGAAAAGAACTGAAGGGGAAAATAAGACCATTTAGAGGAAAATAAAAATCACTCATAACCTCTCTCTTTTAACATTATGGTGAATTTTTCTCCAGGCTATTTTTAATGCATAAGTACTGGAATGATTGGTGCCACGGTAGGTATACTCTTCTATAGTAGCTTTTTGTATTTAGCAATATGTCATGAATATTTTCTCAAGTCACTCAATGTTTTCATATAATAAAATGTTCTTTGGGGCACCTGGCTGGCTCAGTTGGAAGCGCATGTGACTCTTGATCTTGGGGTCATCAGTTCAAGCCCCACATTCGGTGTAGAGATTACTAAAAAAATAATAATAGTAAGTAAATAAACTTAAAAAAATTTTCTCATATAATAATATTAAATGTTCCCAATAATAAGGATAATGCTTACCATTTACCGGGTGCCTATTAAACCTGCTGCCATCCTATGTGCTTTACATACATCAACTTATTTAATCCTTGCAACAGTTCTGAAGATAGATCTCATGGCTTCACAGGTAAAAGAGCTGAGGCTCGAAGATGTTAAGTGATTTGCTCAATGATGCCCAGTAGCCAACAGATCCTTCTCACTCTTCCTCTGTTCCTTTTGCTATGACACATTGCCTCCCTTGATTTTTGATGACTGCATAATATGACATCAGGTTAAAAACACCATGATTTAATTCTTTTTGTATTTTCAGACATTTATGTTTGATTTTTTAGGTATGATTAAATACCATGTAATATGGAGAATATAAGTGATTTTTTTTATTTTTTTTTCAAGATTTTATTTATTTATTTGACAGCGAGAGACACAGCGAGAGAGGGAGCACAAGCAGGGGGAGGGGGAGAGGGAGAAGCAGGCTTCCCGCTGAGCAGGGAGCCCGATGTGGGACTCGATCCCAGGACCGCGGGATCATGACCTGAGCCGAAGGCAGACGCTTAACGACTGAGCTACCCAGGCGCCCCGTAAGTCATTTTTTTAAAGATTTTATTTATTTATTTGAGAGAAACAGAGAGAGCAGGAGGGAGAGGGAGAGAAAATCTGAAGCGGACTCTACGCTGAGTGCAGAGCCTGACACAGGGCTCAATCCCATAACCACAAGATCATGACCAGAGCCAAAACCAGGAGTCCAACGCTTAACTGACTGAGAGAGACATCCAGGAGCCCCTAAGTCATTTTCATTAAACAAGCTATGTACACATGTTTACCTATGTGTGCATTAAATAAAAACATTTAGCAATTAACAGCAATTACTCCTAAGGAAGAGGAATTCATGGAATGGGTGGGGAGGACAAGGGGAAGTTTCACTATCATCTTGTTCACTTCTGTCTAGCTTCAAATATTTTTTAAGATCACAAGTGTGTATTATGACAGTAACTAAAAAACTAATAATAAAACACGGTAATGAAGGTTTTTATATGAGAATGCTCGGGCACATTTCTGATTATTTTCTTTGGATAAATTTCTAGAAGAAATAACAAGCCAAAAACAGGAGCATTTTTAAAGTTTCTTAGTACGTGTCATAAAATAGCCTTCCCCCCAAAATTTATATACCTACAGCAGAAGTATATGAGTGCCGGTTTGCTGATCTTTGGATAACCCTAGGTATTAATATTCTTCTTGTCTTTGCCTATGTCATAGATGAAACATTATATCAAATTTTGTTTTAGTCTTTGTTCTATAGATTATTGAGTGAGGCTGGATATTTTTTTCTGTTTATCAGTCATTTTTATTTCTTTTCTTTTTTGGGAGTTGCCCATTCGTGTATTTTGCCATATTTCTATTGGCAGATTTGCCTTTTTTTTTCTTGTTAATTTGCCAGAACTCCTTATATATTATAAATACAGAAGTATTTGTCACATTTATTGCCAGTATTTTTACCTAACTATAAAAATACAGTCACCTACCTACATTTGCCTTTTGGTTTTGTGTATGACATTCTTTTGAAAAAACAGTAGTTAAAATTAAAGAAGTTGAGTAGCCAAGTCTGTCAATCTGGTAGGAGTAATTCAGTTACTTGTGTTTTGAAACTCACATGTAGCAGCTGTTTTTAAATTTAAATTGGGGTGGAAGAGACAGAAGCTGAGATTTAAATGATTTATGGAAGGATTCGTAGGTAGGAGGCGGTAGAGCCGGGCTTGAGAACGTTGATGTTTAAAAAATGCTTAACTCTCAGTGAGGATGAGAAATTTGGGAACTCACACATTGTGTGTGGGCCAGTGTTGAAGAACATTACAGAGGGAGCAGTGGAGAGGAACAGGTGACCTGCAGGGGCCGGAAAGCTGGGGCAGCCAGGCCAGGGGTCAGGGTGCAGATGACCAGTCAAGCAACAGCGAAGTGTCAAGAACAAGGAAGAAGAGGTAGGAGTGAAGTGTGGCCACTGCCATGGCACCAAAACGATTGAAAAATACCGACAATAGATGATCTATCGAATAATAAGAAAATGCATCAAATCTAAAATGAAGTCACAAGAGACCGTTTTTATTTGAAAATGAAAAATGTAGTAATCTCACTACAGAATTTACCGTTCTGATTGATGTGATGTATGACTTTTTTTTTTTCATTTGTTAATTCTCAGCAGTGATTGCTGCAGGAACATGGCATTTTTATAAAGAATTTCTGTGCTGCCGAGAGATAAATATTAAAATAAGTTTCCTCCAGATGCCTAAGTAATTAACACAGCACCACCAATGCAACTGAACCTTTACTACAGCAGACCTGCACCAGAAATATTTATTTTCTTGTTTACGATTGTCACCGACAAACCATTGGTTCGATATAGGTCACGCTGCTAACTCTATGAATGTCATCTCCTGCCATTGAAAGATCAGTTTCAGAAGTGTCATTAGAAGCCAGTGAAATCCTGGAGAATTTTAGATGATAGTGAGCAGAAAGCATGTTCTTGAAAACAAGTTATCTTTACAGACTACTCTGTCTCTTAATATAATTTAGATGCCCATCCAAGAAAAAGAAGCTTCAAAGAAAGAGGTAATTCTTCTGGCCCAGATGAAGCATCCCAACATTGTAACATTCTTCAGTTCGTTTCAAGGTTTGACTTTCTAATATTCCTCAAGGGCTTTAATAATAAAGTGTAGGCACGTAGACATCTATAAAAGATATATTCCTGAAAACTGTGCACAAATTCATTTTTTGTAAATGGACTTGTTTTCCCATTTACTTAAATCATAATTCGAGACACTGTCTTTATTTCTTCTCTAGTAAAGTTTTTGTAGACAACTTTCTTAAGTTTGATTAAGTTTTCCCTCCTCTCCTTAATTCTTGCTGCATCAGTAGTTAATGGCTGGTATATTAATCTTGCTACAGTAAGAACTCCTAAATTGTGGCCTCCAGTAATCCACATCTATTTCTCACATTACACGTTGGCTGTGAGTGGGTGGGGTCTTAAGTCTGGGGTCCAGGTGTTGGAGCAGCCCAGATAAGGAGCATGCTCTTCTCCTGAGCGAGAGCAAGGGACCAGACACAGAGCCTGCCACACGATCACTCTCGGAGCCCTGCTAGGATGTGGCCGGTTTGTCACTTTCCTTCTGAGCTCCCGTTCCTGTCGGCAAAGCAGCCACACAGTCAACCCTGATAACATGGTGACAGGGAGGGTATACTCTGCCTTTGAGAGTTCTTGCATGTGCTGGGGCAACAGGGGGGCCGTGCAATCCTGTTACAGAGAGGCCGCAAACAGCCACACACCACGGGCAAGCAAACAGCCACACTAGAGGGGAGAAACCTTAAGGAAGCGGTTCCCTTCCTGTGTATGCCCGAATACAACATCTCTTCTGCCTTCATCTACCACCTGGCTCCAAGGTAAAAATAGAAAACAAAACATGAAAGGAGCATTGGTGAGAGACCATTCATTCACCTAACAAACTGTTTCTGAGCGCTCACTATATGCCAGGCCTTGTTCTAGGCACCAGGAATAGAACAGTGAGCAAAACAGGCAAAAGTTCCTATCCTCATGGAGCTTACATTCTAGGCGGGGAGAGACAGACAATAAACACGTCTACTGTATGTCAGGTGCATATCAGGCTGTGACATGGCTGTGTCTGCCCACATGGAGCATCCCCATCCCAGCCCCCAGCACTGGACAGGGTGCTTGAATTCACAGGTGGAAAGTAGTTAATGGAGCAGGAATGTTACCTAGATGTCTTTCAGCGCCCTCAGGGGTGTACAAATCAGGAAATAAATACACATAGCCACTATTTTTTGAGCTTTTACACTGTGTAGGGCACTCGGGTTCTTACAAACTAAAATGACTGCATTCAGAGCAGTTCTCTGTATGGCCCCCTTCAACTGCTGGGTATTTTAAAGGAGTTCTCAGGGCTCTTGTGTGGTCTTCCTGGGACTGGAGCAGTACATGTGAGCAGGGAGTTGAGTTGTTTTGAACAACTTCTAAGGGGCAGCCACTGAATAAAGTGCCCTCCGTTCCTATTCTTTGATTCCTAACAAAGCCAGAAGACGATCTTTCTTTTCCTCATTCTTTGGGTTATTACTGTGACTTGCTCTGTCTGGCTAACACTTGCTCATGTTCAGGCCTTCTTGAGATCACAGTTCCAGTCATGGCGCCCTTTACTGACTGTGCATAGCCCCTCTGCCCTTGTGTGTGTGTGTCTGTTTACATATGCAAGTCTGAATTGGTTTAAGATAGTCCCGTTAAGATAGCAAACCTAATGAATTCTTTTGTCACCACTTGATCCTCAGCATCCAGCACAGAGTAGGTGCTTAATACACATTGGCTGAGTGAGTACATGGACTAGACCACTTTCACAGAGTAGAATATGTCTTTGTGCAAAATAGACATTTGAGGACCATTGACACTGGTGCTGTTATAAAATGAGAGGTCATTTGGACAATATAAATGACCTCCACCAAGTCTGTTTATATTATAAGCTTAAACTTTCTTAGAACAGCTTTATTTTTTTGTTTTTGGAGTAGAGTGCCCCTGTGTTTAGGAAAGCTAGAGCTGCGGGGATGCCTCCGGGTTTGCCTGGCAGGTTTCTGGGACTTGAAACTTGGAGCTTATCAAGATAAAGCCTTTGTTTACCCTCAACAGCTTGTCTTTGAACAGAAGAACCGTGGCTCTAGTTCAGTAAACGTTTGTCTATAGAAAGCATGAACTTTTTATAAGTTTGAAGCAATGTAGGAACAACAAGGGAGTGTAGCGAGATTTTCCTAAAGCTAGATTAATTCCACTTAAATTCCTTCAGTAAATATTTATCAAGTACCTCTTACATGCTAGGTGTATTCTGGGTTTCATCAGTGAACACAGTAGGCCAGAATCCCTCCCTGCACTGTTGTCTGTTGCAGTGTAACAAACGACCACAAATTCAGTGGCTCGAACCAATACCCATTTATCTTCTCCTGACCCCATTAGATCACAAGTCTGGGTGTGGCTTAGGGGATTCTCTGCTCAGGGTCCCACAGCTGGGTCTGCTCTCTCCTTGGAGGCTCAGAGTGCTCTGCTTACTCACGTTTTTGGCAGAATTCATCCACTACGATCATAGGACTGAGGTGTCTGCTTTCTTGCTGGCTGTTCACTGGGGGTGATTATGGGCTTCTGGAGGCCAACTGCCCTTCCCTGCCATGTGGCCCCTTCAGTAAGTCTTCTCCCACTTGCAATCTCTCACTTCCTCTGTCTCTGACCTCTAGACCTAGATCTGGATGGCTCCTGTGATTAGGTCAAGCCCCTTCCCCCCCCCCCCGTTAAAATCTCCTTTTCTATTAACTCGATCAACTGACTTCAGTGATATCAGCAAAATCCCCTCTGCTGTATGCATGACATCATCATGGGAGTGACAGCGCCTCATATTTACAGGTTCCACCTGCACTCCAGGGGCGGGAGCCCACGGGGTGTGTGCACAGGGGCCATCTTAGAAGTCTGCCTGCTACAGACTACGGAGTCTGCAGGCTAAGGGGAAAGGGTGGGGAGAGACAGACAATAAATGTAAACATAACTAATAAGCACATTGTATAGTATGTTAGGAGGTGATTAATGCTGTGGCAACATAAAATAGGGTGAGGCAGGAGTGCGGAAACAATTTAAGACAGGGCGGTCATTTGAGCAAAGACTTGAAGAGCCACGCTCAACTCTCCAGAAGAGCTTTCTCAGCCAGGAGAGCAGCCACAGCAATGGCATGAAGGCAAGAGCAGGCCTGGTGGGTTAAAGGACCGGCCAGGAGGCTCTTGGGAAAGGCAATCTGCTATGGGCCCTGAGCAGCTCTGCACATTTCTGCTGAACGTGCCAGGAGGGCTTTGCCCTGACCGCTGTCTACCCAGGCTGTATCTCCTGACTGTGTTTGTAGTGAGCGATGCCGAAGGACGAGACATCTCCCCCAAGGCAGAGCTGGCCTATGTACTGCTCACTAGAAAGCAGCAGCTTCCTCAGGCTCAGTGTTCCTCTCCTGTCACGTCGCCCACGGCAGGTGCGCATTGTCCTCCGTGGAACGAGTGCTAACGTGAAGCTCTGACACCTGCTTTTGCCAAGAGGAATAAAGTCCTTTGCCACTGGCCCAGGAGTCACATGTCCCAGCATCCAGGAAAAAGTCAGAGGCTTGTAAGTAGGGTAGAACCTCACACCTGGCACAACGCCCTCTGTGGGACGTCCGTGTGAGTTGAGTGCAATGGGCAAGGGAGAAGAGCAGGAGATACTTTTATTCTTGATGCTGATTCTGTGTCCCTCCTTGATTTGGGGTGCTAAAATGCTTTTATTTTATGGAATGATGGTGGTAGTGGATGATATTTCATCAAATCTAGAGGCCATTGGTTTTAAGATGCACCATTACGTGCTAATTCCAAGGAACAATACTGCCAATTTGACTATAACACAGTGCTCTTCCTTATCCCAATTTTTATTTTCTATGTATTAAAAGAGCTTTTTAAGACGTACTTACTTTCTATTACTCTTGTGCATACATAAAAAGGAAACTGCAGGCAAATTAAATTGGTTAAGGGGTTCTAAAAACCATGCAGGCAGTAATAACATCAAGACTGCTGGGCCCACAGCAACCGATTGGAAGATGCCAATGTTTATAAGAAGATTTTTTAAGAAGTGCAGTTGAGAATGAATTGATTACAGTAGTTGTTTTTTACACGTTGGAATTTGACAGTAGAAAGGTTGCTTAATGTTAGTTCCTACCGTGAGTGCCCCTCAATAGTTTGGAAAGGTCAATGACCCATGAGCTTTACAGTTCCAGAAGTTGCTGCCTTACAATGTGTCTTGCACTTCCGTTGTAGAGCATCCTTTTCCTCCTTTCTGCATTTCCAAATATTATACATGCTCTCAGACTAAACACAGATCTCTCCCTTAACGGAGAGGGACCTCTCTCACCTCTGCTCTGAGAATCTCCAAACTCTTACTCATGTGGCACATAATACACTGTATTATAACGCTAGTGTATAGCCTTTATTTCCATCAATGAGATTGGAGGCCATGAGGACAAGAATTGTTTCTTATACCTCTCCCCCCCACCACAGTGCTTTACTTTTCTTAAACAGATGGAAAATTTGATAACATAAATGATCTTTCCAGACAGTTCTAACCCCATTAAATATGGAATTAACAGTGGCTAGTGGCGGGGGGGGGATGCATATTTAGAACCAAATGCTGCATAACTGACCCAAATAGTTTTTTCTAGGTGGCTCAGCCGTGATTAATCCTGAAGCAGCCAATTAACTTCTTTCATGGAAAGCCAGTGTAAGGCTGAGTGAGTTGGAGGTTGGTGGCAGGGAAGTAAAATGGAACCCTTTCTCCTTAGTTTTCCTGATTTCGCCTGTCCCGTGGTTTTGCCACTGCCATTCCTTCATCGCCGAAGTGACCCTCTCAAGGACTGAGCTATGAGAAATAGCAGTTCTCCTAAAACTCATACATCCCTGAAGATAATTGACCCCCTAGATAATTAGGGCGTGTCCGGAAACACCTTCTTCAAACCTTCCTGGACTCGCCAAGTCTGCCCTTCACTGCCTCACATCCTCGTTGCCCTCCAAGGCACAGACTACCACAGTTGCTCTTCTACGTATGCTGACCGACTCCCCGACTAAACGGTCGCCTCCTCGTGCAGGGGGCCATTGGTCTGAAGATGCACCATTATGTGCTAATTCCAAGGAACAAATATAGAGCAAGTATCAATATCAATATATTTGCTCTATATTCCCAGCACCTCATTCCTTGGCATGTCCTCAATAATGGTCTGTTGATGAATGAATGGATCTGTCCCCTTTAAGGAGGTGGGAATTGAAGTGTTGTGTCAGAGGATCCCTGAGTTTGTGACTTAGAGGCAACTGAGGGCAGACACTATCAGGATGCTCACAGACACTCGGTAGCTGGTTTAGGCTCCTTGAAAGAGGGAGGGAGCAAATGATAGCTATTTGGCAAGAGATGCTGAAATTTAGTGGATGCTCCGTAACTACTGGGCAAAACACGGGGAAGATTAATACTTGCTTTAAAGCCTGATTTTTGTGCCATTTTTTTGTGTGTGCTCCTTAGATGTTTTTTTTTAGTTTTTAATTTTTTTAAAAATTTTATTATGTTATGTTAATCACCACTTAACCAGCCTTTAAGAAGCCCCTTCCATGTGGCAGCTACCGTGCCAGGCGCAGGGAAGACAAAAGAACAAAGTGTGGGCTCTGTCTGCAGGGAACCCACAAAGGAGTGAGAGAAACGAACAACTGAGTAGGAGCCCTTCCTAGCAGGAGCCCCCCTGGTGGTTGGCTGGTTCTGGGAAAGAGCTGGTTAAGCAGGAAATCATACACACATATTTTTTTGTCTATAAATGCACAACCATTTGCCAAACTTTTGATATAAGACCAAAGCCTCATCTTTGCTGATGAGCGCGTTGAATAGAATTCTGAATATTCCTTCCTATGTAGACTACTCCCTTCATTTCTGGTTTCCAATTTCTTATCTTTAGAATGGAGTCAGAATTTACAGATAGTCTGGGTGCACAGTCTTTTTAAAGCTTTCTCAGTTATTTTCCACTTGTCTTATCCAACATTTAGGTCAAAGACCCCCCCTTTTATTATTATTTTTTTAAAGCTACTCCCTTTTACTGAGTTCTCCACAGTAGTCAACATAGGTTTTGTAGAAATAATCATCTCTCTCTTTTCCATCAGTTCATACAATAATGACAGTAACAAGTAAATTGGCCTAAACGGATTTGGGGATGAACACAGTGATCTTGGTGAGAATTCGTGGGAACAGAGGTACCTGAGCATGCTAGAGAGTCTAGTAGTTACCAGGGTGACCCTGAGTGGGCAGCAGTAATGGTAATGACTCTAGAAAGTAGGTCAGGCCGAGGTTAGTTTAGAAGAGTGTCTTGTGCTCAGCAACATAGTTGAGTAAGTGCCATATAAATAAAAGTTTACACCCAAGGTCAAAGGTCCATTAATTCTTCCTGGGGTTTTGGTTAAGATTCATGGCTGCTATTTTACAGCAGATTTCTCATCTCTGGCAGGAATGTGTTAATAATCATTGTTAATATTTACAGAACTCTCATTATATGCAGACATTGTTCTGAGCATCTGACATGGATTAACCCATTTAATCTTCGCAACAGCCCTTAGAGGAGTTTCTATATTTTTATCTCCACCTTACAGATGAGATAATGAGGCACAGAGAAGTTTAAATAACTTGCCCAGAGTCACAGAGCTAAGAATGTTAAGTGGCGAAGTGGGCTGAGAATCCAGTCCATCATGATTCTGCAGCCAACCTTTTTAACTGTTGTATACTGCATTTTTCTGTATATTCTCCACCTTTGAGAACATGAAAGGTAATGATGCCTTTTCTTATAGAGAACAACAGGTTGTTTATTGTGATGGAGTACTGTGACGGAGGAGATCTCATGAGAAGGATCCATAGACAACGGGGAGTGTTATTTAGCGAAGATCAGGTAAAAACACCTCCAATTTGCCTTTTAATTTATATTAGGGGGAATTCAATTTATAATGCCCTTAGTAGTAGGCCATGTTTATATACAGCATGATTTCTGGCAAAGAAATTCAAACCATAAAACAGTGGATAAATATTCTTGACAGTTTTAGTCCAGAACATGTTTGCAATTGAGCTGAAATTGAATCTCTTTTTGAGAGTGAACTTTGAGAAACGATAGTGTTGTATTTTTGGACAATCTCCTGTAGGATGCCCTTGAGATCAATCTTCATGGCTACAAAAATGTGAATGTGGATGCTCCTCAGCCATTTTAAGTGTGACATATTTATAGCTTCACTCTTCTTCCTTTTACCACTTCGTACGGTGTTTTAAAATAGCTATCCCACTTTGCTAGGGAGCATGGAGGCTCTTCGTGGCAGTGGCTATTTGGTTTCATTGATTATGAAGAGAGCGGAGAGAAAGGCCAAGAGTAGTAGCCTCGATTCCTATTCTCTCTTTGCACAAACACATTTTTCTTCCATCCTCTGAGCTTCCTTTGGAACCCTCTTGGGAGCTGTGCTCATGAAGGAGACAGCAGGAATGTGTGTGTGGAAGAGAATCCAAATGGGGCCTGTGTGACGGGTGGGGCAGGCCACTGCCTGGAGCAGTGCCCGGGAACTGCCCGCCATCTTTCTTTCGGCCATTTGTTTCTGTGTCCTATTTTACTGCTTAAGGACCTCATGCCTCTATCATTTCCTCCTGGAGCTAAAATGGAATAGTTTGAATGTACATATGATTCAAGAATCGGTATCTCTAAACTTTGTAAATTTAATCAACCATCCTTCCTCTGCTCCTTTACATTATATATTAAATTTGGTATTTGTAGAAACCCTCCTTTCTTCCCCGCTAGGGATTATTTTGCCACATTTAATAAAAACACTTTTCTCCACAAAATTTTGAATTACATTTCCCTTTGTTGGAAAAGAACTAAAATTACAACTGAATCTTAGCATCTGGAGTATGGCTATTTTTGCTTTTCTTTTCCTTTAACTGTGGAATCCGGCAGACAAAGAACCAATGACATTTTGGAATAGTTTAAGGAAGTCTTTATAGGCATAGAACACATTTTTAAAAAGAGGCTCATGGCCAGCCAAGATAAAATAAAATCATGACTAAGAAATGAAATTAAGTTTCAAAAGTTTAAAAGTATATCTGTTTTTATATCATATACACGTATATTGGTATTTCATTGAAAATTTTAATAACCTCACAGATTCTCTGCTTCTTCCTCTCCCTCTCCGCCTTGGCACCCTCCTTCCACGGAAAAGGAAACACCGATGGTACCAGGGTTATCAGGAAATGCTGCTTATCTGCTATCCTGATGCAGTTAGCAAACTAGTGTTAAGAAAAAAAAAATCATGAACTGCCTCCCTCTCTCCCCTGCTTCTGTTTGTCTTTCTCTGTGTGCGGAGTTCCCTTTGATACCAGCACATTTACATTTCTTTTTTGCACCTTCATTTTTTTCTATAAAAAGAGAATCATGTGATAAGATGGTATATCTAGTAGTTTCATTCATATAAATACATACACATAAATATGTTATTTCTCTCTTTTCGCATCTCTTCATGAAGACATTTCAGTGACCACCAGACTACTGACTGGCTTTGTTTCATGTTCCCTCTACAGATTCTGAGTTGGTTTGTACAGATTTCTCTAGGACTAAAATATATTCATGACAGGAAGATCTTACACAGAGACATAAAAGCGCAGGTAACAGCTCAGAGAGAAGATCAAGACAGAACTGATCTTTTGTTTTCTTGAAATATCTCCAACAACATAGCATTTTCTCCATTTATAGAACATTTTTCTTAGCAAGAATGGAATGGTTGCAAAGCTTGGGGACTTTGGTATAGCAAGAGTTCTGAACAAGTAAGTACTTTTAAAAATCATTTTTCTTTCTATTCATAACAGCCAAATATGTATTTTTAGGTATCATGAATTAAGATATTAAAAGTTTGGTTTCCAGATAGTTTTAGAGAACTATTTCTATAAATGCATTAAATCATTCATTCAGATGATGTTTTGCCTAAGATTAAAATTTCCAAGATAAATCTTGGTATAATAGAAATGTTGTATAGTGTGATATAAGCTTATCAAATGGGATGTGACTGAATATGCATAAAGCTAGTGAGAACTGAGTGAAACAGGCAAATTCACACATGCTCTGGGGGATATATTGATGCAACTGTTTTGGAAGACAATTTGGTGGTAATAAACAACAAGAGATTTTTTTTAATGTTCTATTTGTTCTAAAGGAATAGTTTGATATATGGAATAATTTAAATCCCTAATAATTGGGACATGGGTAAATTTTATAAAGCTTGGCACAAGCATGTACCTGAGTATTATGTAGCCACTCACATTTATGATTTTGAAGACTTCTTGATAATGTGAGAACAAACTTTGTTATATTAAGACAAAAATGGAATTCTGAATTTTAAATACTCTGTGATCACACCTATATGAAAAATATGCATAAAAAAAGACAAGAAGGAAATATATCCAAATTTTAATAATAGCTCTTTCGGGATAGTAAGATTGTGGGTAATTTTTTTCTTCTTTATTCACTCCCATATTTTCCAAATTTTAAGTCATGGGACTGCATTACTTTGATAACTGGAAAGGGGGAACTCTTTCCACATGTAAGAGTTTTGTAATGTAACAATTGTATTTCTTCGTGACGCCTTTAGCCATAAATATTTTTTACGTGTAGATTTTGGGCTGGTGAATTATAAGTTTAAAAATCAACTTATTTTATTACTCTGTTATTAATATGTAATGTGTTGGCTTTATTTTAAGATGTACATTCATCAAATTTTGTGTTATCCATTTTTATACTTTTTTCTTGCATGTCCGTATCTTAAGCCTTTTCTTACTCCAATAACAAACCATATTATTTTATTATCTCACATAACTTCCTAGTTCCATGGAACTTGCTAGAACTTGTGTTGGAACACCATACTACCTGTCCCCAGAGATCTGTCAGAATAAACCCTACAACAATAAAACGTGAGTTGCCGACGACTGTGTGTGAAAGTCTCAGTAAAGAGGGTGGATTCTCTCTTTCTCATGGTACTTCCATAATTTCATATTTTCTTCACTTGTGAAAAGGGGATTGCAGTCACTGTCTCCAACCACTTCAGAGTCCCCTGAAGCTTTTGAATGTATTTAGAAGAAAAACATTTCATTTGAAGATACAAGTGATAAAAAGACTAACATTGAAAATTGCAGTCTCTGTGATGTGCATCTGTTTGATTTTCGTACCTTCCGAACACTATTTAGCCTCACACAGGAAAATGTTGTGGCTGGGTCAGAGAGAAGGCAGCAAGGGTGCTGGATTAGGAGCGAGGAGCCCTAGTCTTGGCCCTGCCACCATCTCAACCCTGCTGGTTGACCGCTGTGGGCCTCAGTTTCCCTAGCTGTAACAAAGAGAGTGTTGGCGAGGCAATTGTTAAGGTATTTCCAGCTTTAAAACCCAACTAGTTTTGTGTATGGGATACCAGAGCCTACCCTTCCGGAATAATACTAACATGCGCAAGAGTAAAAGGTGAACATGAAGTAGTTTTTACTTCCAGGTAAGGAGAAGCAGAAAAAAATTCACTTTTCGCAAAAGCTGGCTGCTAGTTGAACTAGTTGGTTTAGCAGGAAGACTGAGTTCCTTCAGGGAGTTAATTTTCCCTTTGTTTTGGAAAATACTCAAGGGGTATTTGGCTGTTTGACTTTGCAAGAGATAAGTGGAGGGCGGAGCCCAGATGGTAGAGATTTCTAGAAAGAATAGTAGATACTTCTCTGCATAATAGAAAAACAGGCTTTTTTTTTTTTTTGGAATAGCCTGTAATACCAAGAAGGGATTTGGCCTCCAGTTGAGCAGGAATGCAACTGGTGGAGCCTGGGTGGAAGGTGTGACTGTCCAGAGAAGCACCCTGGGTCAGCAGCATTGTTTTGTACTGCTTTGTAAAAAATTGGAGTCAACATTTAAATGTGCTGATTTGGTGCTTTCGATAATTGTAAGATCTTAGCAATAATCAGCTGGGTAGCTGATGTAGAGCAGGAAACAGGTCCCTGGTTCAACGCAGCCCCCACCACACGCAGGGCAGGGCCCTAGAAGACTCAGAAAAGGTTCCATCCAGCCCGGGGTGGTTGCACTCTCTGTGGGACCACACTGGCTGGCTATAGGGGGCGCTCTGGGACAGGGGAGGATGTGGGCCCAGGGAACACCCCATGAAGATTAAAATTCTGTGTGGTCATCGGAAGTGGTCTGTGAGTTCCTAGAAACTCTTAGAAAAACACTAGAAAGCAGTTGGAAGTTGTTTCCTACCTATTCTGGAATCACTCTTCATTTCCTCAGGCCTTCAGGATGTCTCCCTCTGCTCCTCCTGGGCACACTCAGAGGAAGTGTTGCTAAACAGTGGAACCATTTTCCTCGCTTTACCAAATCCTTGTTTCGACTGTTTCAGTTCTCACTGTATTTTCTTTGGTGTTTTAGATTTAATGATGCTTTTTCTGTAAGGTAACTCCTTACTAAACTAATCACATATAAATACTAAGTACTAAAGAGCAAGTCTCTAGTCATCTCTTGCAAGCACCATATTCAAGTTTATTGAGGGCCAGATACTATGTCATCACTTAATAGAACTTTGGTTCTGTCAGTAGCCTTGAGTAGAACATACCTTCCTAAATCAACCAAATTTTACCCTTTGAATCAAAACCAATCTGTGTTTGAGTCCCGCCGGCTTCCTCCAGATTGCTCAGAATTCCATACACACACACATTTCCTCTGAGCACATGAAGCTGAGGTAAATACTGAGCCCTCAGATTGTAGCAAAGTTCGTATACCTTTTCTCTGCTACGATTCTGACAAACTATGCACTGTTTCGATTTGACCTCTTACCTTAGTAGGACTAAGAATTGAAAATGTATCTGAAAGCATTTGTAAAAAACTGGTCAACCTATAAAATTGTCAAGATATACAAATATAAGGCACTGTAAGGATAAAGGCTTTAATTGAGAATTATGGATATTTTTTGGCATGTGAACTCTTATCTTCCCCAGGGATATTTGGTCTCTTGGCTGTGTCTTGTATGAGCTTTGCACACTCAAGCATCCTGTAAGTATGTTAATCATCAGATTAATCTTGAATTATTGAGACTATAAAAGTGAAATTAACTTTTGAGAGAAAAAGTTTAATGTTTGGAGTTATTAGGTTGTTAAAAATTACATGGACAAGCTATTAAGATGAACGATTGATCCATATATATCGACATGGAAAGATGCGCAACTTGTAAAGTAAAAAACCCAAGTTACAGAATAGTATATGTAGCATATTTTCATTAAAAATAAATTGTGCGTGAATATATAATCAGCAAAGGGAAAAGGTGCATGGGGTGAAGTCCGTAGGAAACCAGGCACAAGCTTCTAAGACCCTCTCCCAATGCAGTCATGCAGGAATCATGCTAATTTCTCCAGCAACAAGTAGTGACAGCACGTGTAAAATGTTATCAACCAGGGAAACTCCTTAGAGACCCAGTGCTCAGGGTTTTGATGTGGGATTGGTCATGTGGGCACCCTATGCCTGGCAGGTACCAAGCTTCCAGACTCCTAGGAAGAAAGCAGGTGTTCAGCATAAACCATATTGTTTGCCAATGTAGGTAAAGAGAGCCACTCTGAACATTTAGGGAGTGGTGGGAACTCTCCAGAAATGTGAGTTCCCAGATGCCAGCCAAGGGTCAATATGGTAAACAGGCTTTTCTAAGGAGAGCACTCTTAAAGAGTTTAAGAACTCTTTTCTACACAGTTTAAGAACTCTTTTCTACACAGCTGTTATTATTATTATTATTATTAATTATTATTATTGTCAAAGGTCAGACAGCTAGTAAGTGCCTAACCAAACCTGATCTTCACTGCCACACAGTGCCGCTGAGCGTTATGCTTATGTGTAAACCCATGGCCTCATACAATGGAAGATTTTCTGGTTGTGAAGAATTTTTGTGAAAATGTTTATGCTGTGTTAATTTAGAAAGCAAGGTGCAAAGTTTCATATTATTATGACCTTAACTCTGTAAAGTAAACATTATTTTACTTTTTTTAAAAATGTAAGCTCTATGTCCAATGTGGGGCTTGAACTCACAACTCCAAGATCAAGCATTGCATGCTCTACCCACTGAGCCAGCCAGGCGCCCCAGTAAACATTATTTTTAAAAAGACTAGAAGGAAATATACCCCTGGCTGACAAAATTATATGTATTTGCCCTGTTTGTAGCTTCCTCTATCTTCCAGTTTTTTATAATGAATAAATATTATTTTGATAAGAAAACAAAAACTAAAAAAACCTTGTTTTATATAACATGGCATCACATTGTGTAACGGCCTATAATATCTACTAATGAAATATTAGTTGATGAAAACCATTTAGGGTGGACCATAGTACTTCTTACTGAAGCTTTAAAACATTGTTTTTTGGTTTCGCTTTGTTTTGTTTTGAGATTCAAATTCCACTTTTTTAATTTAAAAAGTCCAGCTTGAGCAAAAGCAAAACAGCTGCTTCCACAAGGGTCCCTCAGCTGGACCAGGGAAGGGTGGTCATTACCAGCCCCCCCAAGTCCTGGGGTGCAAAAATCTGAGGGTGACAGGCAGAGGGCTGTGTGGCAGCCCTTGTGGTGAGCACCTGTTTTGTTTCTTGATACTACTTTACAAGCTAATATTCAATGTTTTCTCTGATTTAGTATCATCATTCCTTGTCCTTTCAGTTTGAGGGTAACAACTTACACCAGCTGGTTCTGAGGATTTGTCAAGCGCATTTTGCCCCGATATCACCAAGGTTCTCCCGTGACCTGCAGGCCTTGATATCTCAGCTCTTTGAAGTATCTCCCCGAGATCGGCCGTCTATTAATTCCATTTTGAAAAGGCCCTTTTTAGAGAACCTTATTGCCAAATACTTGACTCCCGAGGTGAGCTTTGGGGTGATTACATGTGGATTTTGACAGAGATTTTGGTTAGCAGGTCCTTGACACGTGTGTTCCATCTTAGGTCATTCGGGAGGACTTCAGTCACAGCCTCACACATAAAGCAAGACCGTTGGCTTCTCAGCCTGCAGGGAAGCGGGTGCAAGGTAAGAATGATTTGACCACTTGATCAAAAAACATTTCTTATGTGTGTCTCATATACGTGTGTCTTGAGATCAAGCCCTGCATGGGGCTCTGCACTCAGCAGGGAGTCTACTTAAGATTCTATCTCTCCCTCTCCCTCTGCCCCTCCCTTTCTGCTCTCTTTCTCTCAAAAAAAAAAAAAAAAAGAGCTTGCTCACACATTTCACCCAATAGTGCGGCCTGAGTGGTGCGGTCTGTAACCCATGCGATGATTACTACATGTAATTACTTGGGCCATTATGCATCCTTTCTCTGTAAATGTTAGGGTTAATCCCTAATTTTTTACAGGTAGTGTTATATATACTAGAAATATGTGAAGGAACCCTGGTTAAAATGGTTTTCTCCATTAAAGGACAACACAGACTAGTTTTCCACGGGGACTTCTCTCACTGGGTCCAAACATCTCGGGATAAAGCGAACTTCCTGTGTTGTGAAAGGTCCCTTATGTTCGCACTCTCACAAGCATCCATGTTAAGATGTGGACATTTTAAAGAAACTGAAGTTGTTTTATTTTGGTTAAATAAGATTCTACGATACAGAAAGCGAGATTCCAGGGAAAGTGCCTACCAAGATCAAGGCCATCAGAGCCAATTAAAAGGAAGGAGATATTGTATAGAAATGAATGGATCCCACCACCTGGAGCTCGGAAGCCTGTATCTGTAAGTCGTACTAAACTCTTTCTCTGATTTGTTAGCAGGTGGCCTGTCCTACAGACCTACTTGCACATGTTCCTAGGGTACAAGCCCATTACTTTGGAAAATACTAGCTTTGTGCTTATGAGCAAAATCATCCTGTAATGAGCATTAAAGTGGTACTTCATTGGACAACTTCTAGTTGTATTTCCTTATAAGTATTCTATGTACTAGTTTTAGTTTTCCTTTTACAACTCAAAACCTTTTGATTTCTTTAAAGAAATAAGGTTTTTCTATATAGAATAAGTGAGTTGTATGGCAGCAGAAAACATGGTGCATTTCATTCCCTTAATTCTAACATGGTATATATAATTGAGAAATTTTTGTTATATAGTCAATGATTTTTTCCTAGAGATTCTTTAGGCTTAGTTATCTGAATCCACGTCAGCAGAGTGTTGAACCTCTTAGTTCATGCTAGTGGAATGCTTCTGGTATATAAATGATAAAATGGCTATTGCCTTTTAATTGAAGATTTGTATTTTTTAAAGAAAGCTATGCTTGTATAATTAGAGGACCATTTGGAGGTACGTTTACTAAGTGTTTACTCGCTATATAGACAATTTAGAAAATGTGGGGGTTTATAGATAGATTTTGAAACTATTAGTTAAATTATTGCCCTTCATTTGATAGAATGTGGTTTAACTTACATTAAAGAAACGTGAGGGGCGCCTGGGTGGCTCAGTTGGTTAAGCGACTGCCTTCGGCTCAGGTCATGATCCTGGAGTCCCGGGATCGAGTCCCGCATCGGGCTTCCTGCTCAGCAGGGAGTCTGCTTCTCCCTCTGACCCTCTTCCCTCTCATGCTCTCTCTCTACCGTTCTCTCTCTCAAATAAATAAATAAAATCTTAAAAAAGAAAAAAAAGAAAGAAACGTGAAAGTCAGGGCACCTGGCTGGCTCAGTTGGAAAAGCATGGGAGTCTTGATCTTGGGGTTGTGAGTTCGAGCCCCAGGTTGGGTCTAGAGATCACTACAAAAATAAATAAATAAATAAATAAATAAACTTAAAAAAAAATTAAACGTATGTTGTGATTTAGAATACCCTGTAGCAGACTGGTAGGAGAGAAAAAAACACCTAAAAGAGTCAAGGATGGATTGAGTTAGGAGAACAAGTTGATGTTTTATGCAATGGCATGAATGGGTCTCCACAGGAACCACCTCTGATGTTCTCATTACCATTTGGGATTTTACGAAAAATCTTAAAGAAGCTGTTAATTTCCTTCCAATACTTTTCTCTATTTCTAGTCATTTTGCAACAAGTAATTAGTAGTACCTTGTTTGGGGTTGTATATAGGTTAAATTGCCAAACTAAGAAACATACATCACACTTTAAAATATTTTTTAAAATAAATATATAATTTATGTTCAACAGATCAAATTTTATACATTTACTTTAATATTTAAATAAAACTATGTGAAGTTACCATTTTTAAAAAAGATTGTATTTATTTATTTAGAGAGCAAGCATGAGCAGGGGGAGGGGAGAAGGGAGAAGGAGAGGGAAGACTCCCTGCTGAGTGCAGAGCCCGATACAGGGCTTGACCTCACAACCCTGAGATCATGACCTGAAATGAAACCAGGAGTCAGATGCTTAACCGACAGAGCCACCCAGGTGCCCCTGGAGGTACCATTTTTTAAGTTAAAAATGATCCAATATCTACAATTCCATACGGTTCAACTAACATACGTAGGAACCACCCAGCATTAAAAAGAACAGAGAATATAGTGTGTTTCTTCTTCACAGTGAGGAAACTTCCGTTTAAACCATTTGTTTGGTTATTTATATTTCCAGCTACAAGTTCTAGGCCTTTCCTGTGGTTTGAACTTCTTTTTCTCTTTTGTTATCATCTGTTAAGGAGGCAGTTGTCCTGGTTAATGTTGAATTGGCCCTAGTTTGCAACAGGGTCTTGGCTGGTTTTCATCTGTTAAGTTGGTCTGATTCTTGTCTCCTAGCTCAGTGGCCTCTACTGACAAACATTGGTTTCTGGTTCTCCTCCTGCCATTCTGTTCTGGTTGGGAAGGGTGATGGGGTGTAGCTTGGGGCGATAGTTGATACACCTGGCACAGCTGTTACGTGACCTTCCTTGTGTTTACTTGGGAAGAACGACTGAATGACTCAGCATCTTCTTGCCTTCAAGTCAAGATGCCATTTTGGATTTAGTCAATTCATCAGCAACTAAAAATGTTATGAATCTCCAAATTTGTGACTTGTGCAATAACATTTATTCTCCCATAGAGTGCAGCAAGATGTAAAGAAGTTTATAAAAATAGAAAATAATAATAGTGAGTTTAGTTTCAGAGCTTGGGTTGGGTAGGCACACTCCCTAGCTAAGCATTTTTGGTAGACCAACCATGAAGTATGCAGGATTCCTCTTCACACCTTAGTGAAATTATAAACTACTGTGCTACAGTAGGACTTAGACTTCTAAAATATTTTCCAGTTCTAGGATTTGGGGATCCTAAGATTATTTTACTCTGAAAAACCAGTCTAGAGCAAAACAACAAAAATATACTTACAGTGCTTTGTTTAGCTGTGGTCACTATCAAACTGTCAGTTATTATGGATTTTAATTATGTGTCTGCAAAATCTTTCCTCTTCTTTTTGATCCTTCAGATAAAAATGGTAGAAAGGCCCAAACTTGCTGCAGTGCATGGACATTATGACTATTATTATGCCCAACTTGACGTGTTGAGGAAGAGAGCGCACGAACCAACTTACCACTGTGTTCCTCAAAAAGATTCTGGAGTTGAGAAGAATTATAATCAGAAAGAAAGCCACAGTCCATCACCAGATCAATGGTAATGTTAGAGTCTAACTTAAACTTTGGTCCCCTGAAAATATCTTGATATAACAGCATTTATTCTGAAGCCCTCCCAATTCTCCTAAAGCAAATAATCCAAGAAGAACTTCCAAACTTTCCATCTTGAATACTTAATTCACAGTTCCCTTGACCCTGTTTCATCTCAAATCTAATGTAGCTTATCTTCTTATTCATGGAGCCATTGAACCATGAGCAGAACTTCATACTCCTGAATTTTTCCTGTTTTTTTCTTCCTTCTAGTAAATTCCACCATCTGGGAGGATGAAAATAGTTGTGTATGTATCATTTTCCAAAGAAATTATTAATAATAATCCATAATAATTGAATTATAATCAAATTATCATTTGAGACATATTGAGAAATGAAATACCTTTCATTTAGCATTTATTTTCTTGGGATCTTTCATTTGTGTGCCAGTGTGAGGAATAGAGGTGAAGGAATGGGACTCCATCTTGCTCTCAAGGAGCTCAGAGCATAGTGCAGGAAATGGACAAGCAACGGGGGTGTCAAGGCTATTGATCAGATACCTGCCCAAAGCATGACAAGATTCTGGAAAGGGTTTTTCTTTTTCCCTCCAACACATTGTATGCAGACCATGGATGGACTGATCCTATCCTGAAGAAATATCGCTGCATCAGAATGTTTTTCTGTTTGATCCTCTCCTGTATCACCAATTGGTACAGTTCTCTTTGCTTCCTTTCTTCCTGATTCCCAAGTATGCATTCTATAACTTCGAACTACTTCTTGAATTCAGAACTTTCAAGCCACAGGTAAACTGTGAATCTCATTAAGAAATCTAGTAAATAAATAAAATCTACTCCTTAAAATTGTGCCTAAGACTAGTAAAAATTCCTACTCAAGCTGAACATTTTTATTTTCTAAGGCCTGCTGAATACCTTCAGAGGAAATTTGAAGCTCAACAATATAAGTTGAAAGTGGAAAAGCAGTTGGTAAGTAAAATTCCAATTACTAAGGGCAATCAGGAATTTCCTGCTCACAAATATTCATGGGTCCTTAAGTCAAAGTGCATTCCACATAGAGGATGAAGACTACCCTTCACCTTCTCCAGTTTTTAATAGCTGAAGAAGGGAATAATGGCAATGTGCCTGAATCACGGTCTGGGAAGCCTGGTTTCTTCCCTGGCTCTATCACTTGCTGTGTGACCTTAGGCAGGTCATATGACCTCTCTGAGCCTCAGTTTCCTTTTTATAAATGACAGTTTGGGGGTAGATGAGCTTCAAGGTCCCCTTCAGTGCTATAGTTCCTTGATTCTAATTTATTAGACTTCTATACATTTTTTTTAAAGATTTTATTTATTTATTTGAGAGAGCAAAAGCGAGAGAGCTCAAGTAGGGTAAAGGGCAGAGGGAGAAGCAGACTCCCCACTGAGCAAGGAGCCCGATGTGGGGCTTGATTCCGGGATCCTGGGATCATGACCTGAGCCGAAGGCAGCCACTTAACCGACTGAGCCACCCAGGTGCCCCGAGAATTCGATACACTTTTTTAAAGGTGACTATTGTATTTTATTTGAAATGAAAATTAACCTTTAAGTACAGTGGCAGAGTTCTGGGGCTGAAGGAGGCTGGATGTGCATCCTATTTCTGTCACTCTTATTTTGGGCTGCTCAGAAGCTCTAGTTCTATTCTCCTACTTAACCTGATGCCCCAGGGTGGCTCAACTTTTATAGAACTTTAATTTCACAATTATAGTTGAACTGTTCAGAAAATGGATCGAGGTGTCTCACATGGTAGCGTAAAATATTGATTGCTAATGATAAACAACACAAATGGTTTTATTAATTTTCTTTGCTTTTTAAATGTGTCATACTGAAACTAAGAAAATTCTACTGCCCGCTCCCCAGCAGTGAATTTGGTTCACGATACAATTCTTATTTAAAGAAAAAGATCCAAGGTCAAATGAGAAGACATTTGTTAATGCAAGTATGCTTCATAAATCATTTCATTCAATTGATAGGGTCTTCGTCCATCTTCTGCTGAGCCAAATCACAACTGGAGACAAAAGCTAAGAAGCAACAGAGAAGAGTCTCGATTCCAGGAGCTGCAGATCAGGAGAAACGAAATGAAGGAACAGGTTAGAAACAGTCTGATTCCAGATCTACCAGTGTCCCTGCATCCGTGTCTTTTGTGCGGCATAGGGTATTACTTATAGCATTGGCACTATGCCTGGGGGAGAGGCCTCTTGCACAATCCTTGGGCACACTCACGTGGAGCTCCATGCTGGGAGTTCCAGCGGATACAGAGATTTAGATTTCACCTCCTTAGAGAATGCAGCAGAGCGAAGCTCCTAAGGCTTTCGACCTCACATTGATAATGTAATTGTCCACCATTACCATTTCTGAAATTTGTATTCGTGTCCTGGGCTGCCTTAACAAAGTATAACGGACTGGGTGGTTTAAAACACCAGAAAGGTATTGTCTCCCAGTTCTGGGGGCCAGAAGTCCAAAATGAAGGTGTCAGCTGGGCCATGTTCGCTCTGAAACCCGGAGGGAAATCATTTCCCTCTTGCCAGTCTTTGACATTCCTTGGCTTGCGGCTGTGTGACTCCGCTCTTTGTCATCACGTGGCCTTCTCTCTGCCTGTCTCTGCCTTCATGTGGCTGGCTTCTTACACCCGTGGTGTTGGATTAGGGCCCCATTCTACTCCAGTATGACCACATCTTAGCTCAACTGTCTACCTTTGCAATGACACCATCTCCAAACAAGGTCACATTCTGAGGTACTGGGGGTTAGGATTCCAACATATCTTTTCTAGGGGGGGAACAAAATTAAACCCATAAAAGTGGGCTATATAAAGTAATTGTATGTCACTGACACATTTTGGGTTATATATAAAAGTGAGATCGCCCAAAGCCCCCCTCTCACTCACCGGGAGGGAAGTAGCCCAGCTGAAACGTAAGGCAGATTATCATCTTCAGGAGCACTGGGTTTTCTAATTCTTACTGTTGATCACACATTCTTTAAATTCATAGGCTGTGTAGAGATTACTCTGTTCAGTTGTTCACCAGCATTTAAAATTTTTGAATTGGGATTGTCTTCCAGGAATATTGGAAGCAGTTAGAGGAAATTCGCCAACAGTACCACAATGACATGAAGGAAATTAGAAAGAAGATGGGGAGTGAACTGGAGGTGAATACATTTTGCTCCTAAAGGAAACATGGTTCTACTGATTTAGATCTAACTAAATTGAGCAGGTTTCAAAAGTAAGGCTCTCCTCATAGAAAAGATAAAATGTTATCATGCAAACTTTTAATAGGAAAGCTAACGTTTAACTGAAGCTTTTATTATTATTTACTTGAGTCTACCCACGCTGGTGAGGACATCTGAGACTCTCTGTTAGGAATGGCTGTTATTAAAAATATTCATTGTCTTCCTTGTGAATCAGTCAATACTTATTGACAGAGCAGCTACTTTATACCAGAACTAGATGCAGAAAGTAAGTCCGTGCCCCTAAGGGAGGGAAATGGATGAGCATTTATTGAGTTCAGCTATATTGGAGTAGCCTCATATGCAGGGGTAAGGTTCGAAAAGTCTGGATAAAGGCCACGTTTGAGTGCCGTCGACTTGAAAAGTGGATTCTTGAAAATCCCTTAAAGGCACCACGTTGGAAACTCGTCTTCCATCTCTCAGATCACTGCTTTTTCAGTAGAGCTCCAGCTGAGACAGCTGGCCTGGGTCTGTAGACCATGTTGCATGAAAAACACATGAATGTCTAGCCGTAGCACCACCCTCATGCCCTGGAATGCTCCTCCTATAAGAGGCCTGTGGTTCTGAGGCCTGCTGAGGACGCGGCTAGCCCCCAGCTCACAGGCATGGTGTGGAATTACCCACACCGCTGGACTTGATTTCTTTCTCCCTCTCCCCCACCCCTGAGGGCACATAGATGAATTAATATGGGTAAAGGGAGCATAGGGTACAATTCAGCTGTACGTGCTCAGGCTCCGAACTAGAGTGCTCACATACTTTATCTCATCTTATTCCCCATGATAGGAAAGGTAAATAATTCATCCAAAGTCACTTTGAGATTACGCGGCGGGACTAAACATCTGATTCTGAAACCCCTACTCTTTCTAACATATGCATTTCTACTCTCAGAGAGTCGGAAAGATATGACACACATATATGAGCAATGACTGAGTAAGACTGAATATAGTTAAGCTCTATAAAGGCACAGGAGTAAGGATGAGCCAGGTGAGCGTTTTCATGGTCTGATCTGGTCTGAGAAGAGGAGCAGAGTTTGCAGACAGAGCTGAGGGGGAAGGCATTCTGCAGGAACCATGCAGAGGTCCACACGGGACTGGAGGCCCTGGAGCGGGGAAGGTGGGAGACGGTTCTCTCTAGAGCAGGGGATTGGTTAATGGTGAGAGCCTTGTTTTTTAAGGCATGTCTGTGATGGGAAACCGGAGTCCGGGAAGAATGGATGGCAGGCTTTTCTAGAGAGACCATGAAAGATGCACGTGGGGCATGCCGAGGGCAGCCACAGGGGAAAGGAGCTGGAAGGAAGGCATTGTTCCAGCCATTTCCACTGACGGCGCCTTGGCAGTGGGAGGAGAGCATTTCCTCACTAGAAATCCCACTCAGAACTGGCCACGGTCCTCACTGTGGACTTCAGAACCCACTCAGAACCAATCCGATTGACTGTGTATAATTTGTACTTTTAGGAGGACTCAAAAATAAGTCATAAAACCTATTTAGTGAAGAAAAGCGACCTGCCTGTCCACCAAGGGGCACCTGAGGAAGAAGCGCCTGCGCAGGTGACGGTTATTATGTGATGTTAATGGGTTTCCCAGCGAGCTGGCTCTAGCCTGGACGTTCTCAGCCCTCACCATGCAGGGGAGCCGTGGGCAAAAGTTCTTAAAAACTCAGATGCCTGGGCTGTACCCCAAATGGCCTGGAGTGGGGCCCAGGCATCCTGTTTGCAGCAGCTGGCTGGGTGGTCCGGGGTGCAGCCCAGTTTGAGCCCTGCTCTCGTGCGTGTTTGAGAGTTCAGCGTTCTGGATGGTGTTCAAGTCAGAGTCTCAGACACATGGGTCAGAAATCTGATGGTTAACGTCTTTCTACTTCAACCTTGCATTTTTGGTGGGAGGAGGGAACTGGGCAGAGATGAATTATCAAATGGCTCTCAAGGAGTTTTGTGTTTTTTTTTCCCTTTTGGGAGGTCTTTCACCTTTATCTTCAAGGTGCCATGAGGGCTTGGTTAAGGGCAGGTGAGGGGGAACCCATGTTGGGTGAAGACCGAAAGTGTTTTGCCTTGTGAAAGACCCTGGAACCTTCCATGACGTGATGCCGGGGGGCTCTAAAGTGGACTGAGTAGGGGAGTTGGGGCTCAGGAGTCTAAGATGGTTGTATTTTAAGGAAAATAGAGCAATGGGACACTTCTACAATTGAGACAACCAGACTACATAATCCAATCAGACAGCCAACTTCACAGAGAAAGTAAGATACAAAAGTCACAGTCCTGTTTCAGAGTTCATGATATTGCAAGGCAGAAAAACACCCTTCCCAGGGTTGCAGGGCAAACAGGTAATAGTCAAGCCAACACATCCTGTGTGTGAAGTACCTACAGACGAGGCAGCCATTAATTCTAAGGGAGAGATGATAGAGACCTCGTGTAAAATGGTGGAGAGAAGAAAGCATTAAAACACACACATGCACACACACACACACACACACACACACACACCGTGGAGACTCATATGCTTCTGGCTGGAAAGGGGTGGTACCATTTCCTACAGCCTGGGTAGAGTGGGGAGCAAGCCTGTGGTGGGGGGCAATCAAGAGTACCGCTTCGGACATCAGTTGAGTTCGAGAAAATCTGAGGGCTTCCATGCCTCCTTCACTGCTCCCCCAGCACAGAACATGCTTTCCCCAGACCTTCATATACGCAAGGTGCAACATCATTCCAGGGTTTATGCCAAATGCCGACATAGGCTGTTCCTGCATTACTCTCATCCCCAGCTCATCTTCTGTGCTGTTACCCTACTTTATTTCCTTTCAGCACTTAGTACTTTCTGAAGTTATGTTGTTAACTTACGTCATGGATTACCTATTTTATTCCAGTAAAATGTAAGTTCTGTGTCAGCAGGGACCTTTGGGCACATTCAGTGCATTAACACATTGTGCAGGACAGTGTCTGGCCCATGGTGGGTGCTCAGTATGAATTTGTGGAATGAATGTCGAAGTAGAGATGATGCTAAGTAAGCCGCGGAGTATGTGAGCCTGTAGCTCAGAGGGGAGGAAAGAGCAAACCTGCAGATACACATTTCAGAGTCCCTGCATAAAGGTGGTGCTTATATCCGCTGAGGAAGGCAGGGGCAGAGGGCCCAGGACCGGACCCTGAAAAAGCTCGGAACTTACAGCTCCTTTGACACTCTTACCATCTACTTGCAGTCATCTCTTCTTTGAAATTGCCTGTCAATTTTTTGAGCCCTCTCCTTCCTTTTTACTATCAGGAGCAGTGCACTTTTCTTGTTTTCCTGATTACCATCGTAAGCCTCTTAAGGGAGGGATCCTGTAGCCAAAATTGCATGCTTACATAAGTAAAATCTTTAAAAAAAAGTGGGGGGGGGGAGACTCCTGGGTGGCTCAGGTGGTTAAGCATCTGCCTTCGACTCAGGTCACGATCCTAGGGTCCCTGCTCAGTGGGGGGGGGTCTGCTCTTCCCTCTGCCCCTCTCTGCTTCGAGTTCACTCTCTCTCTCTCTCTAAAATAAATAAGTAAAGTCTTCAAAACGTTCTTGAATTAGATTAGATTGTACTGGACCAGAGTGACAAGCACTGTCATATTATGGAATTTTCCCCACGGCAATGCCACTGTTCAGTGTATTAATATTTCAAGTTAATGGGTGCTGTGTCCAAATTTGTAGTGAGTTTTTAGTGAATTATTATTAACTTTCCTTTATAAAGACATGTTTTTATTCTCAAATTAATCATGGGATTCAATCCAGAAGTCAAATAATATAAACAGACCATGCTGTGAATTCAGGGATTGTGAAACTATAATTGTTTGATCGATATTAAATGCTAGATATTAATTTTTCTCTAAACTTGCAGGACATTGAAAGAGACCTGAAACAAATTAGAGTTCAGAACATAAAGGAAAGTAAAATTCTAGAACAAAACTGTAAAGCCAAGGTAATAAGCATTTTGTCTTGCAGTGTCATATTAAACGGCTCGCTGGGGGGTCCCCACCTTGCAATCTGGGTTGCCTACAGGATTTCCCCCCCCTGCTATTTTATGGACTTGCCTAATTTTGCGATGTTTGATGAATGGTTTTAAGTATCTGTAATGTCAAATAGGAGTCGTGATTTTAACATTTTTATTGGATTGCTAAACTGACATTAGTTTCCTTCCTTTCTTCTAGAGAGGGGTGAAGTTTGAAATTAGTTTAAACCAATGTATTTCTGATGAAAACACCCTCCAAGAGGAAGAGGTATGCCATTAAATATTTATTTCCATTAACAGGTATAAGAAAAATGAGTGTCTTAATAGCACATTTAATGAAATTTTTCCATAGGTCATAGGGAGAATTTTCTTAAATCTTCCTAGAAGGATCTCTGGTGTTCAAACGAGTCTTCCAAAATGCTTTTTTACCTTCCCATTCTTTTTTCATTGAGATCATTCCCTTAGATGGATTATTCCAATTTAATTTATTTTTCTCTTATAAAGGAGTTATTTTCCTCATAATATTAACTTTCTTGTCATTGCCAAATTAAAATAGGAGACTTAATTATAGTCAGCAACTAACATACTTACCTAAAAAATTGAGCAGATACCCTGAAACCATGCACATTTATTTTAGGTCTTAATCAGTTATTGGTAACTTTGTGCAGGTCTTTGGGTGAATCTCAGTTATGCACTCAGGCTCTCATTGACACAGTGATAAATGCGCAAATACAGTAAACTCAAACCTCATTTTATTACTTGTATTCAACATCTTTTTTAATCCCACTTTTTACCAGACCTGCTAACAAATATCAAAATCAACTGATTTGTGTTTCCATTTCACCTTCTCTAACTTTGCCTTTTAAATGACCAAAAGTTATGTGTGTGGACATATAAGTTCTGTATCACATCTGATACTCAATTTCTTTCTTTCATGTTCTTCATTAGCTGAAAAATGTTTAATGTTATCATTTCTTTCAGATTTTTTGTTTTGAATAGACTTCATGTTTTAAAGCAGTTTTGAGTTCATGGCAAAAATGAGCAGAAGGTACAGAGATTTCCCATCTATTCCTGGTCCCCTCACATGCACAGCCTCCCCCCACTGGGGTGGAATATTTGTTACAACTGATACACTCAGATAGACACATGATAATCAACCAAGTCCACAGTTCACATTAGGGTTCACTCTTGGTGGTGTACATTCTATGGGTTTTGACGTAACGACCCATATCCATCATTATGGTACCACATAGAATAGTTTCACGGCCCTAAAAATCCTCTGTGCTCTCCTTACCTTTGAGATTTTTTTTCCTACCATTTTGTCACATAGAGACTTCTTAGAGTGGTGACTGTTAACTCTCACCTCTTTAAGCATTAGGCATCTTGGTGTCCCAGACCTAGGAGGATCAGAGGGGGCTCGTTTCTGGGTTGGAGTGGTACATCCACAGTGCTCCTGTCAAGTCAGGTGCTGAGGTTGGCCTGGTAGTATAAAGGGATGGAGTCAAAAAGTTTTATCTGCCACGGTGTTCACCCTTTGTTATTCAATGCTTTGATGTGCTTGAAACAGAGTGATCATTTTAATATTGATTATGGGGTGTAGGAGTAGTTTTAGGGACCCGTATTGGGAACATTGTGCACCTAAAGCAGGGCGTGGACAAGATAACCTTGAGAGTTCTGTAGAATGGAACCTCAGGAGAATAATATTGAAGGCAGCAAGTCTGGATAAAATCAAGTTGCCATATGATCAGTGCTTGTCACTGTTGACAAGGAGAAGAAAGAAACACACTCCTGTTTCTATCTTGTTCCAACATAGTTCCAATTTTAAAATGCTATAATTTATTTGTTTAATATACATATACTGAATACTTACCATATGCCTTGGGAAATGTTATTACTGGAAACACGAAAAACTTTTTGACATATTTTTTCCTCAAAATATGGCTCGCCATGAAACACTGTGGCATTGCCTTAGGCAACGGATGTGCAAAATAAAACTCTGACCTTTGAGCATGGCATGAAGCTTAAGGAATATAAGTGCGTGAAGGAGTATGAAGATTATACAGACAAAGCATTTGAAGAGCTCTGTTGCCCAGAAGCAGGTACGTGTCGTGCCCCTTGAAAGCCGGAGATAGAAGGGGCGTTTTATCAGCAGTCCGTCACAGTCCCCGTCCTCACTGGCCGGCAATGCCGTTGTCCTGGAGCTGGGCAGAGCCCCGGCTCTGCCGCCTGAGACCCAGCCGTGTGTTCTTGCCCTGTGCTGTCTCCTTGGGCAGTCGCCCCCAGCCAGTACCCCCACGCCAGCCACTTTTCTCATTATCTGCTGGAAGGTTCCACGGACTTGTCCCACTAGCCTCGCAGACTCAGCATTTGTCCAGTTGAATTTCAGAGCTCTTCCTTCCCAGTGAGCAGCCTGGCAGGCTCTCCCCTGAGATGCCGCTGGAGTTTTCCTCCCCGTTCCGTCTGCCGCTGGTTTCGGGCCCGGTCATCTCGGAGCAGTGGGGTGAGGTAGTGAGTGCTGGGACTTTGGAGGCCGAGGGGAGTCTGGATCCCAGCTGGCGCTGCCGCCTTCTGATTGGGTGACCTTTCACAAGTGACTACAGTGCTCTGAATCTCCGCTTCCTGTAGGAACAGGGATAATAGTACTTGCCACACAGGCTTACTGGGGGGACTAAAGTGAAATTTGATATATAACTATCTGGCACATGGTAGGTGCTTAATAAATGCTATTTCTAACTTGCCCCCCCCCTTTTTGCCTCTCGCTGTACTGCCTTATTCTCCTATGTGTTCTTCTTTTCTCTAGTATCTCCCCCTTCATTCTCTAAGTGGCTGCTGGAGATTTCTTGTTGTATTTTTGGGTAATGCCTGCAGGATTCCCCATTGTCCATTCCACATAGTATCCTATTTAACACTGTGGGGCCTGATCTTGTTGTGAGCCACCCTTCCTGCCCCAGCACCCCTCTTTCCTGCCACTGATGATGGGATCCAGACAGCTTCCTGGAGCACCCCCCTCTCTCTTATAGCTGCGTGAGCATTTGCACACCCTGGCTTGGCTCAGTTTCTTCTTCCTGGAATAATACATCTCACCTCATTTCCATCTGGAAAAACCTTTATTTGGTTCAGCAGGCATCTTAGTGAGAACCTCCCATGTGCACAGACTGTGCCAGGTGCTAGGGATCTCAAAGATGAATGCAAACGGGGTCCGCCCTCAACATCCCCGTGGTGTCGTGAGCCGAAGAGAGGAGGCACAAAACATGTTTTCTGAGCCCACACACTAATCCTCATCAGAGCGCCGGCTGGCTAGAGTCAGGAAGGTACCCACTCCTACAGAGTTTGCCATGCTCGGGAGCTGGGGCTTTATCCTGCGTGATGACCTTCAGTCGAAGGGAATTAACTCCTCTCTGTGGCGGAGAAAGATCATGCTGGCTGCAGCGTCAGGAGGGCGTGGGGCGGCGGGGCTGCGGGCAGGAGAGCGGCCCAGGTGGGAGACGACAGGCGCTCAGGCCAGAGCAGTGCGGTGGGAACAGACACCCAGTGCGAACCACTGAGTGTGGGGGTTGAGGACGCGAAGGAGGTTAAAGACCCTCCTAGTTTTAGGAGGGTCCTAATTCAGATGGATGAAGCTGTCACCAACCAAACAGGCACACACAGCACGCAGAGGGAGGTGAGAGGACATAGTATAACGCTCTAGATTTGGGACATATTGGCGTTCAGGTCTTTATGAGCCTCAGCTGGAGATGCTTAGAAGATGCTAGCTGTGTGAGAAAGCAGCTCTGGGGCAAATCAGGGTTTCCTTAGCATACACAAGGTATTATCACAATCACCTTAGTGATGGTCAAAAATACCTAGGCAGAGGGACTAGTGTGAGAAGGAAACGAAGCTTAGGACAGACCTTAGCAACGTTTAGACAAGGTTTGGGGAAATCCGGAGAGAGCAAAGCCAAAGGAGGAGAGAAAGTTCTAGAAGGAAGGTGCAGGGTTGGCAGCATCAACCGGAAGAGAAAGGCCAAGTGAGGTGGGTTAAATAACAGCCTACGGATTTGGTCGCAAGGAACCCTTAGTGGCCTGAGCGAAAGTTCCAGTGAAAGTGATGAATTCCAAAGTTATTCTTTGTGTAAGTTTGCTGGGAAGAGGAGATCACGAGTTATAGGTCTCAAAAGACATAGCTGCTTTTTTTTTTTTTTAGATTAAAACGATTTCAGTTTCATACTGAAAATTGTCTTTTAACTTGTCTGCATTCCTATAATTATAGTTCAGGTTGAAAAAATTTTCCATAGGTTTTGACCATCCATGTGTCTCTTGTGAATTATGTGCTCTCATCCTCATCCCTTTATCCACTGAAAATGGCATTTTTTCCTTTATAAGACTCTTTAGGTTAAAGCTTTACCTGTAATATGTATTACAAGTATTTTTGTCATTTGGTTTTCAGATCTTATCTCTAGTAACAGCAGCAAGTGTATGTGTGTGTGTGTGTTTGTGTGTGTACATATATAATTTAGGAATAAACTTTATGAGGATTATGCAGAGTATGTGAAGAATACTATAAAACTTACTGAAGTATTTAAAGATCACTCGAATAAATGGGGAGAAATAACATTGTTATATATTAGAAATATTCTTTCTAAATAAATATATGGAATTTTGCCAATTTCGATCAAAATCATCAAAGCCACAAAAAGATGGAGACGTCTTGGCAGACTGGAGAATCTTAGAGACTCTTAAGTAGACAAATTTAGAAAAGAAGAGCAGTGAAGGGGCACATACACTTTCAAATATCAAAATATATTCTGTTATTCTGCAAACTATAAAACAATATGATACTAGCACCAGAACAGATAAAGCAGTGAAAAGAAGAAATAGTTTAGAAACAAACCCTAGGATGGATAATAATTCAGTGTATGCTGAAAGTTACATCACAAGTCGGGGGAAAGAAGGGCTCCATCAAATAAATGCTGCTAGGCCAATTGGTTAACAATTTGGGAAAATTGTGAAATCAGACCCTATTTAATGATAAAACAAAATAAATTTTTAAAAAACCAAAGAGTTTATACATAAAAAATGAAGTTATATATTAGAAAATGAAGTAAAAGAACAATCAAAATCAAAAGGCAACCTATGGAATGGGAGAAGATATTTGCAAATGACTTACTTGATAAAGGGTTAGTTTCCAAAATATATAAAGAACTTATAAAACTCAACACCCCAAAAATGAAAAAGCCAATTAAAAAATGAGCAGAAGATGAAGTCCCAAGGCACGTACTGCATGGAGCACTGGGTGTTATACGAAAACAATGAATCGTGGATCACTACATCAAAAACTAATGATGTATGGTGACTAATGTAACATAATAAAATAAAATTTAAAAAATAAAAAAAATGAGCAGAAGACATGAATAGACATTTTTCCAAAGCAGACAGATGGCCAACAGACACATCAAAAGATGCTCATCATCACTGATCATCAGGAAATGCAAATCAAAACTACAATGAGATATCATCTCACACCTGTCAGAATGGCTAAAACCAACAACATGAGAATCTTTGTGTCGGCAAAGATGTGGAGAAAGGGAAACCCTCTTGCACTGTTGCTGGGAATACAAACTGGTGCAGCCACTCTGGAAAACAGTATGGAGGGTCCTCAAGAAGTTAAAAATAGAGCTACTCTCTGATCCAGCAATCGTACTACTAGGTATTTACCCAAAGAATACAAAAATACTAAATTCAAAGAGAGACATGCACCCCAGTGTTTATAACAGCCTTATCTACAATAGCCAAGTGTCCATAGACTGATGAATGAATAAAGATATGGTATGTTTATATATACAATGGAATATCAGCCATCAAAAAGAATGAAATCTTGCCATTTGCAATGGAGTATTTGCCAAGTGAAATAAATCAGTCAGAGAAAGACAAATTTATGATTTCACTCATATGTGGAACTTAGGAAAACAAATGAGCAATTAGAAAAAAAAAAGAGAGCGAGAGAGGCAAACCAAGAAACAGAACCAAGAAACTATAGAGAACAAACTGATGGTCACCAGAGGGGAGGTGTGTGGGGGATGGGTGAAATAGGTGATGGGGATTAAGGAGGGCACTTGTGATGAGCACTGGGTGTGTAACTGCTGAATCACTATATTGCACACCTGAAACTAATATTACACTGTATGTGAACTAATTGGAATTTAAATAAAAACTTAAAAAAATGAAATAAAAGAAAATATAGGTGAGTTTGTGGGGTTTTTTTTTTTTTTTGGATAGGGAAGAACTAACTATTCAAAATACATGGAACACAATCATGAGTAAATTAGTAATAGATTCCACTTTAGCAGTGAAAACCTTTGATGAAGCAAATAATACTAGCTCCTAGAATTGTCACCTTCAATAGTTTATCTAGGGTAAATAATCATGAATGTCCATAAACGTTTAGCTGCAATGATTTCATTATAGTATTATTTGTAATAGTGAAAAATTGCTAGCGAACTAAACGTCCCACCATAAAGAATTAAATAATACATTTGTATCACACAATACTGTATTTGCTTTACAATGGTTGTATAGAACAGTGGCTAATAAACTGGGTATGATAATGTTGCTCTTTGAAAAGAGTAAGTTATGAAAGTTATGCATGGTGTAAGGCCCATTTTTGTTTCAAAACAAAGACACTATATTCAAGGGGAAATTTTTGAAATTTTAATAGTCTCTAGATGGTGAGATTATGGGCGATTTTTATTTTCCTCTACTTATCTGATTTTCATATTTCCTATAATGAAACAATGTAATAAATAAAGGAAAAGCTTTTTAAAATTAAGATGACAGAACTGGGGGTGCCTCAGTGGCACAGTTGAGTGGCCGACTCTTAGTTTCCTGGCTCAGGTCTTACCTCAGGGTGGTGAGATCCAGCCCCATGCTCAGCGTACAGTCTGTTTGGGTTTCTCTCTCCCTCTCCCTCTACCACACCCCAACACTCCCCCGCCCCACTCTGTCTCTCAAATAAATAAATAAATCTTAAAAAAAGAGATAACAATTGATTGTATTTCTATGGAAACTGAAGTAAGATGCTCAGAGGTGCCTCAAGGAAGGTGTCCATTCTGGTCACTAATATTTGTTTACATTTAGATATATTACCTAGTCACTCAAATGTTAATAATAAAAACCAATTTTTAAGCCTGTTTATAATTTCAGTCTTGCAAGTTATGATCTAGTCTTAGTCCGTTTGGTCCGCTATAACAAAATGCCATTAACTCTGTGGCTTATAAACAACAAACATTTATTTCTCACAGTTCTGGAAGCTGGAGAGTCCAAGATCATAGTGCTGACAGATTTGGTGTCTGGTGAGGGCCCACTGCCATGTTTTTGTTATGTCCTCACTTAGCAGAAAGGGTGAGGAGCTCTGTGGGGTCTCTTTTATAAGAGCACTAAGCCCATTCCCCGGGGCTCCACTCTCATGATCTCATCACCCCCCAAAGACCCCCACTACCTCCCAATATCAGCACACTGGGCCGTAGGTTTCAACATAGGAATTTGGGGGGAGGTTGGACACAAGCATTCAGTCCGTAACAATCAATATTCGAATGGGGTGGTAATTTCTCTGTTTTTGAGGGTACCCACAGATGGACTACCTCCAGATTTCCTAAGAACTGTTTGGTGCAATGAGATGCACTTTGACTGCTTGTAAATTAATGAGTTATTTTCTCATACCCAGAGTGGTTCATTCAAGATACTGGTGCCTCTGCAGAGAGCAGGAGACAGTGGGATGCGCCAGCTGCTCAGACTGTGCTAGAGAAGATGACAGCAGGGGACATCACCTCCACCTGCACCACTGTGCCCGAGGGTGAGTCTACACTCATTTCGGTCTGAGTTGCCAGCGCGGGGAGACAAGGCCTCAGATGCAGCTGTGTTGCTGGCGCTCACCCTGACGCCATCGTTCTCTTTTCAGTACAATCCCTATGTATCTTTCCAAGATAATGTTTTGGTATCTCCCTCACCTCCTGAGAAACTTGCCTGCTAAGTATCCTAGACAACTGACCACTCCAGGTATGAGAATATAAAAGAGGAAAGATCTAGAATCCCACTGTCCTTGTGGTTGAAGGAGATTCTCTAAAGAAGGGCTGTTGGCTTGACTTGCCTTCCATGCTAACTCAATCACTTCCTTGGAATTCCTTGGAGGGGTTGGTTTTTTCCATGAATAAAATCCGGATTAAGATAATACCTATCCCACAAGGTTTAGAGTTAGCAGGGCAAAAACACATACAAAGTTGCTCTGTAAGCCAATGTGCTATTTTAAATGTTAAGAGTGTTAAGAATGTGATGATATTTCCAACCCAAATTCCTCCGCTTACATTTGAGCTTCCGGCATAGTCTTTGCATAAGAGAAGTTCACAGCAACATCTGGGTGTTATTTTTACAGGTGGCGAGGATTTTTATTACTTATTTCCTATGTTTCTCTTGATAACATGGGGCTGGGGGAGAGCTAAAATGTATACCCATTTTATAAATTGAAATATGTAAGTATATCACCGCCATTTATAAGTGTGTGAACTGACTTACATTTATACCATTATGGAACACTGAAGTCCCCAAACTTGCAAGAAAGGGCTTGCAAACATTACAATTTAATCTACTGTAAGCCAATGAGACAATAAGCCCAATTTAAAATAAGTAGAATAGAAAATTTAACACACTGAAGTGTTTACAAAGCAAGTCACTCTCATACCCATTAGCCATGTGACATAAGTCACTAAACTTTATCTCCGTTTTCTTGCTGGTTACACGAGGGGTGGGATTAGGTTACCTCCAAGGTTCTCACGTTTTGTGATTTTATAAGAAGTCAGACGAAGCATTTTTATTTTCAGTAACACAATCTCCTCCTCAGGTGGCCAAGGGATGGTGACCGAAGGCATCCCAGAAAATAGGAGACGGTGGCAGCATGAAGTGCCAGGAGCTTTAATGAGCGCTTTGGCTGCAGCACGTCTAACAAGTAGCTCGTTTTCTGCCCACGAAGGCGAATTGGGTATGCAGTTTATTTTTAAGAACATAACCAGTCCCCTGAGGAATTTTGTCGGAGACTTGTAAATGCGGAAAGGGGATAAAAATACCTTCAGCCTGGAGAGAGTGCTGGAAAGGGCTCAGCCTCTTCGGAAGCTGATTCGCTTTGTCCAAGCCTGTTCCAGATACCACTAACAAAAGCCTCGAGCTTCCCAGAAGAGTGGGGTAATTTTCTTTAATGGGATCAGTTGACAACTGATGAAAATAAGTAGGGCAAGTGGCTTTGTAGAAGGTAAGCAGGTACCACTTAGCTCTACCTGACGGTATATTTCTGACAGCTATTCAACAGACTCAAATTACTCTTCCATAGGCAATGAAAATACATCATCGTTTAGTTTCTTGGTTTTGGGGAGGGTTTTTTTTGTTTGTTTGTTTGTTTTGGTCTCTGACTTTTAGCAAGATGATGCTTGTGTTTACTTTATGGGAAGCCAGCCATCCTTTTCAAAAGTTTGAGGGAATTCACGTCCCAGGGGGAGTTTGTCTTTGGAAGGTGCAGGTGTGCACTGCTACAAGGAGGGTTGCCGTGGGCAGGCAGGTGGGGCAAAGGAGCATCTGCACAGGCGTGCTTAGGGACCCGTGTTTCAGGAACGCGAGACTAAGGCGACAAGGAGGCAGAGATACAACCTGGGTGTAACGGAGGCTGGTAAGTACTTACAAAGCAAAGGAACAACACGAAAACATGTGCCACCCCGAGGATAATGTCAGAGAAGTGCCTGACGATTGCCCAAGAGTGAGTCTGCCAGCTTGTGAAGCCTAAACTTCACAATCGTTGTGAAATCTTTGTGAAAGTTGCATCTTCCAAGAATGTCCAGAAGAATGAATGTATCGGGCGGGGAGGACTTGCAGATACACAGGCCTGTGGCAGACACTAAGAAAACCGGTTGGAGCAGGAGAGGGGGCCAGAGTCCCTGAGCATACGAAGTCCTTTGAAATCCTTTGGTCTTATGACTTCTATCAGTTATCACATTGTTGCTTAAAAGTTAAGAGGAGAGAGAGGGAGAAAGGGAGAAACTGCCCTTGAGACTCTCTTTCCAGTACCTTCCAATTACAAAAAGCAGTGTATTGTCTTTACTCCTTTCCCTTCTGTCCTGGGATGAAAGCCCTTGTCCCTAAGGATGGGGCTGGAGGCGGTAAGTCGGAAGCTTTGGGCTGACTGTGCTTGGCCTGGAAGCCAAGGGCTGGGATCCCAGGCCAGGTTATCAAGACACTGAGGTGGGGACATACTTGGTGGCTATGATGTTTCTTGCATTTGTCCCTGTGCTTCTTGGAGAGAGTCATAGAAAATTCTTCATTTGGTCTGTCATGCCAGATTAATTCATTCATGAGCTTGCCGTATTTTTACATGGATGGCTTTACATTGGGCATATATGAGCAATTTACCTGTCAAGTGAGATTGGAAACAGGAATTTGCCTCCAAAGGTGCGTTCAAAGCAGAGTGCGGATGTTTTCTTTTACAACCTGCCAGGGTGCTGACACCCCTCCCGCCCAGCTGAACTCCGCCTCTAACTGTGGTTGGCCTTTTGACTTCCTGTCCCTGGTCATCTTTTCTTACTTTAGCTCTACGCTTTGCACCCGTGCTAGATAATCCTCCTAAAACGGACCAAATCTCTTTTCAGCTTAAAATCCTGCAAAAGATGCCCTCTTACCCTCAGGATAAAATCAGTCTCTCTGCAGACTCTGAGCACCTTGAAGATTGGTGTGGCCCATCGCAATGCCAGGCTTGCTAGCATTTCTCCACCAGCAGATAGTCCTCCCTCGGCTTAGAATGCCTGCCTCCTTTTGCCAGGATAATTCCTCCTGCAAGGTTTCCCTCTGACAACCCTCCTCCCATTTCTGTCACTATGTGTCATAGTGGGTGGTGAGGTGGTGAAGGGCAGGTATTCTTCTCTCCCTGCTTTTCCCTGTACTACCCGACGGGGCTTTGTAAATGGGTCTGGAATGACGTCGATCCTTAAGTGTTCTTTTGCACGAGTGAGTGGAAGACCCTGTAACTATATTAATATGCTTCTCTTTAATCCAAAAAATTCTAGGAAGTCCTCAAGTTTGTCTACTCTCTCCCTGCCTTTTCTGTTAGCTGCTTCTGACAATTTCATATTCAGTCTCACGCTCAAATTCATTCACGCTCCAATATTTGTTAAATGCATGAAATAGTGACATTTTATCACTATATTTATCATTTAAATTCATGTCATAAAAAGATGCAGTAGTGAGTTTATTTCAATTTTTAGTGATTGCTGTGAAAAGCCTGGATCTCAGACTCTTGCCTGTGTCCCCACTGATAGGGAGCCTCTGTTTTAAAGGATTAAGAAAGATCTGAGCATGTTTCCCTTGCATCCTCTAGGTTTGGCTTTGCTGCTTAATACCCCACAAGACACTGTAATTCTCTGATCATAAAAATAAGCTTCACTTTAATTTCTGATTCTTATTATCTTTCTTCCCCACTAGACTGTAAGCTTACGAGAGCTTTGTCTTGATTACCACCCTGTTTCGTCTCTCTCTCCCTAGTGCCTAGAACTTAGCAGGTGGCCATCGTCTTTATGAATGAACATAAAACCATAGCACGTTTTTAGGATTACTTTATGCAGAGGCATGTGATTACCAGTATTCGTATTGCCATCAAGTTGGTAAGGGAAATTATAATGTGGAAAAATAATTCTTACGACTGTGTAGAGTCTTCTGAAGACTTCCTGTGTAAGTTTTAATAACTTTGATTGCAAGTATAATAGACACAGTTTATAAAGGCTTTCAAGGATTAGCTATGGTCATACATTTAAGCATTATTCATATGTCCTTCATCACTGTTTAGCTTAAACTTCCAACTCCTTGAAAATAAATTTCTTTCATGCTTCGAGCCCTGCATTCCATTAAAAAGTGAAACTTTATCAACTACCTATTTAATTTATCCTAACTTTAAGTTTAAAATAGCAAGACTTCGTAAAATCCTTTTCAATGACTTTTACTACTAAAAGCTACACTCTTGAGATAAGGACAAGTATTTTTTTTTTTTTAACGTGTGCATAATTAATTCAGGTCAGTAATTTTGTTTACAGTTTAACCACTCCAAGGGGATCCTTGGTGGGAAGGTAACCTCCATTTTTCTTGTGTAAGTTTTCAGGCCACATAGTTGCCCTGGTAACATCATAGGTGCACATCCAGATAACAGCTGATTTACATTTCTGTAGTTAGCTATTCATTCTTTCTTCTATCCTGTTAAACAAAAAAATAAAAGCCTCCTAAAATTGTCTTCCTAAAATAAGAAAACAAAAACTATGATTCCCACACCAAGTGGAATACTCAGGCTGCTATTAATTAGCCAGACTACCTCATCGATCAATTCATTTATTTTATAATGCAATGTAGGAAATAATATAAGCTATGATTTGGGATGACACATATTGATTAAAAATAGGTAAATACTTAAGTACAGCGTGGTAAAATTTCTACTTGTAGGTATGTGCATGAATAGTCAGTTTACCAAAAAACAAACAAAAAATAGCCACACTTTGTTTTTAATTGCATCTTTGGAGAAAAGTGCCTATTTCTAATCCCACTTGTTAGAAGCGCATAGGGATTTTTTTTCCTAGAGACTAACGTGAGACACAGTTTAGCCCCCTAGGAACCAGATGGTTGCAGAGTGCGTGTGGGCGAGGCCGCTTCTGGTAGGTTACCAAAATGAGCATAGTCCTTCACTCTTCCCTGTGTCCCTGCCCTTTGTGATATGACTTCGCAGCTCCTCCACCATTAAATGGCTTTTTCCCCCTCCGCTTGAATCTCAACTGGCCTTTGTGATTTGTGTGTGTGAGGAGGATGGAATTGAAGCAGTGGTGTGCCAAATCTGAGTATTTAAGGAGCTTTTGCTTTTTTTTTTTTTTGGAAACCTATCTCTCAACTAGCTCCAGCTGGCCTGCTATGAGAGACCATGTGGACAACAAGCCATCCCAAGAGAGGCCACAGTAGGCCAGCCAGCCTCCAGCTGGCCTGGCAAGTGACTACACATGCATGACTGGGTCCAGCTGAGACAGGAAGAGCCAGCCAGCTAAGCCCAGCCCAAACTGCCTAACGGCAGAATAGTGACCTCAATAAATGGTTACTGTTTTAAACCACTAAGTTATGTGGTGGTTTATTCCAAAAAAGCTAACTAATATAGACATGTGTAGCAAAATTCCCAAAGTGGGAGTCAAAAGTAAGCTAGCCATAGACTATGTAGACATAGTTTTAAAGCCAACTTCAGAAGCCAGCATTATTAATTCTTTTGTGAACTCTTTTAGTTTTTGAGATTTTAAGAAAATCTGTCTCAACATCACTCTTGACTGCAAGGTTGAAGTTATGTAGGAAAAAACCAGACATATTCTCTGTTTTAATGGAAACAATTCACAGGCTTTACCTTCATGGTTGATGTCCAGTACAGGATTTGGGGTATATACCCCTCATCATGTGTATAGGCTGGGAGGCTTTAATCTCTCTGTTATTTCTTTAACAGTGGGAACATTAGAACAATGGCTTCCTAAAGAAGACGAGGGGAATATGGAAATGGCCTCTGGCATTGAAGTAGATGAGGAACAACCAAGATCTGATGATGACGATACGTAAGTAGGTCCTGTCCAGATACCTGAATGGAGTACTGGTAGAGAGTTAAAAGGCTGTTGCTGAGATATGGACAATAGTCTTAGACCTAGCTGAGGAGACCAAGTTTTACTCACACAAGGGTTTGTTTCTGGGCTCTCTGTTCTTTCCCAATGGCATTGTTTCCTATCTCTGCATGAGTGATATGCTGTCCTAAATTACTGTGCCTTTACCATATCTTTTGGTATCTGGTAGGGCTAGTCCCATACCTGCTTCTAGTCTCCGTATCTTTTTCTTCAAAATTATCTTAGCTGTTGTTCCCCTTTACTTACCACATACATCTTTGCATTTTCTTGTAAAGGGTCATGAAAAACTTTGTTAGGATTTTGAGAATGACATTACATTTGTTGATTAATTTATAGGATTTGACATCTTTATGATCCTAAATCTGAACATCCATGAACATAGTATAGCTCTGCATCTCTTTATGTCTTAAAATATCCTTCAGCATTTTTGTAATTTTATTCACAATAGAGGTACCACTTAACTTGGTTGTTGTTGCTATTGTCATTATTGATGGGGTTGTTTTTCTTTTACTGTGTTTCAACTTGGCGACTGCTAGCATATAGAACACTATTGATGTTGTATCCTGTAACCTTACTGAACTCTTTTATTAGTTCTAAAATTTGGAGTCCTTTGAATTTTAAAAATTTTATAATTTACTTTTTAAATAGGTAATATACTCACATGGCTTCAAATTCAGAAGTTACACTCTTTTTATAGTCTTCTTGCTATCTCTTTACCTCAGCCACACGATTCCCCTTCCCAGAGTCAACCAATCGAATATACCTCTTGTGCACACTTCTCCTGAGGAATTCCATTAAACTGTAAGCCAATATGTAGATCTTGTGTATGTGTGCATTCTTTTTCTTTTTTTATAGAAACAGTTTCATAGCATACATGCTATCCTGCAGCTTCCTTTTATCACTTACCACTGTAGCCTGAATACCTATCATAATATACAAATAGTAGTATACATGCAGTTTAAATTCCCAGGAAAGCCAAGTATTAGGTCGAAGAGTTTGTACGTTTGTAACTGGATATTGTCAAGTTGTCCTTCACAGAGGTTACACCTATGAACACTTCCACTGACCGAGTATGGAAGTGCCTGTCTCTTATTGTTTGCATATCCAAAATTGTTTTATTGTTTTAATTGTAATTTAGTTGGGTATACAATTTTGACAATGATTTTTCTCCTGATCTTTATTACTGTTGATGAGAAAACTGCTATCTAATTGTTTTCCCTCTAGAGATATGCTAACTTTCTCCCCAGCACATCCGTAATGTTCTTTTTATCTTTATTTTCTTATGTTTCATTGTTGTATGTATGTCTGGGTCTGGACTTCTTTTTTATCCTGCTTGGCTCACTTTCTTCTGAGAACCCATGACTGTCTTTAGTTCTGGAAAATTTTTACCCATTACTTTTCCAAGTGTTGCTTTTCTTATTCTGTCCATTTTGGTCCTCCAAACAGATATGTTTTGGAGCTTCTCAATCTGTCCCCAATAACAACTAATTGTACTTTCATATTTTTTATTCATCTCTTTGTTCCATTCTAGGTGAATTCTTGAATACTATTTTCAAACCTATCTGGGTATCATCTATTAAGTTTTTAATTTAAATGATTATATATCTCCTGTCTTAGATTTGTATTTGTTCATATTTTTATATGTTCTTGTTTCAGTATTGCATAATTATTTCCCCTAATTTGAAGACATTTTAAAATGGATGCTGTTCTTTAATTTACCTTTTTGAGCATACTTACTTTAAGAGTGTTATCAAAATCCTCCATAAAAGTAATTCCATCTAGACTTAGTTTCTGGTCCAACTTAAAAAGAAATTTCTTTTTGCCTATCCTTCTCTTACCATTAGATTTATTCACGTGTTTTGGAATTTTGGTTTACAGGATCATTTTGTTTTAGAAGTTTCATGTTTTGTTTTTAAATTTTCTTCCTTCCCTTTCTGTCTCTGTGCACCTCCTGCATATCTATCAGATTTTGTTTTCTTTGGTGTGTTCCCCTCCATTCTTGCTAGCTGGAGCCACTGAAGAGTTACACTTCAGTGCAAGGGTGATCTAGAAAAAAAATCTCAGTAATATGGCTTGTCTGTTTTGGCCCAATCTCTAGGAGAAGAATTCTTCCTGAGAAATTTATAACCATAGATTTGCCTTTACTTGGGTTTAGAATTTACAACACTTGGATGGTCTGGAAACATGTATATTGATAAATCAACATTAAAATTGATAGTAAGAAATCATAATACTCTGGGATCTCTAGAAGACATAAATATGAAATATCCTGGAGGGATATAACCTCAATCCAGGCTACACTGCATTTTCTCATTAAGGCACTGCTGAACATGAGTTCACAACTAAAAATAGAATCCACTATGAGAGATAGCAAGCACAACAAATAGCTGAATTAGACCATAAAGAACTTCAGGTAATACAATTATCCTATGAATATTTAATATTTATATAATAATTTAAATTGTACATTTAAAATTAATTAATCAAAGTAAGGAATGGAAACATAAGAAAAAAGTAGGTCTATCAGAAAGGAGCAGGAAGATCTGGTAATTAACCAAATAGAACTTAAAAAAGTGAAAAAAAATCTACTAATAGAAATCAAATGACAGTTTAAAAACGGAATAGGTACAGTTATTGAGGGAATTAATAACTGCAAGTAGACCTGAAGTAAAAAATGATATTAAATGTGAAAGAGGAGTTAAGAGTCATGAAGGTCCAACCTACATCTACAAGGAGTTCCAGAAGAAGAGAATTGGAGAAAAGCAATATTCAAAGCAATTATAGCTGTGGACTTTTTATAATCATTGAAAGCCATAAATTGTGGCATCTGGGAAGTAAAACAATAACCAAGTAGGAATGATGACAATAAATTCACACCTAGACACATCATACTTTAAACTACAGAGGAATGAAGACAAAGGGATGATCTCATGTAAGCACATACCTCAAGAATGATAGCTTAACAAATTGGGAGCTCTAATTGCTGGTCCACCCCAAATTTATGATCTCCAATTTTAGTGAGGTCCTCTGTGGTATCTGGCAATCCTATGCCTGGTTTGCTTCCTTCCAAACCCTCCACCCTGCATGCTCACCCCCATCCACCTCACTCTTGTCATGTGACCATGCCTCCTTCACAGAGATACTATGTGGTTTGTAAGTGGAATGGGTTTGTCTAGTTCCATAACTTCTCTCTATCCTCATGAGTCCTCATTACCCTCTCTTTCCCTGTCTTCCTTCTCGGACAAAAAACCGTCTCCCTTTCTGCTGAAAGCACATCCTGGCGCAGGTACTCTGCATCCCAGCCTTTCTCAGAGAATGTGTTCCTATTACTGTCCTTCTCCTATATTTTTAACGTCTATTAGCTACTTTCTCTCAGCATATACACATGCTGAAATCTGTCCCTTCTTGAGAAACACCAAAAAATTATTGCCCTCATCTTCTCAAGTTAACATTGTCCTTTCAGATCCAGGCTCCCCTCAAAGGAGTTTAAGCTCCTTGTCACTGCTAGCTTACTTCCTACTGCTTTCTTGATCTCCTGTATGATGGTTCCTGTCACATAGCATGCTGAAATGTTCTTGCAAAGGTCATCTTTTACCTTGAAATTGCCAGGTTCAACTGTCATTTCTGTCTTCCTCTTATTTGGCTGCTCCCTATCTGGAAATTCTCTGCGTCCTTGGCATCCATGATGAACACTTTCTTGGCTCTTACCAGATCTTCCTCAGCCTCTTTACCTGCCATGTAAATATTAGGGATCATTGAGATGGTTTTCCTGGTCTCCTGCCTTCTTCCCTTCTAAGAATATCCATGTTGAGGTCTTAGATAAAATTAGATACAATTTCAATTCCTAGTCCTACTAATCAGTATCTGTGAGACCTTGGGCAAGTTTTATTAACCTCTCTGAGCCTCAGCTTCTTTATAAATTGATGGTGAGAATGTCTACCTCAGAGTGTTGTATTAGATGAAATATAGTTATGTGTAAAGTGCTTCAGGGCACTCACTGGTGTATGATAAGGGCTCACTTTTTGGCAGCTGTTTTATTCTTTTTTTCCTCTTCTCTCTTCCTCTCCTTTTAAGAATAGATGGGTATTAATAAATATCATAAAGGTTGTTGAACACAGGTCCAAGTAAACAGAATACTGATTATCCCAATAATGGCTTTTATTTTATTTTATTTATTTTTTTAAAGATTTTATTTATTTATCTGAGAGAGAGAATGAGAGAGAGAACACAAGAGGAGAGAGGGTCAGAGGCAGAAGCAGACTCCCCGCTGAGCAGGGAGCCCGATGTGGGACTCGATCCTGGGACTCCAGGATTATGACCCGAGCCGAAGGCAGTTGCTTAACCAACTGAGCCACCCAGGCGTCCCAATGGCTTTTTTTTTTTAATCAGTCTGGAAAGCCAGGCTGATATAATAAATAATTCATTACCTGGGTGAAAATGCAACTATTAAATTGCTTAAGTGAGAAGGGAAACTACCTTTCCTATCTATTTTTCATTGTTTTGATATCATAAAGTTGATTTTTACCTCTTATTTCCAGGAATTTTGAAGAATCTGAAGATGAGTTGAGAAACGAAGTAGTAGAATCCCTGGAAAAACTTCCTACTTCCAAAGAGGAAGAAAAAAGAGAAGAGGCTCCTGGTTTCACTAAGGGTGCTGAAAAGTTCGGAGGAGAGGGGATAGGCACCCAGAAATATGCAGAATTAAATGAAGGTTTAGAGAATATTTCTACTCGAGCTAATGACAAAGTATGCATTGCTGATGAAAACCGAGAAACATCAACAACCCACCAAAATATACAAGTGTGATTATTGTACTTTTTCATAAGTGGTAAGTCAGTATCTATTAACTGTAGTATCTGGACACAAGTCATAAACATTCATTTTGTAAGAGTTTTCTAGCAATCCCAGGGATTTATTAATTTTTATACCTATTTAGACCTTGAGACTGACCAATTTGAGTGTAGAAATTAATATTTTACTTTAAAAATTTTTTTTAAAGATTTATTTATTTGAGAGAGCGAGAATGAGAGAGAGAGAGTACATGAGAGGGGGGAGGGTCAGAGGGAGAAGCAGGCTCCTTGCTGAGCAGGGAGCCTGATGTGGGACTCGATCCTGGGACTCCGGGATCATGACCTGAGCCGAAGGCAGTCGCTTAACCAACTGAGCCACCCAGGCGCCCTACTTTAAAATTTCTATCAAGAAATCTTTGGGACAATATATGTGATAGGCAGACAGAGTAATGTGTCTCTCTTCCTGCCACCCTCCCCCCGCAATACACCCAACAATATGAATATATTGTTACATGGCGAAGGGGAATTAAGGTTGCAGGTGAAATTAAGGCTGCTAATCAGCTGACCTTCAAATAGGGGAAGGTTTTTTTTGATTATACAGGTGTACCCAATGTAATCATAGGGCTGTTTAACAGTGGAAGAGAGAGGCAGAAGAGAGAACCAGAAGATGTCAGCGTGAGAGGGGCTCAGCCTGGTGCTACTGGCTTTGAAGACAGAGGAAAGGGCCACAAGCCAAGGAATGCAGGTAGCCTCTAGAAGCTGGGAAAGGCCAGACAACGGACTTCCCTAGAAGCCTGCAGAAGGAACACAGTCCTGCTGACATCTTGATTTTAGCTTTAGACTTCTGACCTACAGAAGTGTAAGATAATAAACGTGTGTTGTTTTAACTAAGTTTGATAATTTGTTGAGACAAGGATGGAAAACTAATTCATTTAGAGTAATGAATCTACCATTTTAGAAAACCATGACTTTGAAATTTCCTCTATTGAATACACTTTTTTGAAGCAGATGTTGACACTTAAGGGAGTAGGTTAACTGAGCAAAGAGAGCATCAAGGCATGTCATGTTAATTATGCACCACGTAATCATTTTACTATGTTTTATTAATTTCTAATAGCTTCAAATGTGTAGATTATAGACTTCTTAAAGGCAGGGACACTACTGGTCCTTGTATTTTATGCTGGTCTTTTTACATATGGTGCTTGGCAGAGTGCCACATTAAACAGTCTCAGTATTGAAACTGTGCCTAGAGTTTACCAGATATTTTATTGTGTTGTTGCTATGAAGGATGGAGTGGTTACATTTCTAAGTGGTAGAATTCTGCCTAAGATATATGCTCTGTAATAAAAATACAACTAAAATTGCACATCCATCCATTGCCGAGCCAGGAAAACAAAGATGAGGAAGGGTTGGTCAGATTATTTCGAAGGTCTGCTTAGTGTTTACATTTGATATAATTTTATTAAATGTGGGGAAACGATCAGGGATGCATCCCACATGATTTGTCTTTTATGCCTGTATTTTCCTGGTAATGTTGGAGGTACTGTTCTTTCAACTTGGTGTATTGGGTTATAATCTACTCTTTTCGGGAGAGTGCTCAGCATGGTCACATCATGAAGCTGAGAATATTTAAAAATTTCTCACCACTGTGTTAATGTCAACCTTGGTAACACATGACCCTGAGAGCTTGGAGCATCATTAATTTTAGAGGAGTCTTTTAGTGGTCCATGTATACATGTTTACTTTCAGAACATTATGTGGTTCAGACATACTAAATCTGTTGGTGTGCTAAACAAATATTAAGCAGTATTTGAATGCATGGAAAATGAAACATGGTTCCTGAAAATCCCAAAGATCCAAAGACCATTCAGTTATATGCGGGGGGTGGGGTGGGTGGTGGAGTGAAGAATTAATGTTTAAGGACAATGCTTAAGGTCATTGAGTCTGCTCCAATGACCAGATGCTTGGCTAAAGTCTCTAGCTAACATTCATTCTAAGATTGAGTTCTTTGCTGTAAAGTAGGAAGTATTCATTGTGATAAGTACACATATCTGCAAGGTTTTTCAACCAACTTCAGCCCCTAATTTACCTTACCCATCTTATGCACACCATTACATAAATCATGTTCTTGAGGCACAACTGATTACTTTATTCTGGGTTTAGGTTTAGCTGCATATGTCAAGTTGAAGCTACTGATCAGACTTGCACGTGTTTTTAGAATAAATTTTACTGAAATTATGCATCTTGGTAACTATGTATCATAGCTACCAAACTGATCATTCTTTAAATGGTGTATCAACTCTTAACTTCCCTTCTAAGTCTTGTAACACGTATAGTCGAAGTGAGCGTGAAGCACTCAAGTATTAGAACTGATGCTTCTTTAAAGCCAAGGGTGGCCTTAGAATTAGGGTGGGGACAGAGGAGAAGCAATCAGCTGAGGAACAGTGGGAGAGGTAGGGAAAATTACAAGGGCATAAATTGATTCTAGTAATTTGCATAACTTCTTGCTGTGGATAACTTTTTTTGTTGTACCCAAATCTGTTGAAAGATTTAGCAGACACTCTATTATATTATAGTCCTGGAGTCTAGGTACATTTACATAATTAAACACAAGTATTCTGAAACATTTATAATTACACTGACCACTCATAATTTTGTCCATAAGATGACTTTGTAAAAACCCCTGAAAATTATTAAAATAAAGTGTATGAAGCTCTGCAGTGTCTTGGAGGTCTGAAATATTCATTAAAAGAAAAATGTCTATTAAACCTGGCAACCTATTTTTCTTGGGTATGAGAGGCAAGACAATTTTACCTTTGAATTCTTTCCCTCCCTCCGAGCTTCCTTCCTTTTCTTTTTCTTTCTCTCTCTCCCTCCCTCTTTCCTTCCCCCTCCCTCCCTCCCACCTCCCTCCCTTCCTTCCTCCCTAGCATGTGGAGCTTAGAAATCTAGAAATAGTAGTAGTAGGTAATAATTCAGCATTGGGAGACTGCATGGGGGTGCAAATGTACCATATGGGGGAAAGTATCCACGATAATGAACATCACTTTATACCATAAACACATTTTGTATCTACTAAATCAAAGTCATATTAGACACAGAGATTACTATTCAAAGACCATGTAGCATGTATTTTATTATGCACAACCCAAATAAGAATGTGAATCCCCACTGCTGGGGGTTCAAAGTATACTGCATTTGGACCACTCAAAAACAAGTTTTATAGGAATGAATAATCACTCAGAAGTTCTCCAGACAGACAGTAGCTGACACATTGTTTTGTCACTTTTCATGGTTATCAGTCATTCCAAAAAAAAAAAAGACACATAGCTACATTAGCAATAGGGAAGGTGAACAGATATACAAAGTATGTTTCCAGTGATGTGTGTGGCAAATAAAAATAATTTTGAAGAAACATGATTAAAAAATGCTTTTTGGAATTTCAGAATCCTTTCTGCTGGTACTACATCCTTCCATTCTGCTTAATCCACTTCAATTTATGGTTTTCTGAGGGTAGATGGGTAGACTGCAGGGGCAGTGGCACGAATCTTGCCCCAAGACTAGCTGTAAGATAAGAAAACCAACTGAGCTGGAGTCAGAATGCTCAGCTTATAATCCTGCAGTGTTTATACTTACACAGCTTTGGGGGGCGCCTGGCTGGCTCAGTCGTGAAGTGTCTGCCTTCAGCTCAGGTCATGATCCCGGGGTCCTGGGATCGAGCCCCGCATCGGGCTCCCTGCTCAGTGAGGAGCCTGCTTCTCCCTCTGCCTCTACTCCCCTGCTCCTGCTTCTCTATCTCAAATAAATAAAATCTTAAAAAAAAAACAACAAAAAAAACCAACCCAGCTTTGTGAGACTGAGGGAATCTTAAGGTCTTTAAGTTGTTCTTCTCTATAAAGTGGAAAATGAGAAAACTGCACCCAAGGATTTGTAGGGTTCCTTCCTTCCAGCTCCAATGTCCACCAATCTTCCTTTTCTAAACTGAATCATCTCCACCCAAAGCTATGTTGGTGTCACATCATCCTGGGACTCTGTTTTGCTGCTTTTTGATCTGATGACAGACGGTGGCCTACAGACGAGTCAACAGTGTAACTGGGAGTAGATGATGAAGCTGGCTGGGTCCATGACTGGATGAGAGGAGTGTCACATGCCCCTAACACAAAGATGTATCAGACTGTGCAGGAGGTCGATTCACTGAACTAGTAGGAGCTAATTATGTATGCAGAAAATGCCAAGTGTTGTAGGTCTCTAGAGCCCTATCTGCACATCCACATACTTTTCCTGCTAGGGATTCAGCACAGAAGTCCTGTTAAAATCAGCACAGTAGTTCTAGCTACCAACTTAGTATCCATGAGTCTAGCTTGGGTCTTAATGCATTAATAAGGAGGATTGATTACAAAAGACATTTACTATATATTGTTACTTTTAATTAAATTACTTTATGAAGGTACCTTTAAAAAAAAAAAAAACTTCTCTAATTTTCAAGGTACTCTCACATACTTTCCAAATCAGAATCACTAAGAGGTAGTGAGGAGAGGTATTACCATCTCCAGATTATGGATGAAGAATCGGAGTTCCAAAAAGATTAAGCAGCAGCTTTAGTCTTAGGAGGTCGGAGGCCTGTAAATGATGATGCTGGGGTCAGGCCCAGGTATTCTAAGTCTCACAACACACGATGCTCCCAACAGAGACCGGGCGGATGGAGGCGGTTAGTCCATCGTCACTATGAGAAAAACAATTTAGCACGATGTTCTCACTCAGACCTTCAGAACAGCTTCAAGCTGACTTGCAGCCCCCGAGATGTGGAACTGTGATGGGATAAGGAGGGTATCCCTCTGTATCAGTACAAATGTACTGGTAGCACTGAACAAAAAGCCCCTCTCACAGACCCCAAGCTACGGGAAGATTGCGGGCAGCGCCCGGGCCTCAGCTGCTGACTCGGAGGGCAGCCCCAACCCGCGGGGCAGCCATGGTCCATCTGTCTTTTCACGTGCTCTTAGAACGTGATGACGCCTGCTTCAAGTGTCTTTTCTCTTTTAAGAAGGTCGTCAGATATATTCAAGAAGGTCATCCACAGTGGCATTTAGAATTTAAATGTACCAGAATTTTTCTCTGTTCCCAAGATGTTAGAACCATTTTAAAAGACTAATCAACTAATTGTCAGTCTTCCATTTTCCATTCAACATTTCCTATTTTCTAAAGGGAAATTCTCTTTCCTGGGTTCTCAAGTACAGTGATTTGACAAATAGGATCTGAAAAACAGGATTATACCCACATTAAGACTGTTCGTTTTTTTTCTGTCAGATCCGTATTTTTCAGAATTTGGGACAGAATACTAATCTAAAAGTTTTTCATTTAAACCAGTTAGGTAATTTTGCCTTTTTTTCATTTTCATTGAAATAAATATCCTGTCTATATACATACTGCAGAGAGCACTGCTTAGGCTGACTTTATTACCATACAGAAAACAGTTAGAAAGATACTAACATATGAAGGTGTGTAGCCGTTTTATGTAAAATAGCTTTAATCTGGACAGATATGGCATTATTTAAATAAGTTCTCCACAGAGGACAGGAATGCCAGTTCAAACTCCTGATCAGAGAATCTGCTTACAGATGCCCGAGCACTGCTTCGGATTTGGAGTCTCTCTTCCTCAGACATGGAAAGAATATGAGCCATGGTCTCAGCGTAGCCATCTTCGCTTTCAGCCAGAAACCCAGTTCTCCCTCCGTGGTGAGGCACGACAATGTCAAGCTTCGGGCCCCCGGAATTGTGGGCAAGGATAACCGTGCCAGCTGCCATACACTCAACAACTCCTAAGAAAAAACAAACAGAAACCATGTACGACATTTTGAGAGCAGTCATAGGAACAAGGATGAGCAGAAACCTCCACAAATTATAAGACACTCATGAGAAATTCAAGTAAATGTCTGTTGTGTCCATAAATTTGCTCATTAAACTTCCCCGGTACCAAATAATTCTAGGCTTTTTTTTCGTTTTTAAGCTTCAAAATAATGCTGCTTCGCTCTTAACTGAAACAGGCAAGCAAGAACGGTCTATAAAGAACAGACATACTGTGGATTAGAAAACAAAGTAGAAGACTACAGAATGCTAGCAAGACGGCAGATAATTAATGGTTACTGAAAGGTAAAAGGTGTAAAAAGGTATCAAAAGCGAAATTTCCGGAGTTCAAATGAGAGCATTAGAAGGTTTCCCTCCTCCCTCTACTTCTTCTCTTCTCCTTTGTTGGCAACTCTTCTTCTGCCCACTTCTGAACCGCTCTTGTTTTCGGCATTTTGCACCAGGGGCCTCCTCTCGCTGGGCACACTTTCCCTAGGCAATTCGACCCTCATCCGTGGGGCTTCTGGAACGACCTGGACAATGACCCAGACAACTCCCCAGGCTGTGTTTCCAGGTCAGGTCCCTCATTTGCACTGCAGACTCATGTAGACAACTGCCCACAGGACACACACTTCCATGTCCCCCGGATCATTCTATCTCTACATGCAGGGAACCTGGCTCATCAGCTGCCTCTCCTCCTGGAGTCCACCTCTAGGGGAAAGCCATCCACCATTCACACAGTTGTCCAAACTCAAAGCCCCGGCAGGTCCTCTCCGACTCTTTCTCCTTCATTTAACAAATCCCGTTCATTACCAAGTCCTGTTCAGTCGTGCTTCAGAAGCTCCCTCGAGTGTGTTCGCCTACCACCTTTGGACCCAGCACCTCGTCTAGGTTGCCCAACACATCCTCCTGCCTTCCCCGCCCGGCTCTCCCTGCTCCCCACCAATCCAACCCCAATCGGCAATCGGAGTGAACTTGAGGAAACAGAAATCTTTTAAATCCAACACTTAGACTCAGTCTCTCTTTCTCCCCCTGGCTTCACACGGCCATGTGATCTGGCCCCGGCTCCCCTCTCCACAGGCGTGCAGACCGAACCGTTAGTTCCTTGAGCGTGCAGGCTAATGCTCCTTTGTCACACCGGTCACAACGCTGCTCCCTCTGCTGGACATCCTCCTCTCTTCTGCAAGGCTAACTTCCAATTACTGTTCGGGCCCCTGCTTCCATGGCATGTCATTTCCTTGGGCAACTGTTCTCTGACTGCACACATCTATGTCAGGTGTTTCTCTTGGGCGCTTTCATGTCACCCCACACTTGCCCTGGCATAGCTCTCAGCACCCTGTCCACTAAAGCACTGCTGAACTGGTCGGAGGCACACACACAGCTGGAAGTCTCTGCACACCAGCTCCCGCCTGCCGCGTGCCTGGCACAGTGAATGCTCGGTGCGTCTCCGTGCAAGAAGGCACGGAAGTCAGGCCCTGTACGGAAGCGCTGAATCACAGAGGTCTTGCTGCACGTCTGGGCTTCGTCGTGCGCTACCAACTAGGGATAGACAAGAGTGTAAGATAAACTGTGGCCTCAGGAGAGGGAACTTCACTTGTATGTTCTTCGGTTTTCCCTGAACACCTGGCAGTGTGCAGCACAAAGTAGCCACTTGAGAGATACATCTTGAACCAGATCAGCCACAAACCAGCACTTGATTTTACATCAAAATGTATGCATAGCAGGAAGTCAGGGGTAGAGAGCGGATTTGTGCTAGACAAAACAAGGAAGGCTAAATTAAAGGCTACGGAGATTAAAGTCAGACACTTACAATGGGATTTGGCAGAAAGAGAGGCCATTCCAGTAATGAGTAGGGAATCAGCAGAACCAACAGAATTACTGTGAGGAGCCCAATGAGCTCCTGAGGGCCTTTACCAAAATCACCTGAGGGCCTTTACCAAAACACATCTACGTGGGCCTCACCCAGAGATTTCGATTTGGTCCTTCAGTGAGATTAGGCCGGGAACCTGTCCCCGTCTGCAGATGGGGTTAGGTGGGGCAGGGAAACTGGGGCAGGTAAGAGCAGGGGCTGTCTGAGTGAGGATCCAGGATCTGCCTCTTACTGCGGCCGAACAAGGGCAAGTTCAAAACCTCTCTGTGCCTGCGTTTCTTTATTTGTAAAATGGAAATAAGAATATGTATGAAGGAGGGTTTCAGAGAGGATTAAATCAGATAATGTAAAGATTTCAACAGTGACCTACACACGCAGTCAGTTGTCAATAAATACCAGCTATTATTAGTGACTACATACAGTTATGTCCTGCAGGGTCTCAAATGAAAAAAGCTTACTTGGTGGACTGGGAGAAGAGCACTAAGACTGGATAAAAACCTCCACAGTATCAACATTTTACCGAGAGAACCTAAAATGTACAGACAGACTCACCAATCCCAAAATGCTCGTTCCACATGGTATGCAGACCAATTGTTGCTTCAGACAAGTAATTCTTTAACTCATCAAATGGGATGTTCATTTTAAATTCCACATCTTCTTGAATTCCTAGATCCTCAGAAAGCCTTCTCAGTTGGTTTACCCTCAGCTCATCATCTTGGTTTCGACAACCTCCAATGAGGACAAGTTTCAATGAAGGCAGTGACTCAGCCACCTTCTTATTCAGCAATTTAGCAAAGGCTTTGATCTGCAAAGGATGATTCTTTTCAGGCCGGAACTGGCCAATGGAAACCAGTAAATGGCCGGGGGTTGTCTTTTTGTCACGTAAGGGAATTTCCAGAAATGTCTGCACATCACAAGGTGGATAAACAATGTTAGTGCAATTCCCAACTTTCCACAGGGAGAGAATGTGACTTAGTGTCCAAGAAGAATTGACCATCACTACATCACTGCAAGAACCAACAAGTCCATAAACAAAAGCAAATAAATAATAATAGATGAGCTTTACTTTGCTGAGCAAAGGATTCCTGGTAATGAAGGCTGCATTGTTAAATCCAACATTTTGATTCTTCACTACAGAGAGCATGTCTGTGCTGATGGTGGGATAATGAACATAGCTTCCGATGCGACAACCGCCTAAATACTTAAACAGAGGAAGTGTAAACGCGTATCCCATTGAATCGATGTAGACGTCGGGAACACACTGCATTAGAGCTTCCCAGCCAAGAAGAATGGACCCTAGACTTTGGCCCAGCAATGTGAAGTGAGGATAGAGTGAATCTTCCACAAGGTAGCGTTTCCTTAAGAAAACAAACTTCACTGGGTGAGTGAGTCTGATGTTAAATCTTCGGAAAGCACCTTCTAGTATCTGCTGACCACTGACATTAACATCTCCAGTATAAACGACATAAACTGCTTCAGGATACCTAAAACAGAATGTAATAGTTAAGGTTTTCATTAGTTTAGGTGAAAACCAAGCAAAAAGTTGTAGATAATTATCTTCTCACAATCATAAAGAGGGTTATTTTTAGATTGAAAAAAATGTTTTCCATTCATTGTACTTGGTCTACTGATGCTCCTCTTTCTGGAGTCTTCTGCTGCCCTGCGAGCGAAATGTTAGTCCTCCAAATAAGACCGCTCATTCTTTGCTATTTCCTCTTCTAAGAACTTTACATAGCACAGACATCAACAAAAATTGCTGATTGACATTTCCGTTTTTAAGAAATATTCAGCAACTTTATTTTGACAACTCTCTCAATATAAGATGGTAATAAAATACTAATAACATTCACAGTTAAAATTTACTAAATGTATCTCTAGATAGGATCATAAATGCTAAAATGTTACTCAGTGTTTTTATCTGAGATGCAACAAGATTCTAAAAGCTAGATCTGGTGCCTGCATCAAAATTAGATATGATATAATTATAATGGAAATATGTAAAACTACACTCTTATGACTATTTATGCTTTTGGCATTTGTTCTGATTGTGTGTGTTTTTAGTTATTCTTTGAGTCATCAAACATTTATTCCGTATCTAGTATGAGGCTAGTAGGTTCTGGGGATTCAGAGATTAGTCTTTACCTTCAAGGAGCTGAGTCCAATGGGAGAGATAGATATATAAACATAAAACTGCAAAACTGTGTGATATGTGTTGATAAAGATAGCCATAGGGTGTTGTGCAGGCCTAAAGGATGGGCATCTAACTGCACCTCCCAGCAGCCAGAATGATCCTTAGAAAATGTAAAAAGGATTGTCACCTCTGGTTGCTTAAAGATGGCCACAAATTCTTTGACACTTATCGAGTGGTGGGATCTATGTCCCCTCCCCTGGAATAACAGTGGGCTCTGTGACTCCTTTTACCATTAGACTATGTCAAAGGTGACATTTCACCAGTTTCTAGACCCAGGCTCTAAGAGATGGCAATTTCTACTTCGCTCTAGACAAGTCAGCTGTCACGTAAGGAGTCCGGCCATCCTGAAGCTGCCATATTGTGTGCAAGCCCAAGGCAGTCACATGGAGAGCCTGCGGGGTGACAGAGACGCCTGACCCATGCCCCTCACCCTCAGCCGCTGGAGCTGTTGCAATTGTCCCAGCCCAGGAAGCAGACACGTTAAGAGAGGCCTTCAGATGACTCGGCCCCAGTTACCATCTAGCTGCAGCCGCTTGGCATGAGGGATTCCCAACAGGGCCTGTCAGTCCCCAGACGGTTAGAAATAATGATACATTCTTGTTTTAGCCATTACATTTTGGGGAGGTTATGCAGCAACAGATAAGCAGAGTGTCATCCCTCTGTTTGAAATCCTCATAAGGTTTTCCACAGCACTCAGAACAAAATCTAAACTTACCCTATTCACTCAAGCCCTGTGCAACGCTGGCCCTGCCTCCACTCTCTCAGCCAAACGATTCCTTTCTGTGAACAAGCCAAGCTCCTTCCAGTCTCAGGGGACTTGCAGGAGTTGTTTCCTTTGCTTTGAATTCTCTTTTCTCATCTTCACTGTCTTTTCCTGAGGCAGACAGTATGGTTTGTGGTTTATAATGCGGACTCTGGTAACTCAGTTTCCTTGTCTGTCAAATGAGGGTAACAGTAACAACCTCATACGGTTGTTATGAGGACTAAGTGAGCTAACCCGTGTAAAGCACTTCAAACGATGCCTGGCATCCAGTAAATGCTCAGTAAATTTCAGCTGCTTTTGTCATTTAGACTAAAGCTAAGTATTACCCCCCTGGAGATTTTCCCTAATTACTCAGTCTAAAGTATGGACTCACAAATTATCCTATTCGATTTTCTCACATAGCATTTCTCACCATTTGATATTTTTCTTCTTTGCTTATGATCTTGTCTCTCTCTCTCAACTAAAATCTAAGGTCCATGCATGGTAGAGCTGTCACAAAACTTTACCAATGCCCTCAAGAGCTAGATAATCCAGTTAGACAAGTTAATGCACAGGGTTATGAGAAGCAAAGAACTGGAGGGATTAGAGTAGGAGTAGGGAAGGCCTCAAGGAGATGGATAGTAAGCAGAGACTTAAGAAAATGTTCTGAATCTAGGCAGTTGTGGAAGATGGCAGAGGAAATGCAGGGGTGGCGGCTGGAAGCCATGATGAGCCAAGAATATAGCAATGTAGAGCAAAGGGAATTCCACGTGAAGGCTCTGGAACTGGATGAAGGGTGTGTGCCAGGATGTAGCGTAACCACGGAGGAATAACAGTTTTCCTCCTATGATACAACCATCATTGGAACTCGGATTTTACTATGTTTGTTCCTCTCTACAAGGGGATCGTAAACATTTTTGGGGTGAGTATGGGGGTGCGGGTGGGGAGAAGGAAGCCTAAAACTTTAAATGACCCGTTAACAGCATACTCTTTCTAACATGGTAACTTAAGACTTCTAACTGGTAATGATATCAACATCAGAATCAAATAGATGCTTTTACAGAGATTATTTCCTGTGTACCACTACTGACTAAAAGTATTCAGGTTTAAAGCGCTCCCCATGACTTGGTATATTTACTATTCAACTTCTCCACACATTCTTCCAAGGTAACAGTTATCCCCACTAAATTTTGCCATCAAAGGGCAGGTACTTTCCCTTTCTATTTCTTTACCATATCAACTAAAATTCAATAGGATCTTGTAAGGCGGGCTGCCATATAACAGAATTATTTCCTTATTGAAGAACAGTTAATTCCTGGCTATGAATAGGAATATGAATAGGAATATGAATATCTGGATAACGGTGAATATCTGGATAATGATTTTTTTTTAAATGGTAATAATAGAGTAAATTAGCTAAGAAAGATGCATACCTACTTTTTCTGCAGGGCTCTTAAGGCACACCACAAAACTCTTTCTCCTCCTCCACCAGCATTGCAGTATGGATGAAAAAATGCAACCACCATTTGCTTTTTCTCATTTTTGCTAGTTGATACTGACGCTTTCTTTCTCTGTAGCAGCAGTCTGATTCCCCAGAGGATAATGAACAGACATACACATAAAGTTCCACAGACTGTCAGCCCAGGGAGGAATAATGAATAAAAAAATCTGAAACAAAAAGCAAAATGTAAAAATCAACACAATGCCCATTCAAAAGAAACTACAAATTAAAGTCTGCTTTTACATATCCGCTTTCTATATTAATAGTGAAGACAAAATTTTTATAGCTGGAAGTCTGCTAACAAAATACTCAATTTTTAATATTCTAACACCTATAAAATGTCCAATGTCAAAAGGCAATCCTCTTTATTTTTTTAA